TTAGCTAAGCTATATGTCTAACTTTCGTTATGTAATATTTCTTTTAAATAATCTTTAATAGAAATATGATGTCTTAGTAAAGTAAGTAAGTAAAGGCTCTCCCGTTGATCATCGATTTGCTCGAGCGGGCCCAGTAACGTCTCCATTGGAGACTTTGTTGTTACTGTGTCTGGCATATCGAATACGTCACGGGGAGCTTGCCAGGCTCTGCCGTGCGGGCGAGATACTCTCGGTAGCTTGTCGGACTCTCCGAGAGGGGCGGAGGAATCGAACTCGGGTCGGCCATGTTGGCTGCGTGCAAGGCAAACGCCCTACCGCCTTGCTATCGCTCCAGCCCATGATGTCTTAATTGTAAAAATTAGAATATATTAAATAACATGTTAAATTTTCCTTTTTTATTTTTTAACTTTTTGTTTATGATTTTGGGCTACACCCAGTGGTGCTCAGGGCTTCCAGGAGTAAGGCACTTACAGGTTTTGTGCATAGGATCACTCCTGGTGGGGATTGGGGGGACTATATGAGATGCTGTTGGGGGGGGGGAAGGAGGGGTCGCGGTGGATTGAACCCTGGTGGCCAGGCAGCTGTATGCAAGGCAGGCACCCTACCCTCTATACTATTGCTTCAGCCCATTGTTTGGAATGTTTTGTATATGTATTATCTTTCTTTGGTTTGCTTGTTTGTTTTGGGGCCACATTCAGCAGCCCTGAGCGGTTACTACTGACTACTCAGGAATTAACTGCTGTTGGTGCTCGAGGGACCATATCAGATGCAGAAGATCGACCTCAGGATGACTGAGTGCAAGGCAAATGCCCTACCCCGCTGTACTATTGCTTCAGTCCCTGGATACATAATTCTTAAAATATCTGAATGGTTGGGCATGCCTCATAACACATGACATTATCTATGCACCAGTATGCAGAATCACCTTGAAGTATTACAAATGTGAACTGACAAAGTCTACTTTTTTGTGTGACTTAGGTACCATAGAGAAGAGGAAAGTGAGTTACAGTAGAATGAAAAAAGGTAGAAATGTTCCTCAGGCTCTCCTGAGAATAGAGGGAAAGAGTTCAGAATTTTGAGAAAGAGGGGAAATGTTTGAAATGTATTTTGTAGAGTGTGTAAACAATTGATAAGAAATAAGTGGAGTTGTTGAGAAACTTCAAGTGCTTTGCTGAACTTGGATAATTGCTGCTTGATTAGGTTAACATAACTGTAGTTTTCTCGTTGGGAAGAAGAGAAAGACAAAGATACGATATGAAAATGTAAGTTATTGAAATAGTATCTTTGAAAGACTGACCAAAGTATCTGGGTTACATAGACAACATACTAACCTTAAAAAGGTGATTAAAAGATATTGAAGCCTGGGGCTTCTGTAAAATACAGACTGTAGTTAAAGTTTGGGGCTGGAGCGATAGCATAGCGGGTAGGATGTTTGCCTTGTGCGCAGCCAACCTGGGTTTGATTCTTCTGCCCCTCTCGGAGAGCCTGGCAAGCTACCGAGAGTATTCCATCTGCATGGCAACACCTGACAAGCTACCCATGTCATACTTGATATGCCAAAAACAGTAATAAGTCTCACAATGGAGATGTTACTGGTGCCTGCTCAAGCAAATTGATGAACAACAAGAGGACAGTGCTACAGTGCTACAGTCACAGTTTGATTGTCGGGACTGCAAGATTTGCAAAGTTGGGGTTGGAGTCTGATGAGAGGATGATGGGCATCAAAAATGGTCAAGGGTCCAGAGAGATAGCATATATGTATATATGTCAGGTAAGGCTTTTGCCTTGCACACAGCTGCCTAGGTTTATGGTTTGGTCTCATATATGACCCCTGTGCCCTGTTAGGAGAGATTTCTGAGTGTAGAGCCAGGAGTAAGCCATGAGCACCTCTGTGTGACCCCAAAACAAGAAAGGCCAAGCCTGTGGCTTTAAAGGGATGAAACACATGCTTGACATGTACAAGGACCTGCGTTCAATTGCCATCTCCACATGGTCCTCAACTTCTTCCAGTTGTATTCTTGATGACTTCTTACTACCTCCTGCTGAGACTCAGGCTGCCCTCAGCTCTCCGACCTGAGTACTGAGCCACCAGGCTGAGTATCACAGGAGTGGCCCCTGTTAGAAGAAACTGAAGATGGTGGCCATAGTGACCTAACCTGTGAATATTTTTTTCCCCTTTCTGTTCCTGTCCAGCCCAATTACTGAAGAGTTACTTTTAAAAATAGTTCTTTTTCAACCGCCCGGTGTTACTTTGTAGTCATACTTTATAGCCTTAAGACCATTTTCACCATCAGCCACAGCAGAGCATGTGATTAGTTGTTTTATAACAAAATCTTAGCAGGCTGAGTAGTTCAGTGGTAGAACCTGTGCATGGTGCATGATGAAGATCCTGTGTTTGATCCCAGCAACTAGCCAACCAACAAAAACTTTGGGTGAAAGTAATCTGCAAATTGATGTGCTCTTGAAGGATTAGTGACTGGGTGACTACAAAGTAACACCGGGCGGTTGAAAAAGAACTATTTTTAAAAGTAACTCTTCAGTAATTGGGCTGGACAGGAACAGAAAGGGGAAAAAAAATATTCACAGGTTAGGTCACTATGGCCACCATCTTCAGTTTCTTCTAACAGGGGCCACTCCTGTGATACTCAGCCTGGTGGCTCAGTGATCTTCAGCACATTTACAAAATTGTGTGGCCATTATCACTGTGTGGGTTTATGCATTTCCAACTCCTTTATGTCTACTCTTTTTTTTTTTTTTGCTTTTTTATTTGGGGGTTACACCCGGCAATGCTCAGGGCTTCCTCCTGGCTCTGCACTCAGGAATTACCCCTGGCAGTGCTCAGGGGACCATATGGGATGCTGGGAATCAAACCCAGGTTGGCCGCGTGCAAGGCAAATGCCCTACTTGCTGTGCTATTGCTCCAGTCCCTATGTCTACTCTCTTAACTCTCTCTCCTCAACCCAGTTACTGTTTTTTGATAGAGTAACTTTCACTGTAGTTTTCATATGCAATTATATGCTCCTTGGTCCTTGTAACAGTCCAAGAATAATACCCAAGAACTTTTTCCCCAACCAAAAGTGATAAAAGTTTTTCTTCTGCTTTCTTAGAGAAATTTATAGTTTTGAATTTAACTTTTAGGTCTTTGAACCATTGTGAGCTAGTTTTTGTTAACAGTATGAGGTAAAGGTTTAAATTTATCTCTTTGTGTGTGGATGTTAAATCGTCCCAGCAAAACTTGTTGAAAAGACCTTCGTTTCCTGACACTTCATTGAAAATTAATTGTAAAATTGTTACCTCAGTAAAAAAAATAAATTGAAAAAAAATTATTTATAAAAGATTTTCAGTTTTATACCATTGGGCTATGTGGATATCTTAATATCAGTACCACACTGCCCAGATTATTGAAGCTTTATTAAGAATCAGCTTGCCAGGCTCTGCAACAATAGCATAATGGGTAGAGCATTTGCCTTGCACTGAGCTGATCTGGGTTTGATCTCTGGCATGCGTATGGTCCTGCAACCCTGCCTGGAGTGATTTCTGAGTACAGATCCAGGAGTAAGTCCTAAGCACAGGTGGGTGTTCCCTTCCACCCCCCCCCCCCCCAAACAAAAGGAATAAGCACATCAGTTGGGGGTGGTGGTGGAGGGGAAGAAACCAAACCAAAAAAGGGAAAGAGCAATAGTACAGCAGGTAGGGCTCTTGCCTTGCATGAGGCCAACCTGGGTTCAACCCCATATGGTTCCTTGAGACTGCCAGAAGTGATTCTTGAATGCAGAGCCAGGAATAAGTCCTGAGTACCACCACCAGTGACTCAAAAACTAATAAAAAGATACCAAAAGGGGGCAGGCAAGGGAGACCCTGTATTTGATACCCAGCACTGTTTGAACCTGAGCAGCATTGGGCAGAGTACTGCTTGGAATATTCCTCAGCCCTTGGAATATTGGCACTTCTTGGGAGAGCCTCTCCCCTCCTACCATTCCCCACATGAAGGAAATTTCTGTTGAGGTTTTCAATAAGGACCAGTTTGGGTGGGGAGGAGGCTTTTTAACATTAAGAGAAAAAAATTATTTTGAAACTTTATAATGAAAGGAGCACAAGATAAAGATGTTATGGTTTCCTTTAAAGCTTACTAGGTTTAATTGTGAATTTCTAAAAATAATTTACCATTTATTGAGTACTCATCTGTATGTCAGATAGTCGATCATTGCTCTACGCTATGTCAGTATTTATTTTTCGCTTACCCTCTTAAGTTTTGACAAGGCAGAAGTTTTTTATATGAAATATACTGTCTTGCTCCAGTTTTTAAAAACATTTTCTAAGTCTTATACTCTGGAATTTTTATAGGGGACTGTAAATAACCTGAGAATATATCTATTCCCTTGTAATAAGTATAAGGGAATATGTACCTTCATCCCCAAATACAAAGTCAAATAGAAATCAGCTGTGTAGTGTGGAATGGATGGAGAGGTTCGTGGGTCATTGGTAGAGGGGAGTCAACACTGGTGGAGGGAGGGTGTGTTTTTAGAGCACTGTATGCATGAAACCTTACCAGTAATAGTATTGTGTATCATGGTGTGTCCATAAAAACTGAAGGAAAAGAACGAGTCCAACTGTTTTGAAAGTGGTACTATGAGAACAAGGGTTCCTCTGAAGTGTATAACAGGACCTTGTGATTCAGGTTTTGGTAGTTGTTCATTCATAGTTATGAATAATTGTAGCATGGGAAGTGAGTATAATTTTAACTATACTGTTTCCAAATTTTTTTACTGTAATATATAACACCTTTCTATACTTTGATCTCATCTTGTTCTCCTTTTTATTTCTGCCTTTGCATTAGTGTCTGATGAGAGCTTGATCATGATTATTCTAGAGACTGCTTTTTTTCCTCCTTTTTTGTCTTGTGTCTCATTTCTCATTTCTCCTCACATTGAAAGCAAGCAGACGTAATAAAGGGAGATTGAATAGTATTTCATCTTTCACTACTTATCTCCATTCTTCAGCTGTGCATCCAGAGACCCTTGTGCATGAAGACAGATTTGTTCTATGGCCTCGGAGTTGGGTGCCGGGGACGATGGCGGCTGTACTGAGCTGGCAAAGCCCCTCTATCTTCAGTACCTGGAGAGGGCCCTCCGGTTGGACCATTTCCTGCGACAAACATCAGCCATCTTCAACAGGAATATTTCTAGGTATCCCATTCCATCCTCCCAAGTATTTGAGTATATATTTGATTCCCATTATTTCTGTATATCTTTTATAGTTTTTGATATATTCTTTTTCTCTTTCCTTTCAAAAAAACAACTTATTCAGATTATCAGCCTCTTTCTGTAATGTTTTTTTAACCATAACTTAGAATTACTATTCTATTATCTATTTTGCTGGCAAGACTGTAACTGAATTCACCTTTCTTCAATTTATAGTGATGAAAGTGAAGATGGACTGGATGACAGTAACCCATTATTGCCCCAGTCTGGGGATCCCTTAATACAAGTTAAGGAAGAGCCTTCCAATTCATTGCTTGGTGAACCTTCTGGATCAGGCAATTCTGGAATGTTAAACACATACTCACTGAATGGAGTTCTACAATCAGGTCAGTGTGATGTGAAACCCCTCTTTATACTAATGATTCTCTTGGGGCAGTCATCCTTTTCATTTTTTTATTCTTTATGTTTGTTTCTTTTTTACTCAGAATCGAAATCTGACAAAGGGAATTTATATAACTTCTCTAAGTTGAAGAAAAGCAGAAAGTGGCTAAAGGTAAGAGATAAGGCAAAATTCTTATCACGGTATCACTATCCTCCCGTTGTTCATTTGCTCAAGCAGCCATCAGTAACACCTCCATTGTGAGACTTGTTGCTGTTTTTGGCATTTCGAATACATCATGGTAGTTTGCCAGGCTCTGAGAATTCTTATAATTCTTATAATTTAAATAACATACTAAAATTGCAAATGCAAGGGAAAGTTACTGACACCTTCTTGAACATTGGTAGAAATTTGTCTAGATTTTAAAAAATATATCAGTAAGATGCTTGCCCTTGATCGCTCACATGATTGGTGGAGTAATTAATCTAGTTCTCATCAGTCCCTGAGTTCACTCAACAAATCCTGACTGAGCATATTCTACGTGCCAAATACTGTTGTAGAATGACAGGGTTCCTGCCCTGGGGAACCTATATTCTAATAAAGGGTAGTTAGAATTAAGTCTGTAGACAAAGCACTGTCCTCCCGTTGTTCGTTGATTTGCTTGAGCGGGCCCAGTCTCCATTGTGAGACTTGTTGTTACTGTGTTTGGCATATCGAATACGTCACGGGTAGCTTGCCAGGCGAGATACTCTCGGTAGCTTGCTGGGCTCCCTGAGAGGGGCGGAGGAATCGAACTCAGTTTGGCCAGGTAGGCCACGAGTAAGGCAAACGCCCTACCCTCTGTGCTGTCGCTCCAGCCCAAGAATAAATTTAATTGCTTTTTAAAAGGTACAGCATTTCAGTCAATTTCTGAATGATAAGTGAGATCACGTGAAGGTATAAGCTAATTTTAATCAGAAGGGACAATTACATGTTCTGAGAAAAGAATTATCTTGTTTGTATGAAAAAGAAAGCTGATAACATCTAGAGCATAGTGAGTAAGGGGATGGTAGATAAGTTTAGGAGGCCTGGTCACTTAGGGCTTTGTACACCATGTTAAAGAAGTGGTATAATCTCATTTAGAGTTTTCTAAGATTACTGTCATTTGACACATTCAGTTAAGGCTGGCATTTATTCTAGTTATTTCTCTGTTTCTTATTTTTCTTGTTCAGATAACTTTCATTTTCTTTATTATCATTATTAGGCACCTGTAAAAGAATTGTGTACAAAAAGTTTGGTTTTCTTCATATCGGTGAGAATTGGAGTTATAAAGAATGCAAAAAATTTTTGACCGTCACATTTAAAAAAAAAAAAAAGAGGGCCCGAGACATAGTACAGTGGGTAGGGTGCTTGCCTTGCCAAACTGGCTAATCTGGGTTTGACCCCAAATGATCCCCCGAGTACTTCCAGAAGTGATTTCTGAGTGCAGAACCAGACTCTTAGCATCACTTGGCGTGGCCCCAAAATTTAAAAAAAATTTTAAGAAATGTAATATTGGGACCGGGGATGTGATTCAAGTGGTAGAGCACTTGCCTTGAAAATGTGAGGCCCCTGGGTTTGATCCTCAGTAGCATGCAATTCCTGAACTCCCTACCTAGTGCAAAATGAGATATAATTAAATACCAATAAGAGATACTTTTGTTTTTCCCCATTATTTTGGGCCATACTCAGTGGTGCTTAGGGCTTATTCCTGGATCTGCACTCAGGGATCACTTCTGGTGGGATTTGGGGAATCATACCTAGATCAAACCTGGGTCAGCTCTGCGTAAGATAAGTGCTCTTCTCAACTCTATTATCGCTCTGGCCCAGATCTGCTATTTTAAAGTTTTTAAATTTATTTGAAATTTATTTGAAATGGGAAGTTTATATCACACCCAGAGATGCTTGCAGGCTACTCTTTGCTCTGTGCTCGGGGGTCACTCTTGGCAATACTCAGGACATGTGGTACCAGAAGATTGAACCAGGGTCAGCTGTATGCAAAACAAATTTCTAAAGCCCTGTACTACTTTGGTGCCTTACAGACTTTTTGGTGTTTCTTTCGTTTCATGTTTTTTTTCCTTTTTTCCCCCTTTTTTGGGGGCCACGCTCAGCAGTGCTCAGGGTTATTCCTGGCTCTGAACTCAGGAATCACCCCTGGTGGTGCACAGGGAGGACCATGTGGATTGCCAGGGATTGAAACCCAGTTTAGCTGCATGCAAGGCAAATACCCTACCAACTGTACTATCTCTCTACCATGGTACCTTACAGTTGTTGATATAGTACATTCATATTGTTTGTACAACTTTTACCTTTAATTACTCCAGAACGAAACACTGCATTAGCAATCTTTTTTTATTTCTATTTCTGTTTCCTCAGTCCTTTCCAACCACCAGTCTTTTTTCTGTCTTTATGGATTTTTTTCCGGACATTTCATATAAATGGAATCACATAGCATGCAACTTGCTTTTTTGTTTTTGTTTTGGGGCTATACCAGCAGTGCTCAGGGCTTACTCCTTGGTCTGCGCTCAGGAACCACTCTTGGTGGAGCTCTGGAGACCATATGGGGTGCTGGAGATTGAACCCTGCTTGGCCATGTGCAAGGCAAGCACCCTACTCACTGTACTATTGCTCCAGCCTGCGTGCGACTCTTAGAAATAGAATAAAACATCTGATTTCTTTCAATTAGTGCATAATGTTTTCAAGGCTTATTCATATTGTAGCACTCTATAGTTCATTCCTTCTAATATATATTAATTACTATTTAGTGTATAAATAATACCATGAATGTATTTTGTTTATCCAATTATCAATAAATGGATTCCATTACTTGCCATCATAGCTTGCTTTTTTATATTCCTTTATACCACTTGGTTTTGGTTTTAATTTTTTTTTGCCTTGGTGTTTGGCTTTATGTGGAAGTAGTAAAATCTGGTCTTGTTGCCATTTATAGCATTTCTATGTTTTAGTATTTGCTTAATTCATACCCACTAAGTGTAATGGCACTCTTTGCTTTTGTGTTTTATTGAATTGGTGAAGAATGGTACAGTAGATAGGAAATTGGAATGACTGTCCTTCAGGTATTTTTTACTTTTAGGAAAAGATGCTTTAATTGAAAGAGAATCTGCTTTATAGTAGAAGTCCCATTTACGTTTCCTCCTTTTTCCAGAATATTCTGCTAAGTGATGAGTCCAGTGAGGCAGATTCTCAGAGTGAAGATAGTGAAGAAGAAGAAGAGGAGGAAGAACTCAATCTCAGTAGAGAAGATCTTCATAATATGCTACGGCTGCACAAGTACAAGAAACTTCATCAGACTAAGTATAGCAAAGACAAGGAGGTGAGAGTTTGAGGGAAATGCAGACCTTCATGCTGAGTACTCTGATCTATAGTCATTCTAGGTTAATTATTTTAACTTCATATTTAGGTGTCGGAAGGTCAGTGCTACAGTGCATTTAGGTGTATGGTATTGAATTTTTTTTTAGTTTTATTTTCATAGAGTCGTTTACAGTGATTGATTACATTCAGTATTTCAGCACCATTCTCACCACCATTACACCTTCCCATCACCATTATTTTGAAGTTTCCCACCACAACCTAAGCCTACTCCAAAGGCAGATGCTAAATAATTTATGCTAAATACCATATGGTATTGCTTGTTATGAACAATTGACTAAAAATGATTCAAAAAGGTTTCCTTAGAGGAAAGTATGTGAAAATTGTATCTCTTCGTGGAGTCATTAACCCCTGTATTAGGGATCACTAATATGTCAGATGGTGATTTTGGGGTCCAGCGGCATCTCTGCAGCGTGTTGCTCTCTTCTGAGATTCATTTATGAGTCTCTCGATCATGGCTGTTAATGCACCTCAATGGCGCCCAGAGGCGGTTTGTGGATGTGACTACCTGGAAGCCAGAAGCATACGGAGATGGGAGGAACAAAGGGAGATTGGATGAGCCTGGAGATTTCAGTCACAAGTCCTGCATATGTGGGTTTTTCAGTGGATCCAATCTCATGCGTGGGTAGCTCTGAGATTTAGAAGCATAAAGTGTTTTATATTTTTATTTCTAATAGCTTTTATTCGCATAGCTGATGAACCCATTTTGGTGTTGAAATGAAGAAATTTTCAATTTTCATTTTAATTTTCTATTAACTAAATCTGCATTGGTCTTTCATGGGAAGATTACTGTATTTCTGAGCTATGGTTTTCGTTGGCTTCAAGGAAAATTTGAAGTTGTGCTAGAGAACACAGATGGACCCTTCTAATCATCACTGTTTGCCCTGCTTCAGTTGCAGCAATACCAGTACTACAGTGCAGGCCTGCTCTCCACATATGATCCTTTTTATGAACAACAACGGCATCTCCTTGGACCCAAAAAAAAGAAATTCAAGGAAGAGAAGAAACTTAAAGGTGCACTATTTACTCATTTCTAGTTTCAGGATTGTGTGTTGCCTACTCTGGGGCATTTGGACCTGAATCCATGTAGTGGGAATTTGGTTTATCCAAACAACACTAGTTTCCCTTTTCTAAATAGAAATACTAGTCCTATTAACCTTAGCTCCTTATTTGAGTGATGTTTTCTAGAATTGGACATAAGAGCTCAGATTAGGGGACTGGAGCGATAGTACATCTAGTAGGGTGCTTGCCTTGTACACGGCTGACCCGGGTTTCATCCCAGCATCGCATATGGTTCCCCAAGCAATGACCAGCAATTCCTGAGTGCAGAGCCAGGAATAACCTCTGAGCATTGCCAGGTGCAAAACAACACAAACAAAAGATCTGGTTTTCTGCCAGGGAGATAACTCAAAGGGCTGGAGCACATGCAGGAAAACTAGGTTTGATCCCTTTCACCACAGGAGGCTCCCTCCCTCCCATCCCCCCCCCAAAAAAAAAACGCAGAAAAGAAAAAGCTGTAGTGCTCTATAGCTTTGATAATAGTGGTTTAAACTTAATTAGTTCATTTTTACATACTTTGAAAGTATTGGAAATGTTCTGGGAGATGAAGAAGTTGGTTTTGCACAGGGAAGTGGAAAGAGTAACCTGAAGTGTTTGGGAGTAGTAATTGTTGCTAAATGTGGTGATTTAAATAGATCACCTCTTGATGATCTTCTGTAGTGTTTGTTTACATGTTTGCCAGGAAGTGTCCTTTCCTCTCTTAAAGGGAACTCTCAGCTGCAGGAAATCAGGAAGGAACTAGGAAGGGAAAGTTTTAATTATCAGTTCTAGGCAGATTTTATTTCTATCAAGGTCTGAACTCTACTCAAAAAGACTCTTTGCCCTTCTTCCCTTACCTAGCGATGCTCAGAGGCTTCTCCATCAGTGTTCAGAGTCATTTTCAATGGTGCTCAGGACATCATGTGCCAGGAATTGAACCTGGGACTAAAAGTGCAAAGCCTGTGCTCCAACATATTGAGTCATCTTCCCAGTCTTCGCATGTTTTTTTGTTTATTTCTTCTGCTCCACGTCTTTTCTCTCCAATTATGTTTTTGTTCCATACATATGGATTTGCTTCAGAGGTCTTAATGTCCTATTAGTTAATGCACATTTCTTTCTCTTTCTCTTTAGTCTTCTTAGGTTGCACAAGGGGACTGGAGCGATAGCACAGCGGGTAGGGCGTTTGCCTTGCACACAGCCAACATGGCCGACCTGAGTTCGATTCCTCCGCCCTTTTCGGAGAGCCCGGCAAGCTACCGAGAGTATCTTGCCTGCACAGCAAAGCCTGGCTAGCTCCCCGTGATGTATTAGATATGCCAAACAAAGTAACAAGTCTCACAATGTTACTGGGCCTGCTCGAGCAAATCGGGGAATAACACAGTGACAGTGATGTTGCACAGGCTGAGATGTTTCCCCTTAAAAATCATTATTTGAGCTTATTTTAACTTCATAAGTCTCTTTTCCTATTGCTAGGCTCAAGAGAAATTGTTTTATGATTTAATTCTGTATTTATGTTCAGTGCAAGCAGAATAATTATCCAGTGTTCTCTTCTAATATAGTAAAAAAATCTTCCTCTTGAAATATTCATGTACCCAAACGGATGAAGAAATACACATTGCTGGGCTTTGTAAGATAAGGAAAAAACATCAATGATATTGTTGATAATCATGATGTTGTTTTATAATAGTCTGCTTTGGAAGGAAATTGCAGTATGCTGAGTGTTTATTTCTTTTGCAGCCAAGTTGAAAAAAGTGAAGAAAAAAAGACGAAGGGATGAAGAACTTTCCTCAGAAGAGTCCCCTCGTCGCCATCACCACCAAACCAAAGTCTTTGCCAAGTTTTCTCATGATGCACCTCCTCCTGGCACCAAGAAGAAGCACTTATCCATTGAGCAGCTTAATGCTCGTCGCAGGAAAGTATGGCTCAGCATTGTGAAAAAGGAACTACCAAAAGTAAGTGAGTTGGCGATGGCAGGATTTTTTGTTTTCTGTGAGACTTGGATGTATTCACATATTCCAGATAGGAAAATAGTTCTAGGCCAAAAATCTTGGGAGGTCTCTTTAAGGAAGGAACATTGTGTTGTGCATATCAATAGAGATTTGATGACAAATGGATAGAAACTAAGGGAAATTTAAAAGGACGAGGAAAGTTGTTAAGCAAATATGTAAACTTTTGAATATAGCAGTCACTAGAAAAGATGGCGAAGGAGCCAGAGAAACATGTTTAAGCATTATTGAATAAAGATGGGCGGGATTGGGGGTGGACAATAGTTGGAATTTGTCAAAACAAAGGTGACAAGGTGAAGGCACTTTTCATGGTCAAAGTTACAATTATTTGAAGAACAAAATAAATGATAGTAATGAATTTAACCCATAGCATAAAAGAAGTATTTGTGAGTCTACACTGTTGTCAATAAATGGTTGAGTATATTAATAGGTAGGGTAGACAGAGGTCTTGTATAAGATTTCTATTTATTGAGTGTACAAGGAAAAAAGGGTTGTGGGAAGGTTCTTTTTTTTCCTCTTTGGGCTTTGCAAGCTACCCGTGATGTATTCGATATGCCAAACACAGTAATAACAAAGTCTCACGATGGAGACGTTATTGGGCCCGCTGGAGAAAATCGATGAACAACGGGAGGACAGTGACAGTGAGTCACACCCAGTGATGCTCAAGGGTTACTTCTGGCTCTGCACTCAGCAGTTGCTCCAGTGGTGCTTGGAGTACCATATAGGATGCTGGGTCAGCCACTTGCAAGATAAATGTCTTACCAGCTGTGCTATTGCTCTGGCCCTGTGAGAAGCATTATTATGCAGCCTTCTCAGTAATTGTTGTTGACTGAACCTAATGAGGAATGCTAAAATTAAAGGGTAAAAGATAGAAGAGAAACAATTTACATAGACTCAAATCATCTACCCCATTATATGTATTAACGCATAGGGAAAGATTACTATAGTAAAAAAAAACTGATGAGTGCATCTTACCAAATTTTTAGAGTAAATAGCACTATTAAATTTTGACATAATTTTGTGGTATTCTTGCCAAAATGTGTTAAGTAACAAAGATTGAGGAAATATTACAGAAAGCTTCAAGAATGATTGAGATGTTACACTTGCTTATTTCGTCTTAAGAGATTAATGAGAAAAGCAACTAAATGTTATCCTATAGAATCCTAGAAAAGCAGCCGGATACTGATGGGAAATTCTTAACATTCAAATGAAACCTCTAGTTAATATTTTGCCAGTTTAATTTCCTTTTTAATGATTGTACTATGGTTATATAAGAGGCTAAAATTAGGGAAATCGGGGGGAGGGACGTAAGGGAACTCTGCACTATTTTTTGCAACTTTTCTATAAGTCTAAAATTAGTTCAAAACAATGTTTTAAAAAATATATGGCAAGAATAATGCAAGGAACAGCCATGTATCCTTTGCTTATAGTTGGCAGTTGTTTTCTTTGCTTTTGTTTTACAAATGCATACATTTTTTCCCCATCCATTTTAGATTTTCTCCTCCAGGGTTAGATTGAAATTTTGTTAGTTTCAGATTCCTAATAACTTAATGAGTATTTCTTAATAAAAAAGACATTTTCTCGTAATTGCAAAGAAGCCATAATGATTATTATCTGGGGGCCATGAATAAATGGTACATTGATTAGGATGTTCATGTGTAGCATTTGCCTCACCTGGGTCTGATTTCTGGCCTTGCTGGTTTCAGCCCTGGAGGCCCCCGGCACAATTGAGCTGGTCCTAACACCACAGTGACCTGAGCATCCTCTGGCCCACATGCGAACCACTGGCTCAGTTGGCCAAGAATCATAGGTGGGGCCCTGGGATCTCCTGAGCACTGCATGGGATGTACCTTTTCCCCACCAAGAAAAATTATTATCTGATCAGCAGGCCATATTCAACTTTATTCAGTTGATTCGATGTCCGTTATGAGCCATTTCTCTCCCCCCCTGCACTCCCCTTTCATGATTTAATCTGAGATCCAGTCTGGGGCTACATATATTTAGTTACCAAATTTCCTTAATCTCCTTAAATCTGCAACAGTTCCTAGTTTTGATGACTTCTTATTTGTTTGTTTAATAATATTGGCCTTAGGACTGGAGAAATAGCACAGGAACTTGATTTCCTGCCTTGCTATCATAGGATCATGGCTTCTGGTACTTGGTATCCCACATGCACTGAAAACAGCCCTGCTGGCACTACTGTTGGGGCCTTACAGCTCTGTTGTAATCCCTAGTGATGCAGTTTGCTTATCCACCGTGAGATGGGTGCAAGTACCATAAAGAGGAGTCCAACTCTTACTGAGTGCCACCAAAAAAAAAAAAAATACAACAAAAGTAGTACAGCCAGTTAGTTGGTAGGGTGGTTTTGACTTTGGACTTTGTGTGATAGTTCCTTACAATTAGGTTTGGGTTATGTAATTTTGTCACAGTCACCAGGGAAGAAATGGGTATTACTTGGTATTGTATCAAGAGACCTACAGTTTCTTGTTCTTGATATTGGTGATACTACCTTTGAATTCTTGGTATGGTGGTGTTTCTCTACTGTATGATTACTATTAATAAGCATTTTTGGAAAGGAAATTTGTATGTGAGCTCTCTTTTTTTTCTATTACCCTCTTATCTCTGTTGATGTTGCAATGACTTATTGCTGTGCTCACATGTGCTTACAGGGACCGGGGGTGCTGGGAATATGACTACAGTATGTGGTCTGGGTGCATATCTGGGGTGTTGTGGGGTATCGCTAGATACTGTTTGTGGTGCTGGTGATAACAGAAAGCACAGTACCAAACAAAAGTAAAGATGACAGGATTGCATTGCTTGTTTCCAAGCAGTGCTCAGAAGGCCTGAAGCCCCATGAGCCTTAACCACCTCCACCCCCCCCCCCCCCCATGCCTCTGTACTATCTCTGCAGCCCCTCCTGAGCATTCTTGATGGAAAAACTGGAAAATCTGCTTGGTGCTTTGGGGCTAAGGCTTCAGGTGATACCTATCTGGTAGTAATAAATTTAGTAGGGATATTTGAGATTCTTTAAACAGACAAAAATTTTTATAGAGGGCCTAAAATTAAAGGAATTTGGGTTGGTAATATGACAAAGATGACTTTTAGGCCCTCTGTGTAACTTTGAAGTTATATTTCTTCAGAATCAAGGATTGAGCCCCTTTGCGTGGGGGGCAGGGTGGGGGACACACTAAACCTTTTTATGGTCAGAGAGCCACTTAGCTCTTTCATCTGCTCTCAGGTCGAATCATCATGGAAAATCTAGTCTCTGTTGAGGTTGTGCGGGTTTTTTTTTTGTTTTGAGTAGAAATGGAAGGAATGATGAGCAGTTTTAGATGTTGTCATCTTACATTTTCGGACTGTTTCAGACTTTTTGTTAAAGATGAGACTGTCATAGCAGAAATTGAATAATATTGGCAGCAGATTTGCAATAATTGGAGGAGGGTTCTAATTAGTCACAAAGCCAATTTACCTTTTCTCAAACAGTTCCTGAATATGGGCATTCTGCTTTGGCTCTTTGTAGATCAGCTTTAGTCAGGGTGGTGCTTGGGTTTGAGTATGCAGTTACTGCAATGGCACTGCACTGTAGCACTGTCCTCCTATTGTTCATCAATTTGCTCGAGCGGGCACTAGTAATGTCTCTATCGTGAGACTTGTAACTGTTTTGGGCATGTCAAATACACCACGGGGAGATTGCCAGGCTCTCCCGTGTGGGCGGGATACTCTTGGTAGCTTGCCAGGCTCTCTGAGAGGGACGGAGGAATCGAACTCGGGTTGGCCAAGTGCAAGACAAACGCCCTACCCGCTGTGCTATCACTCTAGCCCATGACTGCAATGTATTAAAATATCTCCAAAAGTTACAGATGACTTTAAGACAACCAAAAACCTTTTTAAAAGCCTTTAAAAAAAAAACTGTGTGTGTGTGTGTGTGTGTGTGTGTGTTGTTAGGAATCAAACCTTGGGCCTTACTTGCTAGTCACGTGTTTTCTTACTGCTCTACCATATTCTTGTCTCAACCTATTTAAAAATAAAAGAATCAAGGACTGATTTTTATGACTCAGCCATGCAGGTGGGAGTGTGGGGTGGTGGTTGTCAGGGTGTCTTATGGTACCAGGGATCAAACTTGTAGCCTCACACATTCTAGACCAGAGGTGGGGGACCTCTGGCCCGCAGGTCCATGAAATCTTGTGGTACATGACAGGAACAGATACTTAATGCTTTTTATCAGCTGCTCATGCCTATCTGTATTATATGGTTCATGAGTGGTATTTTAAATGACCCTTGGCAGAGAATATGTTTCCAACACCAGTCTAGGCCACCTTTCCAGTGCCATTGTGTTCTTAATGCTGCTTGAGAAGCTTAAACAGTATGTGGATTGGAATTTTAGAAGTATTTTTAGAAGTAATAATGTATTTAAGGGTCAGGAATGTGGTTAAATGGAAGAGTATGCCTTATACGATTGAGGCCGAGACTTGTTCCCTGGCCCCGCTTTCATACAAGGAAGTTAGTAATACATCTTGAATATACTTGGTTTGAAATTTTATCTTCTAACTTTTGAAGAATTGAATAAGAGACATATCAATACACAATATTATTTCTAAGGAATTCTTAATGAAATACTCTTTTTGAATATTTTAGGCCAACAAGCAGAAAGCTTCAGCTCGTAACCTGTTTCTCACCAATAGCCGAAAGGTAAAATTATAACTTTATACTTTCCATTTTATGCTTCACTAGAATGTTTTTTTTTTAATTTATTCTTGCTATTCTTCTTGCATGGTAGTGAATCAGAGTATTTAAGAGAGTTTCTTAACGTTCTCTTTTGAAAAAATAAGTAGATTTATTCTTCCTCATGCTTTTGGTGTTTTAGCTTTTTTGGATAAAACACATCACACTGATTCTTTGGGTAGAAGTCAGAATTTTGCCCTGCTCAGTGCCTTCAATTAAGAAATGATGCTAATATCTTTCTAAAATAGAAGTAGCTCGGCTACTTTGGGAAGCTATGAGAGTGGAATGAGCTCATGCCAGTGATAATGGTTTGTCATGGGTTAGTCAGTCAGATGACCTTGGTTTTCTCATCTATATAATGAGATTGATAACACCAACTTCATAGAAATTTTGTGAAGAGTAAATTTGCTTAATCCATATTAAACATATGGTGCTAGCATGTACATATTTCTAACTTATTATCATGTGTGTGTGTAATAATTTCTCAGCACATCTGGGAACATGTAATTTCCTGGAAGCACATACAGGTTTTCATATATCTGTAGATTTCTCTTCCCTAATAATACCTCGTGCTCTTTGGGTCCCAGTAATATGCAGAGATATTCGTCAGCTTAGGGTGGGGGAAGAAAGGAGGCCCCGTGAGGCTTGTGTGCCTGAACATAGGAGCCTGTGGAGCATTGGCCCAGCTCTTGGCATCCTCTTATAATGACGGTGTTGTCTCCTACAGCTTGCCCATCAGTGCATGAAGGAGGTACGTCGAGCTGCCTTGCAGGCCCAAAAGAACTGTAAGGAGACTTTGCCTCGTGCCCGCCGCCTTACAAAGGAGATGCTCCTATATTGGAAGAAATACGAAAAGGTAGAAAAGGAACACCGAAAGCGTGCAGAAAAAGAAGCATTGGAGCAGCGGAAGTTGGATGAAGAAATGCGGGAGGTAATGTAAAAGCATAAATATTTGAAAACCCTAATTGCTACAACTACACTAAGTGATGGGGGGTATTACTTTGTAATTTAAAAGTCTAACCAGCGAGGGCCAGTCCGGAGAGGTAAGTGGACTGGAGTGCATGCTTTGCCTTAAGATGGCCTGGGTTCAGCTTCTGATCTCCCGAACACCATTGGGAGTAAGCACTTGATCTAGGAGTAGCCCCGAGCACCGGAGATATGGCCACACCCCATTAGATGGAACAGTGGTTAAGGTGCTTGCTTGCTTTGCATGTAGTGGACCCTGGCGCCACATATGCTCGCCCAAACTCTCCAGTAGTAAGTCTTGAGCAAAACCGAGTATGGTTCAAAAAAAATTTTTGCCCTAAGTTTGACCAATGAAATGGTCCAACCAAAAAAAATGTTTTATTAACTTTGTGGAAATGATTTTATTTCAGTAACCCAGTTCTGTTTTTATTTTTCAATTAGGTTTTTTTTTCCCCTGCTCATAAACCTTTCCTTTTATGCAAATTTCTTTTGTTCTTTTTATCCTTATTCTAACTCTGTATATTTCTGGAAAACTAAAATAAAATGAATAATGAAAGAAAGAAAAAGAAAATAGCCTATAGCTAATCTTGGCTAGGTTGCAGGTACTGGCAGCAGTTTTGATTTTTTTTTTTTTTTAAAGAGCTGCATTTAGTGACAGTTATATGACCATACAGGGACAATGAACAACTAGTCAGTTTTCTGAGACCTAATTTCCACCTGCTTTGTTGTTTTAGTTTGCAGTCAGCGGTACTCTTGCTAAACCTGTGGTCAGCTGATGCAAACAGTGAATATTGTAGGAAGCCAAAAAAAAAAAAAATTCCGAAGACAAAATCCTGTTGCCATTGGTAAATAGATTGGGGTGATTAAAAGGCAAATTGAATGGGACAAAGAAAGGAAATCAAAGATTGAATATATTCTTTCAGGTGTAGGTAGCTGGTCTGTCCTAGTGATTCTTTGAGCTCTTCTGAGCTTTTAATTTTTCCTCTTTTATCATTCTCTAGAAGGTGATTACGGGTTTTATCCAGATGTCTTTTTTTTTCTTTTTGGGTCACACCCAGCAATGCACAGGGGTTACTCCTGGCTCTGCACTCAGGAATTACTCCTGGCAGTGCTGGGGGACCATATGGGATGCTGGGAGTTGAACCGGCTGGGCTGCGTGCAAGGCAAATGCCCTACCCACTGTGCTATCACTCTAGTCCCCCAGATTTCTTATGTCCCCTGGGTAACTTGTTTCTTTGTACAAAGTTAAAATACATCATTGAGTTAATAAACATTTGTTGATCTCAGGAATGTCTAGTAAGGTTAGCGACATTTATGAATTAGTCATAGATCATGGAGTTTAGCAAGCAACTTGAGCTTACGATTCATGTTTCTGAGCCATTCTCCTGAGAACAAGTTTTCCCTCTATCTGAAAGTAAAATGTTCCTGTTTGCTATGATTCAGTACATTACAAACTATGTTTGCTGTTAACTTTGAATTTATATGAGAAAAATGTGGTGCAGTTGCATACCCCCAAATCATACCAAATAGGAGCTTTCTACTTTTATATACAGAAGAGAAGTCTAGATATATCACCAATGGTTATGTTCTATATCATTTTCTACCAATTTGGGGTGGAGAATAGGGTGGGTTGGTGGGATCAGCCCCACGACATCATCCATTCTAGTCATCCTCTCTACTACTAAGTTTTTTTAGTGTCATTTAAATATATACTGTTCAACTTCTCTAAGTTGAAAGGAGTGATGGATTTTTTTTATTGTTGTTGTGGGGTCCACACCTGACTGGGACTGGGAAGGGGACATGTGCCAGTGATTGGAACCAGGGCATCCCTTAAGAAGGCTTCTGTTCTCTCCAGGCTAAGATATTCATCTTTTATGTTTTAGTTTAGAAAGGTTTTATTGACAGTACTTGATAGCTTGAAACATTGAACATTTGTATCATTATGAAATATATCTTAATTTTCTCCCAGATGTTCTCAGATTTTGTATTTAGAATTGTAGCTTATTTCTCTAAAAGCATAAAACAGTAACATTGTTGCATACTTTGTTGTCCTTATTTGGCAGCTGTTGCCATTTCTACCTCCTCCTCCTTCTCTTCCTTTTCCTCCTGTTTTTTTTGGGGAGAGGGGAGCGGGGTTTGAACCACATGTGGCTATGCTCTGGATTTACTCCTAGTGGTGCTCTAGAGACCATATGTGTTGGTGTTCAACTCAGGTTGGCCACATGCAAGGCAAGCAACTTAATCTATATACTATCTATCCTGCCCCAATTTAGTATTAATACTATGTACTATATGTCATTTAATTCAGTCTTCTGAATTTATCTACTCATTTCATTATTTATCTTGAAGAATGATTTGATTGACACAGTGGTTATTTTCCTTACCAGGTTTTTCAGGGACACTTTGAATTTAGCTTTTGCAACATTTCAATTTTTAAAAATGTGGATGTTGGGGTATATATTCTTAATATTTATATTTTATAGCTGTGATTACATATGAATTTGAGGGTGGGAGAGCATCTTTTTTGGATGACCTCTTAGTTGCTGATATGTTGTATATAAACTTTTGAAATAATTTATCATGTAGCATATGTTTTGACTTTTTATTTTTTACTTTTTGAAATTTTGACCTTTTTTTTTGGTGAGAATTTTTTTGGGTGTCTACACCTGACAGTGCTCAGGGCTTACTTCTAACTCTGCTCAGGGAATGGGAGACCATACAGAGTGCTAGGTATTGAATCAGGGTTGGCCACATGCAAGGTTAAATCCCCTGCCCATTGTACTATATGTTTAAATGTTTCAAAAATACGTCTGTATTTTTTAAGACCTTTTTTTAAATATGTGATTTTTTTTTTTTAATTTTTGCTGTTGTTTTGGGGCCATGCATGGCGGTGCTCAGGGATTATTGCTCTATACTCATGAATCACTCCTGGTTGGTTCATGGGGCCCTTTGGAATGCTAGGAATACAACCTAGTTCAGCCATATGCGAAGAAAGTTCCCTACCCGCAGTACTATCTCTCAGACCCCCTGTATGTTTATATTTTTTAAACAATAAACCTAGGCCTTGGAGAGTTGCCATGGGCTGTTGAATTACTGCTTTGTAGATAGGAGGACCACACTCAGTCTGTGGGAACATATACGATCACCTCAGCACTACTGGGAGTGACTCTCAAGCTCCGCTAACTGTAGCCCCAAACCAAAATAATAACTATTATTATTATAATGTGATTATAATATATATAATACATTATCTACTGCCCAAATAAAAATATTTGAATTTGGTTGGTATCTCAGTGTTGCTTCAAGTAAAATAATACAGTAAAGCAATTAACACTTTAAACAGAAGCCTAATTGAGGCAAGATTTCTTTTTTACTTTCTTTTTTTTTGTTGTTATAATTTTATTTATTGAATCACCGTGAGAGCAGTTACAAAGCTTTCCAGTTTAAGTCTCGGTCATACAATGAAACACCCGTACTTTCACCAGTGCCCATTCTCTACCACCTAAAACCCCAGTATACCCCATCCCACACCCTCTCCCTACCTCTGGGGCAGATGATTTCTACATTACTCTCTCTCTACTTAGATTACATTCAATATTTTGACAGCAGGCCCACCATTATTATTTGGGATTTTACCCCAACACTCAGATCTGCTGAAAAGGCAACAGTAGACAATTTGTTTTCTATTACTGGTTATGCTCGAGCCTCTGGAGGATGGCGGCCACTGAGCCGCCTAGGGGGAGCAGGTGGAGGGACATCGCCGTTTCTCCCCTTGGGGTGGCCTGGCGACAGTAACCTACTGTGGGGTCCAGACGCATTTCTGCCAAAAGCTGTTGGGTTTCGAGATTTGTTTCTGAGTCTCTGGGATCATGGCTGTTAAGCAGTTCGATCAGGAACCAGAGAGGACATGCTCGAGGTAAAGACCCTCCCGTTGTTCAATGATTTGCTCGAGGGGGCCCAGTAACATCTCCATTGGAGACTTTGTTGTTACTGTGTCTGGCATATCGAATACGTCACGGGGAGCTTGCCAGGCTCTGCCGTGCGGGCAAGATACTCTCGGTAGCTTGCTGGGCTCTCCGAGAGGGGCGGAGGAATCGAACTCGGGTCGGCCATGTTGGCTGCGTGCAAGGCAAATGCCCTACCGCTGTGCTATCGCTCTAGCCACGCGATTTTGAAATACTGAAGTTTTAACAGTTAAATCTGGAGGGATATCTGCCAAAACCTGCTGGGTTCCGAGATTTGTTCCTGAGTCTCTGGGATCATGGCTGTTAAGTAGCTTGATCAGGAGCCGGAGAGGCCATTCATGAGTGGTGACTCAGAGTCTTGTTGGGATGGTGAGGAAAGGGCTGGCTCCACCCCATCCCGTGAGGCCCTGCATGTCTTGTCACTGCAGGCCCAAACCTGACTGTCCAATGGCCTCTGGAGGATGGCGGCCACTGAGCTGCCTAGGGGGAGCAGGTGGAGGGACATCGCCGTTTCTCCCCTTGGGGTGGCCTGGCGACAGTAACCTACTGTGGGGTCCAGACGCATTTCTGCCAAAAGCTGTTGGGTTCCGATATTCGTTTCTGAGTCTCTGGGATCATGGCTGTTAAGCAGTTCGATCAGGAACCAGAGAGGACATGCCTCCAATTATATAGCTGAGCTGGAGGTGGTTTGTGCGTGTGTCTCCCACATACCTAACTTTTGGCCGTTTACTTTCTTGGTATACTTTGCCCTAAGTTTTTGGGGTCTGTCCAAAGGCACAGAGAAATTTTGGGGTATCTGAAAGTCTGAAGGTGCCATCAGACTGTTGATACACTCGCCTCGTAGGTACAGATTGACCTGCTGGCGGCACCAGCAGATTTCTTATTGTAAAAATGCAAAATATAGGTTATCATAAAGCAGTAAGCAATAAATGTATATTAAGCAATACTTTGCTTTTAGTTCTATTGACTTGGTTCTAGTAAAAATAACTTTCCAGGGGCTGGAGCGATAGCACAGTGGGTAGGGCGTTTGCCTTGCATGCAGCCGACCTGGGTTCGATTCCCAGCATCCCATATAGTCCCCCGGAGCAACGCCAGGAGTAATTCCTGAGTGCAGAGCCAGGAGTAACCCCTGAGCATCGCCGGTGTGACCAAAAAAGCAAAAAAAAAAAAAAAAAAACTTTCTATTAGCCATTTTCACCATTCTAAAATAAGGAAATTTATGAAGGAATTATGTGCAAATTATATGTCAAATCATGTGAATTCTGTACTCAACAACTCTTTTTTTCCTCCTTAGGCCAAGAGGCAACAGAGAAAACTCAACTTTTTAATCACCCAGACAGAGTTGTATGCTCATTTCATGAGTCGCAAGCGAGACATGGGTCATGATGGAATCCAAGAAGAAATCTTAAGGAAATTGGAAGACAGTTCTACTCAGAGACAAATTGACATTGGCGGAGGGGTGGTAGTTAACATCACACAGGAAGATTATGGTAAGGCCTGAAAGTTTGAATGTTTGAAGTTTTATTAGTAGAAGTAGAAGGTACTAAATCAGGAGTCAGTGAACATGTTTCAGCAGAGGAAATCATTTCTTATGTAACTAGATTCTTTGTGGTGTACAAGAGACTAGTCATTTATTTAGTTTTACTGAATCCCTGTGAGATACACAGTTAAAAAGTTGTTTATGATTTGTTTTCATTCATACAATGCTCCAACATATGTACCTTCAACAATGTACATTTCCCACCACCAATTCCTCAGTTTCCCTCCCGCACTCCCCATCCCCAACCCAAGCCTTTCTTAATGGCAGGCACTTTTCTTCTTTTCCTCTCTAGAAGAACAGAGGAATAAGCTGGGGTAAAGTTTGAGAAGAATTTTATAGAGTAGTTAATTTATGTTGAAATACAAAGACATAATGCTTCATAATTTTGTGGAGGTTATATGTATTTGTATTTCTTCTTGAAATATTTTCATTAAGCATAAATTTATTTTTAAAAAAATGAATCCTCTTTGTTTTGCTTTTCCTGGGTTTGGCATTTCTTCGTGTGAAAAACCCAGGATTGGGGCTGGAGTGAGTACAGTGTGTAGGACATTTGCCTAACCCAGGTTCATGCCCAGTACCCCAAATGGTCCCCTGATCCCTGCTAGGAGTGCTCCCTGAGCATATAGTCAGGAATAAGTTCTGAGCATTGCTGGATGTGATCCGCCACAGCCCCCAAATAAGAAACTCAGGATTTAGAAACTGAGTTCAATCTTTTGTAGTTTTTGTGAGCTTACTTTGACCTATGACCATGGCAATCTTTTGCCTCCGTTAATTGTTTCTAAGTTATTTTTTCTCTCAGAGAATTTGTGCCTTCCTGTTTCTTACTGTCCATGAGCCTAGGCTATTGCAGGATTCAGGGAACCTCATGTTTTAGTGTGAATTACATCTTTGAAGAATATCAATGCAGTGTGATAATCTGTAAATTTTTCCTTTCAGATAGCAACCATTTCAAAACCCAGGCTCTGAAGAATGCTGAAAATGCTTACCATATTCATCAAGCTCGGGTGAGTCTTAAAAATGAACGAGGTAAACTAGAATAGACTCTGAAAGCATCCCAACTTTTTATTTAGGCAGTTTTTTAGTTGGATGCATTTACAGATAATTGGGGATGTGAGTAGAGCACATATCATCAGTGTTTGACTCCCTAGAGTCTTTGTACAGAAAACATGACATTGGGGAATAAATATATATGTGAGTGCATTTGGTGATGTCTGTGCTTCTATTTGTTGTCGAGTAGTAGGAATACTTGGAAAGTGATCATTCACCTGTCTGTCTGTACTTTGAACTTATTTACTAAAACTAGGACATTTTCCTTTCTTTGTTTTGTCTTTGAGTAGTCATGTGCAATACAGTGTGGAATCTGTAATGGTTGTTCAATGAAAAAGACCACACCTTTCACTTACTAAAAAAGAGCTAGATCACAGCTTAAGAAAGCTGCTCAGCTTATGCCCTCTTTCATATTAGTAATAACTTGCTCGTCATGATAGGGTGGTGTTTTAAAAAATCATAAAGAAGATTGTGTTAGATTGAGAATACAGCAAATATGCTCTTTAATATGCAGTCTAGAGGTAGTTATACAACTGACAGCATCCAGGTCAATGGTAGATATGGATACATCCAGCCAACCACCAAATAAATCTTTCACAAAATCCTTAAGTGAGTATCCTATAACGTGGCCTGTTGGATAGCAATCAGAAATGTATTCTTAATGTAATTTTAAATTGAAATTAACATACATAATGTTTTATGCTTTGTACAGTGTACTGTAGCAAACTAACTCAGAAGTTTGTTTCAATTACTAGAAGATAACATTGTCATTATGAATTATATTTGCATTTATTAATTTCTTTCCTCATGCTTTTTAAATATTTCTAATTTTTCAGACAAGGTCTTTTGATGAAGATGCAAAAGAAAGTCGAGCAGCTGCTCTCCGGGCAGCAAATAAATCTGGCACTGGGTTTGGGGAGAGTTACAGCCTGGCCAACCCATCTATTCGCGCTGGCGAGGATATTCCACAACCCACGATTTTTAATGGCAAATTAAAAGGTTATCAGCTGAAAGGCATGAATTGGTTGGCAAATCTCTATGAACAGGTGAATTTAAAAGCAATGTCATATCTGATCTTTTTTCCCTTAAATCCTTGGTTTATCAATCATATTATGAAGTGGGAACATAGTAATTTTTTAAATGTTGTCCTTTGTATCTATATCTTTAACAAGAGTCATCGATATCTAAATTTCTGATTTGGTGACTTATGAGAGAATATTTGTATCCTGTACATAGTTTTCTTAGGTGGTCTTGCTAAATGTGGTTATTTGCTTTTGTGACTGGGTTAGATTAACTCAAGAGCAAAGTTTGTTTTGCTCATCTCTTATATCTTGATTTTTGATTTTGGCAAAAGAAATCATTAGTTATAGCAGTGGGTAATATTTCTGAAGCTGGGTATTTTTGTTACTCATTTGGGCATTAGTGTAATTCTTACAGGTTGTGAGGTATATTGACCATGTTGTACCTCCCTCCCCCCACTCAGGGTATTAATGGAATTCTCGCCGATGAAATGGGCCTTGGCAAAACAGTACAGAGCATTGCTCTCCTGGCTCACCTGGCAGAAGTGAGTACTAGCAGTCTCTTCATCTTTCTCTAGAGTTGAGATTCTAGATCCTTAAGTCAGTGTTTATTGATAATCAGCCACATACCAAGCACAGTGCTAGGCTCTCTAACATATGTAGCAAGACAATGATCTGCTCCTTATCTTCAAGTTGTTTATAAAGTAAAACAGTCTGGTGAAAACATTTTGGTTTTGAAGAGGACTGGGATATTTTTCAGCATGTGCAGTTTGAACCCCTGCCTTCTCCTTTCTCCTTCTGTTGAAAATCACCAGCCTGGTGGCAAACAGACATCCCTTAGAAGTTAGATCAGATACAAATCATATCTCAACTGTATGCTTATTACCAGTGTAAATGGGCATTTCACCTCACCTTTGTTTAGCTAACTTAAAATTTTGACTTTTTAAGTGTGATTTTCTTTCAACAAATTGCAAATACTATCTACCATGTCAGAATTTGCGAGAACTCATGGATAATATGTCTAAGAGCATTTGAAAAAAGCAAATCTGAACTAATCATAACATTGTTCTGTCATCTAGTGTTGGGGATACAGCACAGATAAGTCAATATGTCATAAGTGCTTTGTAAATGATATGAATTAAGTAATGTACAAGGCTGAGCTTGGAATTTTTTCCTCAGAGTAACTTTTTTTCCTCTATTGTTACAGGAAACAAATTGTTATAGCTATAAGATATTGTTATTGAGTACAGAAAATAGACATCATTCTCTCATTCTGTGTTTCCTGTTCTTAGTTTTAATTCAATTTTAAGTATCTTGAATTTTCCTAATTAACCTTTTTTTAAATTAATTTATTTTCATTTCAGAGAGAGAATATTTGGGGACCTTTCTTAATAATTTCACCTGCTTCTACACTTAACAATTGGCATCAGGAGTTTACTAGATTTGTTCCAAAATTTAAGGTAAAAATCAGTCCAACAAAAAATTATGTTGCTCTTTACAATACTTTCTCACTCCTCTTTCATGCTTTATTTAGTGACTCGCTATGGTGTTCAATTTCTTGAATTGTTTCCAAAATACTTTATACAGATTCTCTCTTAAAGTTACTGCTGGGGAGGGTCAGAGAGATGGATCAGAGGGCCAGAGCACATGTTTCACATATGGGGACTCCAAGTTTGATCCTCAGCACCGCTTGATTCCCTGAGCACCAGTGGGTGTAGCCCAAAATACAGAAAACAAAATATAAACAGCCTGCTGATGGAATTAATAAGAGAGTGTATTATATCTTTATATTTTGTAAGTAAGAAAGCCAGAATTCAATTTAAGAGATTTTGGATTATCACATTAATCTCCTTTTTAAACTGGCATGGTAGTAGTAGAGCTTACTGGTGGTCTAACATAAGAACTTTGGTTAAATCATCACATCAGAGAACATATTCTGTATTTTAGAACATTATTGTCACTCCCCAAATAGAGTAAAAATAGTTACTTGGGGACAGGGGGGCACACCCAATGGCGCTCATCTCTACCCTGTGCTTGGGGATTGCCCCTAGCGTTGCTAGGATAGGCAGGTATTCTGGTTGTGCTTTGTAAGGAAAAGAGCCATGTTTGGAATATTTGACTTAGTGGCATCTTGAGGTGTATAAATTTGGGTTGGTAAGTGGGCCACACTTGGAGGGGCTCAGGGACTTTTCTCGACTCTACTTAGGGTTCACTCCTGGTGGGGATCTGGGGACTATATGAAATACTGGGGATTAAAAAGGAGTCAGCTACATATTAAGCAAGCACCTTAACCCCGTACTATCTCACGGGCACCTAATTTTATATAATTTTTAGCTTGTCTCACTTTTTATTTGGGGATCACACCTTGCTGTGCTTAGCGCTTACTCCTGGCTCTGGAGTCAAGGATCAGTCCTAACTGCCCTGAGGGACCATATGTGGTGCTAGGATTGAACCTTGCCTTGGCTACTATATATCTCCCCTACCTAGTACTTGAATTTCTATGTTGAACTTTTTTTTTCTTTTTTTGAAAACTTTATGGTTTAAAAAATAATGGCCCTTCAGCCAGTTTCAGTTGCCATTTATTTTTCATGTTTTGGGTAGCATCCAGCAGTATTCTGGAAGCTACTCAGCTCTATTCTGGGATTACTCCTGGCAGTGCTCATGAGATGTAGCCATTGCCAGGGATCACTGCTTGCAAGGCCCCTGGCAAGTACTCAACCCATTGAGCTATCCGGCCCTGTCCTGTTTCTGTTTTTTAATTTTGACAAAAATACTTATAACATATAATGTACTATTTTGTTTTAGTTATTTTGTATGTATTGAACCCAGGGCCTCATACATGCAAAGCAAATAGTCTACAACGGAACCATTTGCCCAGCCCTTAAAATGTACTATTTTATTTAGTTTGATTGGCAGGTTGGGGTGTCTGGGAGCACACCCAGTGGTGCACCAGGGATCATATGTGGTGCCAAAGATTCTAATAAATGTTGCAGCCACTGATGCATGCTGGACAAGCACCTTATCCTCTTTACCATCTCTTCAGCACCTAAAACATGCTATTTTATTGTGAATAAGTTCAAAGCAAAAGGGATATTACAGAGAATCCAACATTTAATCTTGCATGTGGGTGACTCTGGTTTAATTGTGGCTTCTCTGAGTATCCCCAGTGGTGATCCCTGAGCACAGGGCCAGAAGTAAGCTCTGAGTACTGCTCAGTGCCTCCCCCAATTCCCAGAATAACACAGCAAAATACAAAGTAAATAATTCAGCAGACCTCAGTATATTTGCAGTCTACAGTGATATAACTAGAATCATACAATCTTTGGCCTTTAAGTCTAGCTTCTATGACTCTGTGTGGTATATTCAGTGGGTTATTCATATAGTGGCATATATCAGCATACTTTAGTTTTATGACTGAATTATCTCATTTTCTGGATGTACTACATTCGTTTTTCTATTCATCTGCTAAATAGTTGGATTATTTTTTACCATTGGACAGTCTGTCTCTATATTGTATTGTTTCGAGCATTCATATGTAATATTTTATTTGAAGAGTTTGGGGAGTATATATCTGGTAGTGTGACTCATTTAATGCGGAATCTGCTACCTACTTTGTCTTCAGTCTGTAAGTCAAGATTGATTTTCACATTTTTTAATTGTTGAGAAAAATATGGAGTACATAGTAGAGTACATCACACTCTTGGGATTTATTTGTAACTGCATTCTCATTATGGCAATAGATATGAGTAGTTGTGAAGTATCCTTTAGCCACAGAGCTGAAAAATAGGTATTAACTGGCCATTTACAGAAAGGTTTTATATCCCTAGGACATATTCATTGTATTTTATTACTCTTTTAAGTTGCCATAAATATAGTCACTTTCCTACAGAATAGTTAACTATTGACTCAACTATGTTTATGGTATGTTTTAAATGATATTTAGCTCTCTGATGTTAATACCTGTAAGTTTATTTCAGTTGTAGGTGTCTGGGTAGCATTGTAGTTCAAATAATCTATCTGATTTCTTCCTTATGAAATGTTATTTACATTTTTTCTTTCATATAGGCACTTTTTCTTTCAGAAATTGACAATTCTCTAATATTTGTTTTTGTAGTTTTCTTTTTCTTAAATACTTTAAAATTTTTTTGTTAATTTTGCATTTGTGTTCCAGCCTATGATCAGTTTTTATAAATGTCACCTGTGTATTTGATAACATCAGATGTTTTACAATTGTTTCTCAACTACTCCCCAGTTTATATATGTTGATTAATTCACATGTGTTAACTTATAGTTCTTTTATATCTTTACTGACTTTTGTGTGTGCCTCTTATTACTGAAAGAGTTATGTTAAAATTTAACACAATTATCAGTTTGTGCATTTCTCTTTTCTTCTCAGTCCATTTTTACTTAGGACATTTTAAACTGTGAAATACTGTAGTACAGGGGCTGGAGCCATAGTATAGCAGGTAGAGCGTGCTTTGCATGCATTCCACTCAGGGTCAGTCCCAGGCATCCCATACAGTCCCCCAAACATTGCCAGGAGTAACTCTCACCAGATATGACCCAAAAGCCAGAAATCGAAATGTAACACAGGTTTATCATTTTATTCTTGCTGCATTGAACCTTTCTTCTTTGTGACTTCCTCTCATAAGACTTAAACTTAATGGACTTTAAACTCCGTTTTTCTCTGATATTAAAAGGACTGTCTTAGTTTTGCATGCTTCTTCCTTTTGACCATTCTGTATCCTTAAATTTGAGATTTTTTTTTTTGCTTTTTTTATGTTTGTGCTTGCTTTTAATGTAACTCTTGAGATTAAATCTGCAGACTTTCTGCTTCATTTCTAGTTCTTTTACCTGTTTGATTTTCTGTTTTTTTCTTTTTTTTTTTGTATCCTTTTGGATGATTTGATTGTATTTGTCTTAGCAAACCCTCTTAGCTTGCAAATTATATATTTATTAATAGACTCCCAAGAGACAACATATATCCTTAACTTGAAAAAAATTTTTTAATTTAATTTGGCCAAAGTGATAGTACAATGGATTGGGCACTTGTCTTGCAAAGGAGCCAACCTGGGTTCAAATCCCCAGTATCCTGTATGTTTCCCTGAGCCCCTCCAGGAATGATACTTGAGTGTAGAGCCAGGAGTAATACCTGAGCTGAGCACTGCCCAGTGTGACCCCAAAACAAACATACCCCCTCCCCCCCACACACACAGTTGTTTTTTTTTTTTTAAATATAAGAACTATTTAATCAATTTAGTAGTGACAGTTCCTGGAAATCGCACTCTTCGTTCTTGGGTGGGAGATGGGATCTCTCAAAGCTTGCTCACCCATCCCTGGTTTCCTAAGCAGTGACTCGTCTAACTGAGTAGAATACTTGGTCTTGTGTTGCTGGGGCATTCAGGCACCCAGCATTGTACAGGACCAGTGCTTGGGGTTGATCCAAGTTCTTGCGTTGGTGAGGTGTGCACTCCTGATTCAGCTATCTCTCCAGCACAGATTGCACTCGTTCCTTGTGGCACTTGAGCACATTCTGGTTGTAGTGTTCATCAGGTGGTTCTGGCTCTCAAACATGTGCTCACCTAGGGTTGTGTGTCCTCTGTGTGATGTTTGCGAATCTTTAAGTAGAATCTAGGCATTGCACTTACTTCATTGTGGTACTCCCCACATCTGACTGTGTGGTGTGAGTAGAGATCCCTTCGGCACCAAGGATCACAAACAGCAGAATTGCCAGGTTAGTACTGCGTGCATTCACTTTCACTGGAGATGGAATTTATACCCTTATGCTTGCAATACAGATACTCAAAGCCACCGTACTATCCCCCCAAACCCTTTGGCTTACTTTCTTTTCTGGATCTTAGCTTTATATTTCTTCACTGCCTTAATAGCTCCCTGACGCCATCAAACAGATGTTTTATTTTGTTTTTTCTTTGGCCACACCTGGAGGTGCTTGGGGACCATATGGAACCAGGGATTGAACCTGGGTTTGGTGGCCATGTGCAAGGCGAGTGTTCTGCCTGCCGTACTATCTTTCCAGACCACCTTTTATATATTTTAATTTGATCAATAGGAGTACTGGTCTAGCACCCAGTTTAACAATGATAGAACTCCTTTTTGTTGTTGTTTCATTAGTTTCGGTTTGGGGGACAAGACCTCTTGGTGCTTAGAGAATACTCCTAGCTCAGTGTTTGGAGTTTGCTCCCAGTGTAGCCCAGAGGAACAAACGGTGCTTGCTTGGGATTGAACTTGGGACTCCCGCATGCAAAGCATTCACTTAGTCCTTTGAGCTCTTGCCCTGGTGCCCGAGAAACTCCTCTCTGTTCTCTTAGGTTCTTTTAAGTTAATATCAAGTATTGTATTTGTGGTGATGCTTTTTAAATTATCAGTAGGAAATAATCTGATCCTTTTCCCCAGGTGCTACCATATTGGGGAAATCCTCATGACAGGAAAGTAATCAGAAGATTTTGGAGTCAGGTAAGTTTCAGCTTTACATACACACATAAACATGAATGTAAACTTACACAGTCATTATTTCTCCAGCTGATCTGAATTATTTGAATAATGTGTATATAAGCCTTTTATCTATCTCTGGACACTAGGCAAATGTATTTTGCTTCTTTTACAGCGCTTTTTTGGTTACAAGCAATAACCTAGGTTTTTTAAATCAGGGATTGTTTCTTTTTTTTTCAATATTGGGGCTGGAGAGATAGTACAGCAGTAAGTCACTTGCCTTGTACCTAGCCATCTCGGGTTCAATCCTTGGCACTTCGTATGGTCCCCAAGCACTGCCAGGAATTATTTCCTGAATGCAGAACCAGGAGTAAGCTTTTAGCATCACCAGGTGTGGCTGAAAAACAACGTAAAAAGACTCATGTTTTTTATTTTGGTTTTTTGATGGTGCCATGGATTGAGCCTAGGGCCTCACACATGCAAGTCCTCTGTCACTGAGCCACATCCCCTGCCTACAGAAGACTGGTTTTTTACTGTGGCTGTGTTTTTGGAACTACTTTGAGACCTTTACGTGATTTTCTTCTGCTTTGAGAAGCACATCTTTAGGTCTTTTCTCAAACTGCTTAGCCTTAAAAATGTAACCTATTTCTCTTATTTTACTATTAATTACTGTGTATTTCTCTTTACCTTTCTCTTTTACATTTCCAGAAAACCCTCTACACTCAGGATGCCCCCTTCCACGTGGTCATCACTAGTTATCAGCTGGTCGTGCAAGATGTAAAGTACTTCCAGCGGGTCAAGTGGCAGTACATGGTATTGGATGAGGCTCAGGCACTCAAGAGTAGCTCCAGGTAACATGTATAGTAGGAACTAAATTCCACAGACTGAGTAAATACATATGTGTGCATTAACATATGAGATATACATGCATGCTTGGATCAGAGGGGTTTCGAAAGAACATGGCATGATGTAGTTTCTGCATAAAGTAAGTATCTGACTAGTAGACATTTTTAAAAAAACAAAGCCAGTATTCTTCTGTATTCGGCATTTATGATAGTTTAAGTTCTTTGGGGAAGATTTCCATGGGGAAAGGGGTCCCTGCCCTTTTTATTTTATTTTGTTAAGAGTTATTTTACATAGGTCTAAGTAAGAAGGTAGAACATTGCGTTATAGGGCTGGAGTAATAGTACATTCGAAAGGCCTTTGTCTTGCACTTAACTGATTCACACATGATCCTTGAGTGGTGATCCCTGAGCACCTGAGATAAAAAAAAACAACAACATTGCTTTGTATGGGTTATCTCTTCTGTTTTATGCTGATAGTCCTAATCTTTGGATAATTATTAGACCCCCACCCACTAGTTATTTTTTTAATTGTTTTTAATATTCTGTTACCATCCCTGTTGCCACATATGATTTTCCAAGCACCACCAGGAGTGACCCTGAGCACAGAAACATGACCAATGCTGGGAATTGCCCAAACCCCTTCTAATGCCTATCCCACCCCCACAAAAAATCAAATATGTTTCAGGTCCCAAACTAAATAGTAATGAATGGTTAGCTATAAAGTTTCTCAGTGCTAAACTCTTTTTATTGGCTCTTAAATGGGTACCTTGGATTTTGGTAGGAGCCCATGTTCACTGACAGAATGGCTTTTTAGGCTGTGGGGAGGGTGGGTAACCCTAGGCCACCCCCGGTGTGTCTTGGGGTCTCTTAGTTCTGTGCTCAGAAGTGACCTCTGAGTGTTCAGGGGACCGTTGTGGTGCCAGGAATTCAAATTGGGATCAACCATATGTAAATCAAATGCCTTCACCCCTGTATTATATCTCATTATTTCATATTATACTCTTCTTTGTGTGAGGGTAGTGGTGCACATCCCACAGTGCTTGTGTGCCACTCCCATCCTGGTTCTCTGGAGTCATTCCTGGCAGTGCTGAGGGAGCCATGCAGTCCCAAAGACTGAACCTGGGTATCCCTGCTATGAGGCATGCGCTGCAGTCCAGTGAGCTGTCTTTCTCATCCCATATTGCACTCTTGAAATAGGACATGCCTGTGCCCTGGAATTTTAAATTAGACTCACTTTGCATTTTCTTCTTATCAGATCCTTCCTCTTCATTGGTACCTTAAAATTAACACTGGACGCACATAATGATTTTAAAGCATCCTTTTATAGCTAGGTAGTTTATAATTAAATGTTTTTAAATAAAACTGACTAAAGATAGTGGATCTTATCAAGCCAGTAAGAACCGTACTCTGTTTATTTGAAACTATTTTTTCTAAGCCTTAATACCATGTTTTTTCAGTATAAAGGATTCACTTCCTTTGGAATTTCCTGTTCTCTGCTTTGTTAACATATTTCAGTTGTGTACAAGGTAGAGTACACTGATTATGAGTATTATCTTTGGATTTTTCTTTTGGGGGGGCACACACCTAGCAATGCTTAGGGTCTACTCCTGGCTTTGTGCTCAAGGGTCACTCACTTGTTTGGGGAACCAGACTGGTACTTGGGAAGCAACTGGGGTCAGCTGCGTACAAGGTGAGCGCCTGTACTCTTTTTTCCTGCCTCAATTTTTGGGGGAAAGTATTTTTTTGCAAATAAGTATCTTGGGTTAAAGTAAAGATTTAGGGACCAAAGAGACAGGAAAGAAGATAAGGCACTTGCCTTACATGGAGTTGACACTGTTCAATCCCTGGCACCCAGTGTGGTCCCCCAAGACCTGCCAAGGTTGACCCCTGAGTACAGAGCCAGGCGTAAGTCCTGGGCACTGCTGGGTTCAGCCCTCCAGAAAAGATTTACTGCTAATTTGTGTATGTGTCTGTCTGTCTGTCTGTCTGTCTGTCTGTGTGTGATTAATTTTATTATACAGTGTTCGTTGGAAGATCCTCTTGCAGTTCCAATGTCGGAATCGTCTTTTGCTAACTGGGACCCCTATTCAGAACACCATGGCAGAGGTAGGCAACAGGCACAGCATTATTTTTATGACCTTTAAACAATGATTTTAGCACAGCTGAGAATTTGAGAAGGGAGAGGCATATCCAGCAGTGATCATGGCTACTTCCAGCTATACCTAGGGATTTATTCCTTGTGGTACTTGGGATGAAACTTGGGCATTTGCAAGTGCCTAGCCCATGGACTATCTCTTGGCCCACAAGTGAATACTTTACCCATGCCGACCTGGAATCTTCCTGTTGTATTCAGATATTAGTTCCCACATGTGAGAAGAATTTGGCTGTAGTTTGCCCCAGATGGTTTTTATTGTTGGGCATCATTCCTATTTTCTTATTCTCTGTCACATATAAAAGTATTTATTTGTATTTATTGTAGTAGTGCATTAGAAATGCTATCTATCTTTGGAAGAGATGGGAGGAACTAAAATTCTTTAGGAAAGAAAATTGAATATATAAAGTAGAGGCAGGAGGTGGGGGAGTAGGGGCAGGAGGGAAACTGGGGACATTGGTGGTGGGCACTGTACACTGGTGAAGAGAGGTGTTGAAACGTTATATTATTGAAAGTCAATCACGAACAACTTTATAAGTGTGTATCTCACTGATTTGATTTTTAAAAATCTTATAGATCTTTTCTTTCACTAAAAATATTAAAAATAGAGGAAAATAATATATAATAATAAAATATTTAATATAATAGAAGTAGGTAGTAGTTTTTACTTCATGCCATAGACACTGTGTCAACTTTCTAGCAATGTAATGTGAAAAGAAACATAATCAACTCATAAATGAATAGATGTGACTCTGTTCAACTCATTATTTGTTCTAAAGATAACAAACCTAACTTGGCCCTATGCACTGTCAGTTGCACACCCTTGACATAAAAATATTAGAAACAAGTTATATTGCCTTGAATTGTTTTCAGTGGTGAAATAAATTTGTTTGGAAATATATCTAAATATATATCTCACGGCATAATCTAATCTGTAGTTTCTAACTTTTAGTTTGAAATTAATTGACAAACAGGTTGATAAGGCATGTGTTTGCACACATTCTGCTTCACATACTGACACGCACCTTGACAGACAACATACATTCACTAACTTTCACTCTCTTTGAACCTTTGTATCTCTGCATACTGTCATTTTATTGCTCTATTGATCATTTCACTCTTTCTTTATTTCCAGCTCTGGGCTCTGCTACACTTCATTATGCCAACATTATTTGATTCACATGAGGAATTTAATGAATGGTTTTCCAAGGACATTGAGAGCCATGCAGAAAACAAATCCGCCATTGATGAGAGTGAGTACTTTTGTGAACTTTCTTTCTATCTATATTGATAATCATTCATATTATATTTTTTTCTTGCACATGAATTTTTCTTTTGCCATACCTGGGAGGGTCATGAAGAAGAAAGATTGTTTTTATTTTTGCCAGATAATCATGTTCTTTGTTTATATATAGAAGTCAAAAATGTGGTTGCTTTGGTAGCAAATACTAAAATTGGAGTTATAATACAGGGATTTATGGGTTTGCCTTGTGTAGGATTGACCCTGGCACTAGTCCCTGCACAAGAATAAAATAGAAATTTGTGAAGCATTCCATAATTTTGAAATCACATAGTATCATAAACCAATGACAAATGACTAGAATTTGAATTTAAATAATGAGTTAGAAAACTAATTCATGTGGTAATGATAGTCTTATTATTAAAGACAAAAGAGGCAGAGTTCATGAACTTATTTTGGTTTGTAGTGTCTTCTTATTAGAAGCATCATTTTTGTTTTTTCCTTTAGAATTATGTTCTGTGAACATTTTTAAACTTGTTTACCAATTTTTTTTATCTGTTGAATATTTTAGGAGAATTACACAATATTTATTACATAAGATACATTATGAGATCTGTGAGCCAGAGAGATAGATAGTACAGGGGTTCCATGAAGTTGATCCTAATTCAATAATCAGCATACATGTCGTCTCCCTAAGCATTACCAGGAGTGATCTCTGAGTACTGTCAGGTGTGGTCCTATGAAACAAAACATCTTTTAGGGTTTTTTTGTTGTTGTTAAATCATTTTCTACACTACATGATGCTAATTTGCTGGTAGACTTTGAAAACCTCTTACTTTGAGGAATGCTGATTTTTGTTTTTGGTGTATGGAGGGCCTTTTTGGATCACACCCAGTGATGCTCAGGGATTACTCCTGGCTCTGCTCTCAGGAATTACACTTGGCAGTGCCTTGGGACCATATGGGATGCCAGGGATCAAACCCAGGTCAGCCGTGTGCAGGGCAAACGCCCTGCCCACTGTACTGTTGCTCTGGCCCCAATGTTGGGATTTTTAAATTCCTCACATTGGACCTATTTGAGAACTCTGTTAATGTCCAGTTGATGTTATGATGATGCTACAGAGAATTCAGATTCTTTGATTTCCTCTTTGGGGGAAAGGATTGTGTTTTTCTGTCAGAATCTTTTAGACAAAAGGTGTTAAAAATTTTATTAGATTATTGTGCTATTTCTTTGGTTTGTATTAAATCCATGTAAAGTACTGTTTATGGGGGTCTCCTGGTATTTCAGATCAGCTCTCTCGTTTACACATGATTTTAAAGCCTTTTATGCTGAGGAGAATCAAGAAAGATGTGGAGAATGAATTGTCCGACAAGGTAAGGAAGAGAATACTTCATGAGTTCATAGAATCTTAAAGAGTCATCAATTCAGGGTTCCAGAGTGAAAAAAAGTTCCTTTATAAATGTTTGGTACAGTATTAGTTTGAATAAAAGGCCTTTAAGTTTGATTGGATTAAAGAAGATTTAAAATGAGTTAAACAATGCAGGAAATGTTTTTGTCTTTACCTATTTGTTTTATTATGGAGAATTTGAAATATTATAAAAGGAGAAAAAAATATAATGAACCACTTGTGAACACTGCAGCTCTAATATTAATCAACTTATGCCCTATCCTTCTGGATTATTGTCAAGCAAATCTCTGCTGTTTTTTTCATTTATAAGTATTTTCAATGTAATTTTAATTGGGATTTTTTCCCCCCTAAAATATCATTCCTAATTAAAAAAAGACATTTAGATGCAAGAGAAATGCTACAGGGATTTAAGGAGTTTGCCTTATGCAGGGTTGATCTCTTGCACTGCCAACAGTCCTTTAAGTATTGCCAGAAGTGATCCCTGAGCGCTTCCAGATGTGCCCCCAAATAAAATCATCCCACCTTCCCCCCAAAAATGACATTAGCCCATTTTAGGATCATAGACCCATTTATTGTTGTTTTGTTTGGGGGCCACAACCATATACTCAGGGGTTACTCCTAGTTCTGTATTCACAAATTCCTCCTGGCAGTGCTCGGGGAACCATATGGGATGCCAGAATTGAACTCAGGTCAGCTGCACGTAAGGCTAGTATGCTAACCACTGTACTATCACTTGAGCCACTAAACTGGACTGATTTAAAATAAAGAGCAGTGTTACACATACTCACTTAATAGGAAGTGCTTTATTGAAGGAAAAATGAGTCTATGTCCAGATGTGGCTCCATGGCTCAGGTGGCTAGAGCACATACCTTACAATAGGTGAGGCCCTGAGTTCAATTCAGGGCACCCTGCCCTGGTTGTTGGCGAGCATCACGTGCAGTGCACCCTGTAACAGCAGCTAAAATTAAAACTTGTATAATTCTTTTTTAATAACAGCCCCAAACAGGACCTTATAGGCTTAAAAAAAGCAGTAACAGGACAGTTTATTGTACCTCAGTGATAGAGCATATGCTTTGCATATGTGATGATATGGGTTCAGTCCCTGACTCTATTAAAAATGAACCCTTAAAAACTTCAGCATTCTCATTTCGGGTATTTAGTTGTCAATAAAGATAATGAGAGGAAGTAGTGGGATTCCTACCTAGTAACCTAATATATATGTAGTATAGATTTCTTTAATATTTCTTATCTATTTCTGAATAACCTATTTATTGAGCCCTTGCCTCCCAGCCATTGGTATATAAAGTTGTACCATCCATGTTCCGTTTAGATTTGTAAGGGAAATGAATACATAAGTAACTGTAATGTTATGTCATTAGATATACAACAGTTATTTGTGTGAAATATAATGGAAACATTGATGAGGGAGTCAGTCTGTTACAGTAAGCATACAAGAGATGATAGGAGATAGATTTGAAATGATGAGTTGGTTATTATTAGAAAAATATGGTAGGGAGGGGATTGCTAGGTATCAGCTAAAGTCCAGCAAATATTCAGCGTGTTTGCCAAACTTTTTTTTTTAATGTGGTACCAGGAACCAAAGCCAGGTAAAGGCATGCACTTTATCAATAAGCCACATACCTAGCCAGGCAAGTATTTAGATTAGATCTTAGTTTGCTGTGGAATAAAGGACAGTATGACAGTGAAGAAACAGGGATAATTGGGTTAATATAGTCTATGAGAATTTTTTGTTGGTTTTGTTTGGGGGCTACATCTGATGGTGGTCAGGGGCTGTTCTGATTCTGTGCTCAGGAGTGACCCTAGGCAATGCTCAGGGAATTACATATGGTGCCAGGGATTTGAACCATGCTTGGCGACATACCAGGCAAGTGCCTTACCTCCTGTTCTATCTCTGTCCCCTGTGTGAGATTTTTACTATACGTATTAATGTACTTTGAAGACTTTCCAAGAGTTAAATTACCACTGTTGAAGAATTTGTAAGATTGATATTTCAGAACAGGAGAATCTGAAGGCAGGGAAACTCCAAATAATGGTGGCTCAGGTAATGATATTTTGACTATCAAATGGCAGAATAAAAGTTGGTTAGATGTAAATTTTCAGATTGAGTTGAGAGACCTAGGAAATAATATAACACGGAATGAGATATGAAAGAAAAATATTAACTTCTTTGAAGTTACTCTTTGGGCAACTAATTGACTGATGATGCTATTATTAGTAAATCATGGGAAGAATCCCCCAACGTCCATATGTCACGTAGGCAGTTGCTGTAGTGTCGCTCTTTTAAGTTGAAAATATGAGGCTAGGGATGTTTGGGAATATAGTATTGGAAGTCACTACCATAGTTGGTACTTAGTGCTATCAAGTGAAAGAGTTTGCCCAGGGAAAGCATGTAGAAAGAGTAACAGGTGATATGAGGGCCGAGGAGAAAACGCCCTTTTGAATAATTGGTCACATCACTGGTATAAAGAAATAATTGAGTTTCTAGACATACATATATTTTTTTTCCATCATAATATGACTTGCCTGTGTCTCAACTTTATGTTGACGCTGAATTTTCTCACAAACTTTTCCCCCAAAAAATGTTCTTATTGATTTTTAGATTGAGATTCTGATGTATTGCCAACTGACCAGCCGACAGAAGCTGCTGTATCAGGCACTGAAGAATAAAATTTCCATTGAGGATTTATTGCAGTCTTCTATGGGCTCTACCCAGCAAGCACAGACCACCACCAGCAGCCTCATGAATCTGGTCATGCAGTTTAGGAAGGTGAGAGCTTAGGTTAGCTGCTTTGGAGCTGTCCCAGTTGGTCCATTTGAAGAAAAGCACTTAATGTTATGTCACACAAAAGGCCCATTAAAGGGACTGGGGGAGTAGTACAGCAGACAAGGTGCTTGCTGTGTATACAACCAACCCTCAGCCCTCTCCGGTCCCCTGAGCTCTACCAGGAATGACCCCTCTGCACAGAGCCGGGAGTATGCTCTGAGCACTGCCACGTATACCCACAAACAACAGCAACACAAAGAGTCATTAGAGACTTAAACTTGGGGAAGTTTGTTTACAGAGGTAAGTATGTTCATAAAGGACTAAATTTTTTGCTTTTTGATTTTGGGCTACATCTGGCGACACTCAGAGCGTACCTCCAGCTCTGCACTCATGGAATCACTCCTGGTAGCGCTCAGGGGACCATATGGGATGCTGGGGATTAAACCTGGGTAGGCTGCAAGGCAAGCACTCTCCCAGCTATCCTATTACTTCAGTCCCTCCCCAATCATTTCAGAGTCGTGTATACACATGATAATGTTGTCTTACTTTTCTTCCTCATAGGTGTGTAATCACCCAGAGTTATTTGAAAGGCAAGAAACTTGGTCTCCATTTCATATTTCCCTAAAGCCATATCAGATTTCAAAGTTTATTTACCGTCATGGACAGATCAGGGTTTTCAACCATTCACGAGACAGGTGAGCATATATTATTGTCTGTGTGCTGACAGTGAGTTTTGTTATTTGGGAATTTGTAGTTACCGTCTAGTATGATTTTAAGGTTTAAGAGTTTGTAGATTTAAGAGTTTAAGGTTTAATGGGGCTGGATCAGTAGCACAGCGGGTAGGGCATTTGCCTTGCATGCAGCTGACCCGGGTTCGATTCCCAGCATCCCATATGGTCTCCTGAGCACCGCCAGGATTAATTCCTGAGTGCAAAACCAGGAGTAACCCCTGTGCATCTCCGGGTGTGATCCAAAAAAAAAAAGAAAAAGAGAGAGAGTTTAAGGTTTAAGAGCCAGAGTGATAATACAGCAGGTAGTGCACATGTCTGGCATGCAGCAGACTCCACCTTTATACCTATCACCCGATCTGGTCCCTCAAACACCATCAGGAATGATCCCTGAGTGCAGAGTTAGGAGTAAGTCCTAAGTACTGTTAGGTGCGATCCCAAAACAAGAACAAAGATTTTGTTGATAGACTAGAATATTTCTGAGTTCTCTAGCAATGAGATATTTAAACAGAGTAGACAGGGCCAGAGCGATAATACAACAGGTAGGGCGTTTGCCTTGCTCGTGGCTGACCCAGGTTCGATCTCTGACATCCCATATCCTTCCCCAAGCACCACTAATAGTAATTCCTGAGTACAGAGTCAGGAGTAACCCCTGAGCATCACTGGGTGTGACCCAAAAAGCTAAATAAGTAGAGTAGACAATAATTTGTCAAATGATCTCTGTAGGAATTTGTGTACTGGGTGATCTTAGAAACCCCAAACATTCCAGGCTTTTCTGAAAGAGGGATATGTGCCCGTGCTCAAATAAATGCTTGTATCTAAAGAGAACAACAGATATCTCTGCCTCAGTAGTGAAATTACTTCATCATGGGCTATTTTACACTTGGAATAATACTTGTAGCAGAACTGATTAAATTCCAAGTTAATCGAATTTACCTTCTTACCAGCATTTGTAATGGCATACTTGGTAGTAGTGCAGTGTTCGCCACTGAATGTTAGAGACATTTCAGTTCAGAAAGTTGTGGAGGTCCTTTCTGCACTTATGACGGAGGTGGCCGCCTAGACTTCTGGACTTTTCAGCAAGCCTTCAGAGAATTCACTGCACATCCACATTTGAGAATTGTGGGTTTAGAAAACTCCTGTGTAGAAAAATTTTAAATAGTATTACCAAACTAGTCATCAACATTATTTTTTCTAATGAAACAAATGAGATATTTCTGTGCATCTATACACATCAGGGACTGGAACCCAGGATCACATACATGCAAAGCTATATTCCCAGCTCCTTCTTGGGTTTTATTTTAAGAATTCTTTTTTGATAACTCCAGGCTAATACTTACCTAAATGATGATCAGGAGGAAATAGACCATCTGTGGTGTTTTATGTCAATGCCATATAGTTTATGATGCAGTGACAGTGATTCTCTAAAATAAAATGAAATTACTTTAAAGGTATATTATCTTCTTACTCTTTATTAAGTACTAGTTCTTTTTACCTTGTGTGCCATAACTTTTGCCTGTCAATAATGAACTCTTTACCACTAGAAACACTTTTAAACCCAAACAAACAAAAATGCTCTTTAGTTTGGAGACTCTTTTACAGTATTTGTAATTGGGTTTGAATTAATTTTATTTATTTTATTTAACAGGTGGTTAAGGGTTCTTCTTTCTCCATTTGCACCTGATTATATCCAGCAATCTCTGTTTCACAGAAAAGGTATGTGTTTGATTTTTGAGAGGGCAGTATACCATGGATTTGCCAGGATGCTCTTTGTTTTCTTAAGTGATTAAAAGTCTTGTCTCTAAGAGTTATGTTATCTAGGGGATGGGGGGTGGGAGGGATACTGGGATTAGTGGTGGTGGAGAATGGGCACTGGTGGAGGGATGGGTACTCGATCATTGTATAATTGAAACCCAAGCACAAAAATTTGTAAGTCTACAACTGTACCTCATGGTGTTTCACTAATAAAAATTAAAAAATAAATAAAAATAAATAAAAAATAAGGTTTGCAAGATGAAAAAAAAAGTTATGTTATCTAGGGGCCAGAGAGATAGTACAGTGAATAGGGCACTTATCTTGCACACAGCTGACCTGTGTTCGATCCCCAGCATCCCATATGGTCCCCCAAGCACTGCCAGGAGTGATTTCTGATAGCACAGCTAGGAGTAACCCCTGTGTGGCCTAAAAGAGTTACCTATATTTATGAATTTATGAATTCTGGAAAGAAGCAAAAGAATTTATTTAACTGAACTTACATTTTATTTCTTTCTCAAAAATTTCTTATATTTTGGGCCAGAGCAATAGTATCATGGGTGGGGTTCTAGCCTTGCAAGTGATTGACCTGTGTTCAGTCCCCGGCACTCCATATGGTTCTATGAGCCTAGCTGGGCGTAATCCCTCAAGCGAGCCAGGAGTAAGCCCTGAGTATTGTTGGGCATGGTGCAAAATCAAAAAAAATATTTTTACACTTAAAACTTTACTAAGCTAGTACAAGGCTCATTATTGTGACTGAGTTCCTTTCTCAATCTGGAGGAAAAAGCTGTTCAACTTTAAGCATTATCTAAAATATTATGTCAGAGATTCAGAATTTTTCGCTTCTTTGGGTTTTTTTTTTTTTTTTATTCTCTTCCCTGGAATGGAAAGAGAAGGCATCTAGTCAAGAATTTTTTTTTTTTTTAAAAAAAGAAAAGAAAAGTGACTGGAGAATTAGTACTGGGACTAAGGAACTTGCGGTCAGCCTTGGTTCTCTTCCTACATGTGATCTCTCCTGAACACTATTTGGAGTGATCTCTGAGCAATGCTGGGACCAAAGAGATAATTAATACAGGGTCAGGATGCTTACCTTCTACACCTCAAGCCCCAGCACTGCATATGGTGCCTTGAGCACCACCAGAGGGCACTCCAGAGCACAAGCCAGGAATAGCTTCTGAACATCATAGGGAATAGAGTCTCCACCCCAAAAAAGGGTAATTGATTAGTCTGCTCCACTTTGGCTCATATATATGCAGTACCTCATAGATCTGCCTCTTCTTCATACAGAATTAAGACTGTGGGGCCAGGGAGATAACTCAGAGTGCTAGCACACATGTTTTATATGCAGATGTCCTAGGGTTCTTTCCAGATACCACATGACCACACCTCCACCCCTAGTGCCACTAGGCCTGAGCACTGAACCATAAAGCCCACAAAGCTGGGCCAAGTATTCCCATTGCCAGGTCCCCCAACCACTGCTGGGGAGCCCCCCCACCCAAGGAAAACAAGACATCCTAACTTTTATTAAGTTGATTGAATATATTTTTGGTTCTTAAGTGAAAATTCAGCATTTCAATAGTTTTTTGTTAAGATTTTTGTCTCCTTGCTCATTAATTGGCTTTAACTTTGTCCTTTATCCCAGGTGTTAATGAAGAAAGTTGTTTCTCTTTTCTTCGCTTTATTGATGTTTCTCCATCAGAAATGGCAAACCTTATGCTTCAGGGACTTTTGGCCAGGTAAGAAATTTGCTGTTTGAATCAAGGAGATGGGCATAAATAGATAGAAGTAGTTGAGTACTAAGAGATTAACTATTTGCATTACATCTTAGCCTCATTTTTCTTTCCGTTAAAAATTTAAAGGAAATCATAATTTTTAAAAGCATTTGGTAATGATGTTTTTACACTATAAACAAAAATTGTTAGGATTTCCTTCTTGATGCTTCTAGGAGATCTTCAAGTCTTCTCAATTTTTCATTATTTTGCTTTGTTCTATTTGCTCCTACAAGGCAAACGTTTGTCCTGATGAAAAGACTGATGGTTTGTCTAGTGAGTAGTGATTGTAGATATATTACTGTAAATGCTCTGGGAAACTGGCTCTATGGTCTTATTCTTTGGAATGATTTTATTTTGTTACTTTATGTAATGATGATCTCATTCAGAAAAGCTGTCTTTCTAACAGGATTTTTTAATGATAGAATAGCATAAGATTGATTGTTAATAGAAGAGCTTGACATAGGAATTTAATTTTTTAGAGGTTTTTTTTTTTTTTACTTTATTTTATTTAATTGGTGGGGGAGTGGGGGGCGCACCCTGCAGTCCTCAGGGGTTACTGGCTCTGCACTCAGGAATTACTCCTGGTGAGGTACATGGAACCAGACCATATGGGATGCTAGGGATCAAACCCACATTGGCCACTTACAAGGCAAACACCATACCTGTTGTACTATCACTCTGGTACCCCAGATTTTACTTTTCACAGCAAGTCAAACATGACAAAGTTTGACTATACGGAACACAAGTATGAAACAACTTTTTCAAAAAGAAATAACTTACTTAGGGTTGGTCTGAAGCCGCAGTACAGCGAGTTGAGTGTTTTGCCTTGCATGTGACGGACCTGGGTTCAATCCCTGGTACCATATACACTCCCTCAAGCCTGCCAGAAGAGATCTCTGAGTGCAAAATCGGAAGTTAGCCCTGAGCAGCACTGTCCTCCTGTTGTTCATTGGTTTGCTCAGGTGGGCACCAGTTACGTCTTGTGAGACTTCTTGTTACTGTTTTTGGCATATCAAATACATCACGGGTAGCTTGCCAGGCTTTGCCGTGCGGGCGAGATACTCTTGGTAGCTTGCTGGACTCTCTGAGAGGGGTGGAGGAGTCGAACCCAGGTTGGCCGCATGCAAGGCAAATGCCCTACCTGCTGTGCTATTGCTCCAGCTCAGCCCAAAAACAAAAATTATTTTTAGGGCCTGAGCAATAGTGCAGTGGGTAGGGTGCTTGCTTTGCACTTGACCAGCCAGTTTTAATCTCTAGGCCATATGGTTCCCAAGCCCTCCGAGAGTGATCCCTCAGTGCAAGGCCAGGAGTAATCCTTGAGCACCACTGGGTATTGTCCTGTCCACACCCCCTCCCCAAAATAAAAAACCATTTTAAAAAATGTTCAGGATTTATAAAAGAGATATAATAACTGAGAGGTAAGGTTCCCCACTGCTATGAATGAACCATAAACCTCCCCGGAGCACTGAATAAGCATGTCTGCTGTGGTTTGTTTCAGATGGTTAGCTCTTTTCCTGTCTCTGAAAGCCTCCTACAGGCTCCATCAGCTGCGTTCCTGGGGAGAGCCAGAAGGAGATACCCACCAGAGATATCTCAGAAACAAGGATTTCCTCCTTGGGGTTAATTTTCCACTCTCCTTTCCTAATCTTTGTAGCTGCCCTTTGTTAAAGGTAAGCAATTATTTCAGCATCTGTTATCCATGTAGTACTCTCTTTTTCTTTTTCTTTAAACTATTAAATATAATAGTCATGGAAGGCATCCTGATATCTAAAAGTTTCTTTTTTTTTTTTTTTTTAGTGAAACACCATGAGGTATAGTTGTAGACTTACAAATTTTTGTGCTTGGGTTTCAGTTATACATTGATCGAGTACCCATCCCTCCACCAGTGCCCATTCTCCACCACCACCAATCCCAGTATCCCTCCCACCCCCCCATCCCACCCTGCCTCTGTGTCAGGGTACTCCCTTCTTGTTCTCTCTCTCCTTTTGGGTGCTGTGGTTTCCAAAAGAGGAATTGAGTGGCAATCATGTTCGATCTATAGTCTACTTTCAGCATGCTTCTCCCATCCTGGGAGGATCCTCCCAACACCCTGTATTTGATGCTTCCTTCTGTATCTGAGCTGCCTTTACCCCTAGAGTATGCGGCTGGCTTCCAAGCCATGGAGTAAACTTCCTGGTATTTATCTCAGCTATTTGTGAGTGTTAGTCTCCTATTTTGTTACTTTATGTTCCCCAGATGAATACAGTCTTTCTGTGTCTGTCCCTCTCTTTCTGACTCATTTCACTTAGCATGATACTTTCCATGTAGTACCACTTGTATGTAAATTTCATGACTTCATCCTTTCTAACAGCTACGTACGTAGTACTCCATTGTGTATATGTACCAAAGTTTGTTTAACCAGTCATCTGTTCTCGGGCACTCAGGTTTTTTTCAGATTCTAGCTATTGTAAACAGTGCTGCAATGAACAAACAAGTGCAGATGTCACTTCGTCTATACTTTTTACCTCTCCAGTGTATGTTCCCAGGAGTGGTATTGCTGGGTCAAATGGGAGCTCAATTTCTAATTTTTTGAGAATTGTCCATACGGTTTTCCAAATGGGCTGGACCAGTCGGCATTCCCACCAGCAGTGAGGGAGGGTCCCTTTCTCACCACATCCGTGCCAACACCCGTTGCTTTTGTTCTTTTGGATGTGGGCCAGTCTCTGTGGTGTGAAGTATCAGCATTACTTCTGATCTCCTTAGCATTATGAAAAGCTGATTCAAGACTTCAGTTTTCTATTAGATTGATTGTATTTTTCTTAGAGATTTTAGTTGTTTGTGTATTGCAGTTATCTTGACTTCATAACTTGATTTTTCACTCTATGTACGTGTGCATGTGTGTGCGTGTTTTAAGTTTGCTGATTTGTGTGTCCTTTCTGTTCAAGTCTTTCCCTGTATTAAAGTTTTGGAGATGATCTTTTTTTCTCAGAAAGTTTTTCTGTTTATATTTTATTTTCTAGTATCCAAAAAATTGGGAGAGTGTTTGTACATATGTTAAGACTTGTCTCTTTTTTTAATTATTATTTCCTTTGGGGCCACACCTGTGAAGCTTAGGTGTTATTCCTGTCTGTGCACTCAGAATCATTCCTGGTGGTGTTCAGGGAACTATATGGGATGCCAGGGTTCAAACCTGGGTTGGCCTCATACAAGGCAAACAAGCACTGCCCTATCTCTCCAGCCCCTCTGTTGTGAGTTTGTCTTTTATTTTTCTTTTTGGGTCACACCTGGCGACGCTCAGGGCTTACTCCTGGCTCTCACTAAGGAATTACCCCTGGCAGTGCTAGAGGGATCATATGGGATCCTAAGGATCAAACCCAGGTTGGCCACGTGCCGGGCAAACTCCCTATCTGCTGTACTGTCATTTCACCCACCCTCCTGTTTTTAACATACAGATATTCCTATGCATTTACCCAGTTCCATTTATTGGAGCTCGAACAGCCTTAATGAAGCTACAGCATTACCTAATGTTGAACAAATGGCCATACACTCTTAGCTCTTTTTCTTACTGTTCTGTTCTGATAGTTCATTTGTCTGTCCTCGAACTGGTACAAATCTGATGTCTAAAATTTACCTTAGAGTCTGGGAAATGTGGGTACAGCTGGTAACTGGTTTGATTATTTTTGATCATTACTTGTTTTGTTTGCATTTGAATTGGTAGCAAGAAGCATTTCTTGAGAGTGAGTCTTACTGGTGGAGTTAGGTTAATGTCTAGAAGTCTCAATTGTAAGAGTTCAGTTTTGTGCTAGCCTTTATTATAGTAGGTTATCAACACCTACAATAGGTAATTACCCTACAGCCTAGCACCTTCATAAACAGCATCTCTTTTAAATTCTGTTGTTCAGGAACTTAGAAACAATTTAGGTAGATGGTTCTGGCTCAGAGAATGTCATGAACTCATAGTCCAGCTAACAGCTAGAATTGCAATTATCTGACAGATTGACTCAAGCCACAGTATCTGCTTCCAGGCTGATTCACTTACATGCCTGGCAAGTGTTTGCTGGCTGTTGGATGGAGGCCTCCTTTTCTTGCTGTATGAACTTTTCCAGGGAACTGTTTAAATGTTACTCCTGGCATAGCAGCTGCCTTCCCCCAGAGACAGTGATTCAAGACACAGGACATATAGGAGCCACAACACCTTGCAGGTCACTAAGTCTATGGGAAAGGAAGAAGGATAAGTCTCAAACAGAGCGAGATATGCTACCTTATTTTCAGAAATATATCTTGTTGTATCTTAAAAATGACCAAACCTGGGGCTGCAGCGATAGCACAGCAGGTAGGGCGTTTGCCTTGCACGCGGCCGACCCGGGTTCGATTCCCAGCATCCCATATAGTCCCCTGAGCACCACCAGGTGTGATTCCTGAGTGCAAAGCCAGGAGTAACTCCTGTGCATTGCTAGGTGTGACCCAAAAAGCAAAAAAAAAAAATAATGACCAAACCCCTCCCATTGATTTGCTGCTCTAGTCTGTGATAATATAAGTAATTTGAAAAAAAGACTTGTATATTTTAAATTTTAAATGATTATCTATTAAATAAATACTCAGAGAACTTTGACTTGCTATTGATGAAGAATCCCCCAAACAGGAAGTTTCCCAAAACTCTTCCACTACATGTTAATTTGCAGCTTATGGTATCTATTTCCATCATCATTTCCTGAGTTGGTGAGAGCTGCCAGTCCCACTGTGGAAAACTCTGGGAAGCCATTGTGTTCATGGTGTTTCTCTATTTTATTTTCCCCTTTTTTGTTTGATCATTTAAAATCTCTGTGGAAATAGAATCTATGTAGTCTAGCAGTTGACCTATAAATACTTTGAGACTTTTTCTCTATATCTAAGTTTAATATGCTAAGAACAAAAGCAAAAATTTTGACTTACTGATTTTTAAATAGTAAAGACATAATATTAACATAAATATTTCCTTTTAATTTTTCACAAGACCCGAAGTACAAAGTATGACCCGGTGGTAAAGGGCTGAATCTCTCTAAAAGAAAAACGTCTCTGTATTTCTTTGCTATCCTGTGGTAAAAATGTATAGCTGTGGCGCCTGTAATCCTGGCCCACTCCTTATTTTCTCTTGAGACTCTTTCATGGTGCCAAAAGACTCTTTGCCAAAGCCTAACTTCATTGCGATGTGCATGTTCTGGTGCTGGCAGCAAGATGCACACAGCTGCCAGTGTCTGCAGGATAACAAGACATTCAGGCGCATGAAGATGGAACAACAGAATAGCAAAGCCTGTGACCCCATTAAAACCAAGTCACATCCACCAGAGTGTGCCATTCTGTTACTTTTTTCCTAATTTGTTTCCAGCCAAACTTACTAAAGAAGTAAAGATCCTCCTTTTCTCTCTCTTCCTGGACTTCAAACCACCCCCAACATCTTACATGGTATTATTTGAAATGTCCTTTGTGTTCTTCTGTGTTAAGCCTTTAATTTTTCTGTGTCTAGCATTGTCTAATAGTTCGTGTTGTTATGTAAATGCTATGTTATCTAGGAGACAATACTAAGGAGGACTTAATGGAATAAATCAGTGTCAAAGAAAATAATCTAATAAAGTATAGGTTGAAAAATATGTTGGGAATAGGGAAGGGGTAGGTACAGTGGGTAGGGTGCTTGCCTTATATATAGCTAACTCAGGTTAAATCTCTAGCACCCTATATGGTCCCCTGAGTCTGCCAAGAATAATCCCTGAGTGCCAAGCCAGAGTAAGCCCGGTGCACAGCCGCATGTGGCTCAAAAACAAAAATGAAACAAAACAAAAAAGACAAAGTATGTTGGGAATATAGTTAGGGTTTTTCTATAAGTCATTTAATATAGTGATTTTTCCAATGAGTGTGCCACTTTACCTTAGAATATATAAAGAAAAGTTTATATATTCTAATTTAGAAATGACTAACCCAGAGAATAGAATTATCAGGCTTTTTCTAGAAAAGTGTTAAAACATACTTTGTTAAAAGGACTCTACAATGAATATTACATTCCTTTTTTATTCACAAAGATAGTGCTAAAGAGAAAATAATTAAAAATGGTCATTGTTTCATCTTTCACCTTTATATTCTAAGAAGAAGAAAGAAGCAGACTTCTACTTAGTTTGTCATTTGAGGACACTTAAGAGAGACATTTGGCTCTAAGTAGTGTTTTTTGTTAGAAATGGTAGTATTCTGGGCTGGAGAGATAGTACAGTGGGTAGAATGCTTGCCTTGCCTTTGACCAACCCAGATTCTATACCCAGCACTCCATATGATCCCCAAGTCTACCAGGAGTTATTCTGAGTGCAGAGCCAGGCGTCAGCCCTCGGTACCACCAAAAAGAAAAAGAAGTAATAGTATTTACTGGGAAGAAGGTCTTTAAGTCCAATGTTTAATATGTGGAATTTCCACTTGGCTTACTTTAAACTGGATTATCAATAGCACTTATTCCTGTTTTTGTTTTGTAGTCTCTTGTTTTCAGCAGCCACTGTAAAGCAGTGAGTGGCTATTCAGACCAGGTCATCCATCAGCGGAGATCAGCTACCTCCTCGCTTCGTTGCTGCCTGCTCACTGAGCTGCCATCTTTTTTGTGTGTGGCCAGCCCACGAGTAAGTATCATAGGAGAGAAGAAAAATAAATGGTAGTTGGGCCTGAAAGATTGTGCAAAAAGCTGGAGTGCGTGACTTTATATGGGGAGGCACTGGGTGGTCTGAGCATTGCTAGATGCAGCACTGAGAATCCCCAACACACTGCTTGGGAAGCCTCTTGGGGTTGGGGTGGGCGTGGGCGTTGGTATTTAAAGAAATAAACCAATTTTCAAGGGCATCTGTTTCATAAACAGGACTACTTCAAGCCATTTAAATCTGGAGAGCTATGTTTAGCTCTCAGTGTTTAGGAAATGTATCCATAGTTTTGTCCTACCCATAGTAGCATTCCTTACATTGAATTGTGTTGGTTTGAGAACAGTTGGGTCTTGGATAAGAATTGTTGGTTTTCCTGGCTATGTCTCTCCTGTGTTTCTCATCTAATTGGGCCCTGACTACCCTGGAAGCATGCCATCTGTCAGGTAGATTATCACCCGCAGCAGCCTCAGGAATGTGGAAATATTTGAAAAGAAGAGGGAGCCATTTGTCACCTGCATTGGGGTTTGGGAGGGGTTTTCAGGGGGGGAGACCAGATTGGGAGGGAGATTTGATCTTGCCTTATCACCACAGTACAGTCTGTGACTAACGGAGTGAAAGGAAACATAACACTCCAACATCAAGACATTTCTTAGTCTGGTGAGCGCTTGCTTTCTTGAACTCCCCTGTCCATGGTTCACAAGTGTGTTCCCTATGAAAAGAGGCTGTTGCACCATATTTGCCATTCAGCAGTCATGGTCTTATTTGCAGATTGGGGGTTTCTATTGTGGTTTCAACTTTGAGCAGCTGTTGGAACCTTCCTAATACCCTGTTTATGAAAACAGGGTTCTCTGGTGGTTGCCAGCAGCATTGCTTTTACAAAGGCTCTTTTTGGCACACTGTAGTTGTTTGCTTTGCTTACATCTTCCGCTCCCTTTCCTGTCCTTACTGCTCAGAGTCAGACAAAAACTCTTACAACCATAAAGTATATGAGAAGAGAGAAACAAGTAGAAATATGGCCAGGCTCTGGTTAGTGCAAAGAATGATTTTTATTTCCCAGCTTCTTGTTTTTCCTTTTAGTCTAATAGAAGAGCCTGGAGATTCTAAGAGGCTAACATTTTTCACCCTTCTGGATTTTTGTTTTCTCCGTTATCCTGCTAAGTCTCAGTATTTAAGGGGAATTCCCTCCCCTTTTGTGGGGTAGGGGATGGGCAGTGCTTGGGCATTCCTGACCCTCACACATGTAAGGCAAGTGCTTTGCCACAGAGGTATAGACACAAGGTGGGGCCTTTTGAATCATTCTTGTTATTTTTCTTGGGGGGTGGGGAGGAAGGGGATTAGGCCACACCAGGCTCTGATATTCTTGACTCTGTGCTCTGAAGGAACTGTGTGGTGCTAAGAATCGAAGGATTGCCCGTGTGCTAAGCAAGGCACCTTAACTCCTGTGCCCCCTCTCCATTCCCTATGTGATATTTTTCTGCACTTATATTAGCTTATGTCCTTATTTTATAAAGCAGACAAAGGTCTCAATCTGGCAAAAGGTTTCAAGATGATGAATGGATGGAGGTGAAGTGGTAGTATTGAGTTGCATTGACTCCTACCTGTCTGGATTTCTTTCTGCTAGTGCTATATTAAGTAAACATGATTCCCTTGCTACTTTCAACTTAACTTTGATTTATATTACCTATGTAGAAGGTATGTGGGTTTTTATTACTATTATTATTAAGTTCTACGAACTATTTTTAGAAATTATCTTAAAACCAAACACATAGAGGAGCTGGAGAGATAGCACAGTGGGTAGGGCCTTTGCCTTGCATGCGGCTGACCCAGGTTCGATTCCCCACATCCCATACGTTCCCCTGAGCACCGCCAGGAGTGCCTCCTGAGTGCAGAACCAGGAGTGACGCCTGTGCATTGCCGGGTGTGACCCCAAAAAAAGCAAAAAAAAAAACAAAACCAAACACATAGAAAACAGCCTTCAGGGCCAGGGATATAGCTCAACAGTATAGAGCATTTGCATCACATGTGTGTTGCATGAGATCAATCCCTGGCACCACAAAAATAAAATAATAATCACCAAGAAAAGAAGAAAGCAACCTTCAAACTTCATAGTTGTTTCTTTTCTTCTCACTTTCCTAATCTGCTGTGTATACAAGAGTACGAAGAAAAAAAAAAGAAGCCACCTAGATTTCTGAGGAAGGGATGCCAAAATATTTTTATTTCTCTTATCAGTATTTTATAGAGCCAAAAAAAATGAATTGTCTTGGTCTCTATATTATGGGCATAAGATTATTTTGGGGCTAGAGAAATAATACAGCTGTTCAGACTTGTGCCTTGCGTGCAGCCCACCCTGGTTTGATCCCCAGCACCACATAGTCCAGGGATTGAGCATTGCAGGGTGCAGTGCTGGAGACCTCTAGCACCACCGAAGGAATCCTAGAAGCCTCCAAGCTCCTTTGGGTGTCCAGCAAGTCCCAGCACTACAGGCCCTGAACGACTCTGTATCCTTGGGCCCTCCTGTGACCCACCAGCCTAGCTGGCCAAGAGTCTCCGGGAGTATTTGCACCATGGTTATGAAGACCAAAGAAGAATGTTAAATCTGTCTGTTAAACATTTTATACATACATAGACAGGTTTCTACTTTTCACTTCGGGCCTGAAGTACAAGGGAAGCAATATTTTAGAGAGTCTTCAGTTATCTAACTTTGATATCACACCCTGTGTGGTGGGAAGAAACCGATTTCCTTTGAAATCTTAACCCTGACCTTGAGTTAAGACGAATTAATTTCCCTGGCACATGCTATGAAAACTTTAGGGTCAGTTCAGGAAGAACTGTGCCATTAAGGAAGGAATTATAGCAGCTGTTTTCTCATTAGCTAGGAAATAATTCTGCCATGTTAATAAACTAAGACCCTGGGAATTCATCTCAGAAAAAAATGAAGTGCTTGGAGCGGTCACGCTTCTTAGAGCTAGAGCAGGAATATGCATGTCCTCAGGAAGGACGCGCTGAATGCTTGAGGAGGCAGCCCAGAAGACACCATAGTTCAGAAAGTTAATGAAGCAAGAAGCAGGGGTTAGCCGAAGGGAGTGCGTCCTCATCTTTCGGAGGGAAGATTGGTGTGTCATGCTTCATCCCCCCCACCCCCACCCCACCCCTCTTGAAGCCATCAGGAAGGCCATTCAGGGTTAGAATTGGTAGAGGCTGTTTAGGATAGAGCTGACTTGGAAAGCTGGAATTAAGGAGAAACAAACTTGCCCCCTCTAGTACCGCTTGACTCACAACATGACATTCGATGATTTTCTTTCCATGTATCTTAACCCAGGGTTCTTGTCAAAGAAGTTTATCAAAGGAGTAAAAATAATAATATTTTAGTAAGAACTGTGCCTTATAAACTTCTCAGTTTACAGTGCCTGAGCTTTGGAAGAATATCAGCAGAGGAAAAATTGAATTTCATAATTGGAAAAGTGATTTTGTGGGACTGAAGCGATAGCATAGTGGGTAGGACGTTTGCCTTGCACGCGGCCAGCCCGGGTTCAATTCCCAGCATCCCATATGGTCCCCCAGCACCACCAGATGTAATTCCTGAGTGCATGAGCCAGGAGTAACCTCTGTGCATCGCTGGGTGTGACCCAAAAGAGAAAAAAAAAAAGGCGGGGTGGGAGTGATTTTGTCTTAAAAAAGTGTGTAGGGCCAGAATGCTCAGGGACCGGTGCACATGCTTTGCTTGCAGGAAGCATGCCTTTCACTCAGGAATAACCTCTGAATACCTTTCTGGTAGTAATTAGTTCTTAAGCACCCCAGGGTGTGATCTAAAAGTTAAAGAATAGGGGTAGGTGTTCTTAGAGATGAGTCCTAAGCAAAAAAAAAAAAAAATTTCCCTGTGTTTTTGGCCCAAAAGATTTCTGGGTTTGGTTTTGGGGCTACATCTGGCAATGCTCAGGGCTTACTCCTGGCTTCACACACAGGGATCACTCCTGGTGGGGCTCAGGGGACCATATATGATGCCAGGGATCAAACCTGAGTCAACCACGTGCAAGGCAATCACCCTAACTTTGTATTATCTCATCAGCCCCGTGGCCCAAGTTTTTATATATCACTGTATCACTGTCATCCCATTGTTCATCGATTTACTCAAGCGGGTGCCAGTAACGTCTCTATTCGTCCCAGCCCTGAGATTTTAGCAGCCTCTCCTTACTTGTTTTCCCAATGATTGGAGGCTCTTTCAGGGTCAGGGGAATGAGACCTGTAGTAGTTACTGTTGGCATATCGAATATGCCACGGGGGACTTTCCAGGCTCTGCCCGTGTGGGCGGGATACTCTCAGTTGCTTGCTGAGCTCTTCGAGAGCCATATATATTTCTCTCTATGATTTGTTACCTGCTGCCTGAACCCCATCAAACATGGCTTGATGTTATGGAAAATAGGTAGGAAGTATCTTATGATATGGCCATGCGGTCTGGAAAGTGGCCTGGAGCATGGCGGCAGTTGGATAGTTGAGGTCGGATGCCGGGGTCGGGTCCCTTGGGGCGGGGAGGGCTCTCACCCACCCTCCTCTGGGATGCCTCAAGTGAAAGTGGTGCGGAACCCAGTGGCATGGTTATGGGAGTCTCATTTTATTCTCCCTTTCAGGAGAAGCAGCCGTGAGTTCTATATAAGAACTTACATATAAGTTCTGTCTTTCCACAATATATATATAAAGGGGGAAAAAAACCACACTTCTCTTTGGATACAAATTGCCAATTGTCTGTCACTTGAAAAGACAAGGTATGCAGTACTCATCCAAGAGTGAATACTACATGAGATAGAAACATTCGTCTGTTGTTCAAACCTATGTCCTTAGTCATATGACAGTTTTGGGGTTTATTTGGTTTTTTGACCTATTCCTAGTAGTGCTCAGGGTGGATGCAATTCCAAAACCCAATCCTCCACATGCAAAGCATGTGCTTTTGTATTTTAAGTTATCTCCCTGGTTTCTCCCTAGTGTTTTTGTTTCTTTGGTGGAGGTGGGGGTTGTCATGCAGCAGTACTCAAGGCTTACTCCTGGATTTACACTCAGCGATCACTCCTGGTCATGCTCCAGGGTGTGCTGTGGAAAACCTGGATCAGCTGCATGCCAAGCAAGTACCTTAACTCACTGTCCTGTCTTTCCTGCTATTAACCTTCATCATTTTTTCTTTGAAACATAGCCACTGTTAATTGTAGGTTCTGGTACTCAAGCCTCATACATACATGAAAAAAGCCAGCTCTGGTCCTTTATCTGCTTGGACAAACTCTAAGGAGACATTGCCCCCTCATTCCCCCAATATGGGAACTACTCCCAATGGTTGGGTTGGTGGGGAGGAAGGGCTCAAGTTAGGCAGATGGTTTCCAGGATCAGACTTCCGGGCCTTACACATGCAAGGCACTTGAGGCACATCCTGGCCAATACCCCCCAATTTTTTTAATGTTTGTTTGGGGATCACACTTGGTACTTCTTCTTGTCTCTTTCCAGTCCAGTGCTTAGGGGATATTTCAGGCAGTACTCAGAGGACCTTATGCAAAGATCAAGCCTGGGGCAGGGAGGGGAGTGGAGGCTGGGGACATGCGAAGAATGAGTTCAGCCTATTGGTTCACCTTCCAGACCTAATATTTTCTTTTTTATTGTATTAAGGTAACATTGTTACAACAGTTCAGTAGTTTCTATATTCATGCTCCTGTTGTGCAAATTTACTGTCTGACATAAGTGCCCAAGACTGCACTATCCTGGTGTTAACTTAATGTTCTGCTTCCTCCATTCCTTCCCTGCATCCCGTTACCTGCATTTCTGTATTCAAACGCAAGACCCAAGTTTTTAATTCCCATTTCTATTTTGTCTGCTTGCTTCTGCTCTGCTTTCTCTTAAAAGAATGAATAACATGAAAACAACCCCTTTGGATGGGGGAAATGATAGGGCATTACCAAAATCCTTGCCTACTTTGGTCTGGAAAAACCAGTTTCTTTGTGAGCCTGTCCAGGCTTTGGAACCCCAGCCCAGCTTACCTGTGAGCCTGTGTAGTTTTACATTTGAACCATAGGTGGCACCACTTCCTAGCAAACTCCGTTCAGCTTCATCTGCTTGCCAGAGTAGTGTATGATGTGGTGATTAGTAAATGATGCTCACACTCTCTCGCTCTCTCGTTCTCTCTCGCTCGCTCTCTCTCTCTCTCTCTCTCTCGTTTTGGTATCCTGTGCACTCCAGCAGAAACACCTGCAGCTGATTAGTAACTTATTCTCCAAGGCAGTGTTCCTCAAGGCTTTCCTAAGATGATTGGCTGCTAGTTAGAAAGTCAGATCTGGAGGGCCTTACACGAAGTCGACTGTCGACCTGGATTCCCTGGCATCCCATATGGATCCACAAGCCCCACCTGCAGTGATCTCTGAGCACCACTGGGTGTGCCCCCCCCCCCAAAAAAAATAAAACAGATCTATTGATTCCTCCCTTAGAAATTCTGAATTAAAAGTTGCACTTTTGATGAACTCTTGAATATGTATGCCAGTCCTTGACAGCCATTGCCCTAAAGATTGATGGGCATAAAAATTAAGAAGTTTGTGACTACAGAGACAGTACAGCAGGTATGTCGCTGGCCTTACTCACAGCTGACATTGGTTTGAGGCCCAGAACTGCTTATGGTCCCCTCCTGAGCACAGCTAATTATGGTCCAAAACCAAAAAAGAAAGAAAAAGAGTGAAAATAGAATATTAATAAGTATAATTTTTTTAATGTCTGACTTTCAAGAAATAGTATTTTATGTTTTCATCTCATCTATCTACCCTCTCTCCTTATATCCACTTCCTCCCCATTTCTTGGTCTAGTGCCAAGGTTTTTCAGAGCAATTTACTGTTTATAATGGGAATTTAGCATTTTTATCAACCTGGACTGGCAAATAATCAAATTTTAACAAAAGGTAGCCTCAGGCTCCTTATCAGATGATTTCACAGACATCTGAATACATAGCTGCTGATTAGCTTGGGAACAGACCCAGAAGAAGGATAAAGGCTATGTTTGAAATTGGCAAGCACCACTTTCCATTGAGAAGCAGCATTTGCCTGTTATTGCACCTTGTGATGTGATAAATATTTGTGCATCGCTGTGCCTTCTCAGTCTGCTCTAGCAATTGCTTTCCTTCCCCCTCCTCCACTAGCTGAAAGAGTCTCTTATCTCCTGTTGGATTTGTTAGTCAGCAGCCTGGTCAGGGGAGAATAGAAGGAGCGTTGAAAACCTTGGGAGTTTTGCCACAAAAAACATTTAAGATAGAGGCCAGAGAGATAGTACAATGAGTAGAGCGCTTGCCTTGCACGTGGCCAGCCTGGGATTGATCCCATATGGTTCCCTGAGAAACTCTGGGTGTGGGCTGGCCCTTTAAAAAAAAAATACAAAACAATACAAAACATTAAAGATTGCCAGGTGTGTGACTCAGTAGCAGAGTACATGCCTTGCAGTTGATACCCTGAGTTCAATAAGATGCGCCAGGCCTATAGTTGTTAATTTTTAATGACGACTAACTTGCTTCAACTCCTTTTCAGATAGCTTTATCTTTAGAGATGACTAATAAAGCAAAAGCAATATTTAGGAATAAAGGGAGGTGGCAGTTTATATGTGATTGCATATAATATTTAAATTATGTGATTATAGGTGATCACAAATTTATTTAAATGTATTTGTATGTTATATATTGAGTATATAATTATACTTAAATTTAATAAAATTTAACATAAGTATATCAATTTAACTCACATGATAAATAGTATTCCTGACCTGGTATCTCCAACGGTGTTTGGATGTTACAAGTTAATGACTTGTAAAATGACTATAAAAGAAAAGAAAAGATCCCTAACTCAGTCAGAACAGTAGAGATCAGACACTGATCTCAGAATTACCCATATTAATATGATTTCGAAGTCGATGTTCCTAAAAGACAGTAAGTATGGAAAATGTGAATGAACCACTTCACGCCAATTTTTTGCTGCAGGTCACCGCGGTGCCATTGGACTCTTACTGCAATGACCGGAGTGCAGAATATGAGCGACGAGTGTTGAAAGAAGGAGGGAGCCTGGCAGCTAAGCAGTGTTTGTTAAATGGGGCCCCAGAACTGGCAGCGGACTGGCTAAATCGACAGTCCCAGTTCTTCCCAGAGCCAGCGGGAGGACTGTGGAGCATTAGGCCTGAGAACGGGTGGTCTTTCATCAGGATTCCAGGTGAGTTGTATGCATAATTCTTGGCATGTTTCCAGCTTTGACAAGGAGAATGAGGGAGGTGCCCCATGGGGCCGGGCGGAGGGGAGTGTGTCTGGGTTGAGGAGAGGGGTCATGTATCTAAATTTCAAAGTTCTTGGGGTTTGTTTCTATTTCCTCTTTTGCCTTTACTAACTTACAGGTAGGAACACTGAAAAGATTTTGGTATCTTGTATCCAGATTCAGAGATATGTTTTTTAGATAGATGCTTAAATACAAATTTACAGCTGAGAAAGAAAGGAATGCTGCTCTTAAAACGACGTGGGGGGTGGTAAGAAATAAACTTCGTAGGAAAGGCTCCAGGTCGAGGGAGTACGGTGTCTTTGCCATTGCCAGTGGAATGAATGAGAATGTCGTCACTCCCAGAAAGCCTCATTTGAGCTTCATAAACAGTGTCTTGCACGAAGCACTAGAGATCTGAATGATAACCAGAAGAAAAACATTGTGTTTTGTGCCAGAGTGCTAGCGGATTCCCAGACCTCCTGTGGTCAAGGTCGAGGGTTGAAAGGAAACAAGGTTTTCATCTTTGCTTTAGTGAGACTACTTTTAAGGAAACTAAACACAGGGTTCATAGGCTTGTGTTCTTTGCTTGCACCTGCTAACAAATTGAGTGGTGACAAAGCTACAGTGTGTTTTATTTGTCCAAATTATCTGATACATTGCTTGTGTTTATCTCATTGAAGAGAGATTCCAGGGTTAAATGCCTGAGTTTTCCATTTATGTTAACTCTCTCAAGGGTCAACACCTGAGAGCAATTTGGGGAATACTTGAACTAGAAAAAACTCGTGGGTATATGAGAAAAAGATGCATTGGTGGAAAACAAGGTGGAGAGCCTAAATCTAAAGCAGGCCTGAATAGTAGTGGGAATAGAGGAATAAATCCAGCAAATGTGGAAACCACAGAATCCTGGGCAGGAGATGACCACAGGTATTGAACGAAGCAGGACACCACCTTATTCTTTCTCCCTTTCTGGCTCCTAAATTCCCAGTACAGGAGTAGCAGGCTTATTGCTGGCGCTGTGGGAATCTCTTGTGGCTTTTCCTGTTCTTTGAAAGAAAAATGGACCTTGTTTAAATAGCAGGAAGTGTCTGAGTTCTTTTCACATCGATAAAAAGCACCAGCCTCACTGGCTGTTTACTGTGAGAACCAACCAGCTCCTCACTGACCCCATTGTGCTCTGGGGGCTGACTGGGGCAAGGCAGCTGGGGGGGAGGGGATCACTGCAACCTGTGTTATATATCTCTTTCCTCTAGACATTTTTTTTTAAATCTTTTCTCTTACCCTGGAAAGGGTTGGTTCCTTTGCATCCTTGAAAGACTAAAAGCCCCTGAATTTCAGACCTTGAATGCATCCTATCTGTGTCATCAGAGGAAGATTACACACCCCCTTCAAAAGTCTCCTGGCCCGACATGGTCCCCCACACCCAAACACCAAGCTGGGAATAGCCCCTGAGTACCACCAAGTGTGGTCCAAAAAACCAGAGTAAAGTAAATAAAACAAAAATCCCCTCCTGTCCTTGGGAAAATGAAAAACTATAATTTTATAGAGCCAAAGAGTACAACAGTAGGGCGCTTGCCTTTCATGCAGCCAACCTGAGTTCGAACCCCATAAACCTCCTGTGATTCCCCCATGCTTACCACTAGTGATCCCTAAGCACAGTAGGTCTTGCCCAAAAACTAAAAAAAAAAATTGAATAATAATAAATTTTACTACCATGAAATATGGTGTTTTTGTTTTTGTCATTCTTTTTATTTATAAAATAAATATTTTGTCTGTGATCAGTAAAAATGTGTTTCCTTAAAAAAGAAAAAATACTATAACATTTTACTGTAAGATTAGTGTTCTGCAGGCTTTAAGAAAGTTGGGTAGGTCTATTCAACATTTTCTTACTTCCTGTTTTAGAAAAGGGGCTGGACATGGGTTTGACATGATGGGATCAGCCAGCCAGTTCTAGGTGATTGTGTTCTTCTTACCAGCTAAGCAATGGGTGATGCACTTCACCCTGTACTTCAGTAGCACTTAAAAATTGGGCCCAGAGGCTAGTGATGTGCAGAGAAGGATGAACAACTTTCCAGCCAGGGAGTATTGGGTGGCCTCCTCCAGTGAGCACCTTCTCCTGAAAAGCAAAAATATTGCTATTGTTTTGAATGTTTTAAGACTGCTGCTGAAATATATTTCTTCTTAGGTCTTTTTCTTCACAGCAGCCCAAAGAAACTCAGTTCTTATATTCCTACCTTTCTGTAGGAGTATCTGAACTTCTAGCAAGCTAGAAACATAAGGAGTAACACTTACTTTGCACAGGTGTTTCCAAGTTCCAGCCTTCTGAGTCAGTGCACTTCTCCATCTGACTTTCCTAATCCTAGAATTGCTTCATTAAGACTGGTAAAGGAAAGTATATGTGGAAAGCAGGAATGTGCTAAGACCATTGAATCATGAGTTTAAGATGAATTGAAGCTCCTTATTTAGACAGAAAGCAAATTTGTATGTGCTTAAATGTTTGCATTTGAAGGAGTTACAAATGGTGAGGGAAGAAAGGCATACTGCAGAAATTTGATGGCCTTAGCTTGCCTGCTGTCCCTCAGTTAGTGATAAAAAGAAAGATCCCCCACCCCCACTGCTCATGTGCTTTTAATGAGGAATTAAACTTATTGTCCGAAGCTGATCGTGGCTCTGTGGGGAATGTTTAGGAGCTCTCAAAATTGAGGGAATCTCTAAGAATTTTCAGTTAAAGGAGAAGGGTAAGTGTGACAAGAAGAAAACCTTGAAGTTGTTGTGAAAAATGCTGCCTGAGCAGACTTGGAACCTATACAGGACTCCTTGTCTGGTGCCAGGGAGCAGGCTTAGCCGTCAGTTCTGTCCCAGCTGCAGTCATTTGATTGTGTTGGTAGGGAGATCAACAAAAAGAAGAGCATTTCAGTAATCTAAACAGGACCAAACAAAGAGACTGAACAAAGGTGTGTGCCCCAGTATCAGGGAGGGGGTACTGGAGGGAGAGAGTGACCTGGCAGAGTTCCGAAGGTGGGAAAAGGCAGGCTGCAGTGCCGAGGAGTAAACATCCACGACCCGTGTCTTTGTAGCAAAACAGAGTGGCTGATGATTTGTTATGGTGCCGTCAGCACATCCGTTCTTGTTCAGTTTATACAATAATTGTGCACTTGGCAAATAGCAGTGAGAACAGAGAAATGGCCGTTGAGAACTTTTGGCTTGCTCTCAGCAGCTAGCTTCTGCAGTTCTGAGGAAAAGCTGTGGGTCCAAACCCAGAAACAAAAGAGACAGCGTGTATTTTTCGTTGTTTCTGTTGTTTTTAATTCTCAGTTGTTGTCTGTCTACTGTCTCCATTCCTTTCCCTCTCCCTTTTTGTGTTCCATATTCATGCTTAGTCTCCCAGCCCCTTAGGCCTCATCTCTTCCCCTCTAAGTAGCAGCAATTGTTCGGAACATGTTTATGGACTGGTCTGCAAACAGGAAACTCTACTTCCTGAAATGTGATGGGAGTTGAATGATACTGAATGGATAAAATGAAAATTTGTGAGTTAAGTGTTCTTTAAAGATCTCTAGCTGAGGGGCCTCCCCCATCCCCCTTAATGGTAAGCAAAAGGAGAAAACACAAGTTAGTGAGTGAAAGCAGCTTCCATTTCACAGAAATTCTGAATTAATCCTCTGAAAAACTGAATAAGCCCTAGTGTCTTTATTTTATTGTAGCTTGAAATCATTCTGGAGAGGAACTTGTCTTTCAAAACAAAAACAACACGAGTATATTTGTTTATTTACATTTCCATGCCTTTAAGTGTCTACAGGGCCAGGCAAGAGCAGCCCAGGTTTTATACATTCTCAAGCTTTGAGGAGATAAACTACTTAATCACAAGCTAGCATAAACAGATATCAATAAAGTATGAACCAAGTGAAAATAGATTTCTCTGGTTACTATAAGAGCTATAAATGGATATCACTCTTCGGTGTCTGCGTATACCACTCTCACCTGAGTAAGGAGTAGAACAAGGAAACTCTCGAATGCCTTAATGGGGTGCTGTCTGTCGAAAAGGAAGGTACCTCTTCTTTCATGAGATCTCTTCCCATAGCACTGTTGCATCATGGTGTCCTAGTGCTTTGCATTCTTCTTCGGAGTACTTTCCTGCTCTTGTGATGACAAGCATCCTGGTTGTTGTAATTCTGGCTGCGTACAGCTTTGCCATGAGTGATTTTTGCTACTTGAATTAAATACCGTTTCCCCCACTCTCCCTCCCTTTTCTTCTCCCTAGGCAAAGAGAGCCTCATCACTGACAGTGGAAAGCTGTATGCTCTTGATGTCTTGCTGACTCGGCTCAAGTCTCAAGGACACAGGGTCCTCATCTACTCCCAGATGACCAGGATGATAGACCTGCTGGAGGTAGGAGAAGGAAATTGGGAACCTAGGACACCTTGACCCTGAACTTGCAGAAATCAGATGTTTCTAGCTAATGTCAGCCCTGCTAAATGGAAAACGCACAGCTTGTCTTTGTGATTTTATAGAACATTTTTTACAGGAGGATCTCTTGGCAGTTGTGTCTCCTAATACCAGTGAAATGTAGCACCACTTACCTCTTCTTTTTCTAGGGGAAAAATTTCCTGATTATTAAGTATATTAGAACCTAAGAATTTCATCTTTTTTTTCCCTCTTTGTGTTTTTATTCATTTTGGTTGTGAGCTAAATCCACTGGTGCCCAGGTGCTACTCCCAGCTCAGTGCTGGGAGATGGGGAGAGGGGGTCATTCCCACATCCTGGTACCAAGGACCAAACCCAGGGCTCCCACATGAAAAACATTCACTCTAGTCCCCCTAAGATTTCTGTTATAGTCCTTTGAAATTCTGTATGAAAAATAAGATTTAGGACTAGTCTGCTATGTAAAAAGAAACTGGAGAGCGGCTTGCTACTCAATCTGAGTTGATGTAGTGGTCTTGCAATCTCCTGAGCCACCAAAAAAATAACAAATACTGATTTCTGGTCTGTGCCCAGAGATTCTTATTTAATAAGTTTGAGATTTTTTGGTGTGTGTTTGGCAGGGCACACCCTATGGTGCTTGGGGGTCGTTCAGAAGACCACATGGTACGAGGGATCAAATTCCAGCCTCTTGCACACAAAGTTTGCACTTAGCCCATTGAACTATCTCTCGGGTCCCTTAAACTTGAAATGAAACCTAGGCATCAAAATGTTTAAATATTTGAGATGATTCTAATATGCAACCGAATTTGACAAACTGCTAGATTATGGTGAAAGATTCATCTATATCTTATTGTACAAGGTAGTCTTTTTTCTTTTTTTTTAATTTATCATCGATTACAATATTGTAGGAAATTACAGATTTAACCTAACACTTCTGTATGTGTATAAGACCAACCATTTCAAGTCCAGTGTATGGCAGCTTTTGTTTCTTTAGTTATTTCTATATGGTTGTTCTCTCTGCTTTCTTACTGTCCAAGTAATACCTAATTACTCTTAATGAGAGGCAATCATGATGTAGGAACTTGGGAGTGAAAGTGAGAACAAATACCTATTCAACTACATTTTTTTAAATTACATTTTTAGTACAAGAAAGTTAGAAAGCCAGCAGTGTAGATAGTCTCATGTTTTTCCATGGGTTTTATATATTGAAGATAACATACTCTAGTTTTGCTACTCCATGGAATAGTTTGTAATAAATAAGTGTAAACTGACCATGGTTTTCCCTATTTAGGAATAAGAGGATAAAAATTGTATCAGTATAGATAGAGTGGACAGTGGGAATAAAAGGATTGTGGGGTTTTTTTTTAAGTTCTTGGAATGACTTGCTACAATATAAACTTTATCAGAATTCAGTGACAGACTCCTTTTAATAATCTTGTAACTTAGTTGCTAGACGAAAACCATAACAAATTGTATTAGAGGTCAACTTTATCACTGACTCTTGTGCTTAATTTAGTGAAAAATGCTGTCAACAGGCCAAACTTGCTTGTTTGTATTATGAGTAGGTCATAAATGATATAAAAATGCTACTTACTGCAAGTCACTGTGAAAGTAGTGCTTGAGCCATTATATTAAAGGCCCTAAGTGCAATAGAAAATAAAAGGATTGCCTCTATCTTACAAGTCCTTTTCAAACCAAGTGATAGCAGTAACCAAAACAGTATGAGTAGCTTTGGGGCTGGAGAGATAGTACAGTGGGTTGGGTACTTGCCTTGCCTGTGGTTAACTGATGATTTGGTCCCCAACATTTCAGATGGTCCCTCAATCACCTCCAGGAGTGATTCCTGTGAGGAGAAACCCCTGAGCATATTAAACTAGTTCTTTTTTTTTGGGGGGGGGGGGGGGGAGTTAAACCCAACAATGCTCAGGGCTTGCTCCTGGCTCAGCACTCAGGGATGAATTCTGACAGACTCAGGGGATCATATGGGGTCACCAGAAAGCAAACCAGGTCAGCCACGTGTAAAGCATGCATCCTATCCGCTGTACTATCTCTCTAAACATAGAAGTTTATTTGTTAAAAATTTGTATTGGACCAGAAAGAGTACAGCAGCTACGGCATTTTTGCCTTGTATCTGGCTGACCCAGGTTTGATCCCCAGTCCTGCATATGCTCCCTCCAGCACAACACCAAGATAACAGAGGAAGAATTAAGCCTTGAGCATAGCCAAAGTGCACACTATACCCAGCAGTGATTGGGGTTACTTCTCACTCGGTTTTGAGATTGATCCTCTCACTCCTGTCTGCAAAACCTGCATGTCATCCTCTTGAGCTCTCGTCTTCACCCTAACTCATTATTTTCTGAAGTGACTTCTTTTGGGGTAAAAAATCTAACTTTAGATTTATTGTATATATCTCATATCTTGAAATTCATTTTCTTGGTGGGAGGGACCTCCCTGAGATTCTTAGCCAGCAGGCCAGCAGTTCATTGCAAGGGGCCAGAAATGCAGTACAATGATACTTGCAGTGCCAGGGGTACCCAGACCACCCCAATGGTGCTGAGAGCCCTCGATCTATGCCCAAAGATGTTGAATCTGAGTAGGGGGTGGGGAGAGAGTGTGTGTGTGTGTGTGTGTGTGTGTGTGTGTGTGTGTTGGGGGGTTGTCCTCCAGAGCTGCAACCAGTGGTACTTGGGGACTGTGTAGTGCTGGGAATTGAACCCAGGTTCGGCGCTTGCCAGGAATGTGCCATAATTCCTGTACTATCTCCTGACCCAACCACCACCATTTTTATCCTAGTTTGGTACCACTTTTCCCACCCACACTCTAGCCCCCAAATATTCTGGTTGTTGGAGAGAGCTTTTAATTCACTGTAAATAATATATTTTATCTCTTCAGATTTCTGTTGAATCAAGCAACAGTCATCTGGTTTAAAGAGGGAAACCTCAGTCTTTCCTGTGCAATGCTGACGTGCTTAAAAGGTTCTGTCCACTGGTGCTTGTATGTGATATTGTTAAGCACTGAAACCTAGAACAATCTTTAACTGCCCTAATTTATGAAAGTAATGGAATACAGAACTGAGTCCAGATAATCCATAATGATGACCTTTTAGACATTGGGTTGTATAATTTTCAGTCAACTTGTCTCCTGAGTCTTCCATCATTTATGAGCTTGCTTGGCGTCAAACTCCAAGTTACCTTTGGGAGTTGTGTTTCTGAACACCATGGGAAACTTAAGTACTCTGAAACTGCCTCAGGGAATGAGAAGCAAATAAATGGTGTCACCTACTTAGTATATTCATTATGCCTTAGAAATGATAGAAAGGGCTGGAGCGATAGCACAGCAGATACCTACAGCGGATAGGGCGTTTGCCTTGCACGCGGCCAACCCGGGTTCAATTCCCAGCATCCCAGCATCCTGAGCACCACCAGGGGTAATGCCTGAGTGCAGAGCCAGGAGTAACCCCTGTTCATTGCCTGGTATGACCCAAAAAAGAAAAAAAAATGATAGAAGGAAATCATCAGCTTATAACTACATTTTATTTGCTAAAATGTGTTCATTTAGTTCATTTCTTTTTCATGCCATCTGAGAGCAAGTAATTGTTCTAGGATGTACTATGTGTAACTGTTTTTCACTTTAAGGAATACGCCTAATGGAGGATAAGCATGAACCTTTTCCTTGAAGTCATGAATATCCTTGATACTTTTCTCAAAAATTAAGCATAGACAAAGCTGAGAATAACGAAGAAAAACTAACCTATCCACATTTATTTCTAACTGGGCCACTTGAAGCAGGCTTCACATAGACAGTCACATCTGACGGAACCTAAATCGAATTTCAACCCTCAGGGAAAGGAATTCCCAACTAAGAAAGCCAGATGTAAAAAGAGAGGGAACATGCAAGACATTTGGGGGTGACTGGAGCATACAGTCTAGGAAAAAAAAGAGGGAATAGTAGGTGAAATGAGGGTACACCTATAAAAGCCATGCAATAAGATCCTGCTCCCAATGGTTCTGTATCAGCTACAGGAGGGGAAGTGTGGGAGGACATGGTTCTCTGACAAGTTGCAGTTTGTTTGGACAACAGAGAGGCTCTAATAGACACTTAAAAAAAGACCCACTGTTTTTGCTGGTGATATGCCCCCAGATTGGAAAGGGCCATGTCTCAGAAATTAAAATTATACCAGGTCTGCATTTTTGGCATCTTTAGGTGTTACTGGTGCTGCTCTGAACACTATGTTGAAATAGCAAGATTCTAAGTGACACCTGGAGATAGAGGGTATCTGTTGCAATAGTCTATGGAGCTCTTTAAAAATAAATGGGGCCAGGACTGACCTACTGTGTTAGACTCTCTGGGGTGGGTCTAGGCACATGTATTTTTAATCCTGATTGAAAATCACTACTCAGGGGCTAGAGCTATAGTACAGCGTGTAGGGCATTTGCTTCACGTGCAGCTGACCCAGGTTCGATCCCCAGCACCCCATGTGGTCCCTAAGCATTGCCAGGAGTAATTTCTGAGTGCAGAGCCAGGAGTAAGCCCTGAGCATCAGCGGGTCTGACCCAAAAAGCAAAAAAAAAAAATTACTCAGATGCCAAGAATGTATCTTGACAGTAACCCCTTGACTTATATGGTAATTTTTTTTAAGTACTAGAATTGTGAAAGGTCTCAAGACTTCCTAAATGTTAAAAGTCATAATGTTATTAGTTGAAGCAGTTTTAGAGTTTACTTTAGTTAATAGTTCTGAGCCACAAGAATCTACTTGAGAATACTGTTCAAATTTATTTACTCAAAGGATCATAAATTCTAAGAATTTTTGGATTAGGTCTACATTTGATTCTCCTAAAAAAGATTAGGAGGGGCTGGAGCAATAGCACAGTGGGTAGGGCGTTTGCCTTGCATGCGGCTGACCCAGGTTCGATTCCCAGCATCCCATATGGTCCCCTGAGCACCGCCAGGAGTGATTCCTGAGTGCAAAGCCAGGAGTAACCCCTGAGCATCGCTGAGTGTGACCCAAAAAGCAAAAAAAGGATAAGGAGCCATAGTAAGGGGGGTATGGTGTTTACCCAGCACACGGGTGACTTGGGTTCGATCTCAATATACCATATCATCCCTTGAGCACTGCCAGGAGTAATTCCATAGTGCAAAGCCAGGAGTAACCCCTGAGCATCACCAGGTGTGACCCAAAAAGCCAAATAAATAAATAAAAAGAGAGAAGAAATTCTTATTTCATGGAGTTTCAGAAAGTTTAATTGATAGATCATTTTTTAAGCCTTTTCTAAATGTCAAAAATGGACTTGGGAGAAAAGTACCTTGGTTTTTAGAGCGCCTGCTATAATAAACGATTACATTAGTGGTCTTTCTGTCCTTTAAACCCTCTTTCATCCATGGGATTGCTAAGTATGACACAGGTCCTACAAAGCAGTGTTCTTGGCTATGGGAGAGGGAGCTACAGAGAGTTGAGGAATGACAGGAATGAAAGTGCCATACTTTTAAAATTTCTAATAGTTACCCAGTAGTTTCTATTGGTTTGATTTGGTTTTGGGGCCACACCTAGTGGTTCTCAGGGCTGACTCCTGGCTCTATGCTCAGGGATCACTCCTGGTAGTACCATTTATGGTACTGAGGATCAAACTAGCACCAACCACGCTCAGGACAAGAACCTTAATTCCTGAAGTATCTCTCTGGCTCCAGTGTTTCTTTTGGACGGGGAGTGAGTTCTAGAGTCACACCTAGGGATGCACAGGATTTATCTGGCTCACTACTCCTGACAGTGCTCCATATTCTTTATCATGGATTAAATAGGATCAGCTACATGTAACAAATCACAAATCATCCTGTTATTCGTCGATTGCCTCAAGCAGGCCCCAGTAACGTCTCCTTCATCCTAGCCCTGAGATTATATTCAAGGCTCTTTAGGAGAATGAGACCCAGCATTGTTACTGGTATTTGGCATATTGGGTACGCCACGGGGAGTTTGCCAGACTCTGCCGTGTGGGCAGGCTACATTCGGTAGCCTGCCAGTTTGTCCAAAGTAGGAATGAGATAATAAGATGTCATAATAGGATGTCGCGCGGTTCCGGGAGCTGGATTTTATAGTCTCTGAGTCTTGGCCGTTGATGGGATTACACAGCGCCAGGGGTCCAGTTGGTGGGTGTGACCCCCGCCTACTGGAATTTGGAGGATCTGGGTAGAGGATGCTCGGCCCAAATCCAAGTAGGCTTAGAGATCTCGGCCCCAGAACCCGTGTGACTTGGTCCCTCTGCCAGTACCTTCATGTGTGCGGAGAGTGGTCTCAGCATGGTGGTGGCTGGTCCTAGAGGTCTTTGGCTGCCGGAACCCTGGTCAGAGTGGGGAGGAAAGCTCAACCCGCTCCCCTCCAAGGGGCCCCGGCGAGGACAGTCAGGCACAGGGGCAGGCGACTGTAAATCAAGTACTTTAACCCTCATAATCTCTCCAGCCCCCGGATAAATGTTAGATTGAGTGCTCTTTTCTGAAGAACCCAGAATTTTGGAGACATCTAGAATTACTTCAGTAAGACTAGAATTTGTTAATGAAAGAAGTTAGTGAATTATATATTAAGCTAATGCAGTATCCTTTAAGTGTTTCTGTATGGCGTAAGGTTGTAGACATTCCTGTCAGTTTGATTTTTTTGGAATCTGTTTACTGAAATAGTATGGAAATTCACCAGGGCCTTCTGAAATCCCATTACTCCCTTGGATGGTAGTGTGAAGGCATCAAGCTTATAAAGATCTCACTTCTAGAGGACAGCAAGATAATGCAGTGAGTATAGAGCATTTGCCTTGCACACGGCCAACTTGGGTTCCATCCCCAGCATCCCACATGATCCTCTGAGTACCACCACCAGGAGTAATTCCTGAATGCAGATCCAAGAGTAACCCCTGAGCATCACCCCCCTCCAAAAAAGAAAAATAAATAGTCTCCTGGATTAATATTTCTGGTGGCATGCTGACCTTGGTATCTAAATTATATGAATAGCAAGATCCCTAAGAAGATTCATCAACGTTTTCATAGAGGTTAGAGATTCTGCTTTAAAAAGAAAAAGAGTAAAAGCATACCTATGCAGGAGCCCTCCTTTCTGTTCAGATCCAAATCTGAGGAATGTTGCCATATAATCGAGTCATTTTTTTCCTGGATGGCAAATGTTCCAAGATTGAGTTAGCTGGTAGGGGATGGAGAGCCTCTAAAGACCATTAACTCTATCTACTTTTCTTTTCCATCTTCTTTCCTGAATTCCTCATTAACCAAAATACTCTCCAGCTATTAGCCCAGCTGTGCCTCTTACTGTGAAGCTCGTTCCAATTGTGTATTTTTTGCCCCTCTTTGGTTATCAAGTCCTTTAAAGAACCACCCCAAGACAGAAACAGTTAAGTATATAAAATACTGTAAAGATGTGTGCCTTGATGTACTTAACTAGGCCAGCTTCACCTCATTAGTACTCTAGCTCAAGGCCTCTGCCAACCCTTCAAAGGAGGTTTGGAGCCAGAGTGATAGTACAGCAGGGAAGGTGTTTGCCATGCGTGCAACTGATCCGGGTTTGATCCCCAGCATCCCATATGGTCCCCTGAGCACCGCCAGGAGTAATTCCTGAATGCAGAGCCAAGAGTAGCCCCTGAATATTGCTGGGGGTGACCCAAAAAGCAATAAAAAAGCAAAAGGAAAAGAAAGGAGGTTTGGCATTCATTTGCTCTAAGAATAAGCTGACACATGCAGTACACCAGCCATAACAAACTTGGTTCTGAAATATCCAACTAGAGGTGAGAACTAGCTGTGAGAATCTTTCAATAAAAGAACGTATGACCACAGAAAATTAATACCATTTCCTAAGTGTAGAAATATACTTTTTCAGTAGGGAACGTTTGTATATGGGGAACATAACCAATAGTGCTAATGTATTACTCCCAGCGATGCTCAGGACATGTGGTAGCAAGACTCTAGAAATCTAGTGGTTTCTGTCCTGCACTCCAACCCTTTGAGCCATCTCTCTGGACTTGTGTTAAGATTTATGTATTTCAAAAGATGGACTTCCTCCCCGCCCCCCCTTTTAAACATCTTTGTTAATGATGCATTTGTTACATGCATTTAGTGTTCTAACACCAATCCTACCACCAGTGTGACCATCCCTCCAGCATTGTCCCCATTTTCCCAACTATACCCCAAGCCTGCCAAATGGATATTTTTTAAGTATAATCCCAGTTGGGGCACAAAGAAATTGTAGCCTTTTTTATTTTACCCTCATTTTGTTTGTGGTTCACACTCATTGGCGCTAGGTCCTTGGGTTGCTCCTGGCCGTGTTTGCTCCAGCAGTGTTCACGGGATCATGCAATGCCAGTGCTCAAACCCAGGCCTTTTTCATGCTGAGTGTGTGTTCAACCCATTGAACTGGCTCTTGAGCCCTGGAATTGTAACTTTTAAGTGTGGAGTTAAGTCCTCTCTGCTGGCTCTCTTGAATTATTTATTATTTGCTTTTGTTTGATGGGAATCGAACCTGGGGCCTCAAACATGCAAGACAAGTGCTCTACTGCTGAGCCACATCCTGGTCCCTGTTTCTCTATTCTTAAAAGTTACACTTCCTTGTGAATGATGTCAAGAACATCCTATGTTGTTGACATAGGATGTCTTGTCTTCTGTCTCAAGCTGGTGCTTTGGCCTCCAGGGACGCATTTTCTGATAGGAGAAGGAAGCTTAGGCTATAAATTCAGGGACTTTGATCAGCAAGGACTTTGAGGGGAGAAATATGAGGGCAAGTGTTGCCTGAGGAAAACTGGATTTTCCATAGCTATGAGACACCTTTTTGGAGGTTTCATTTTTTTGTTTTGTTTTTATAAACTCTAATCTGCAGATTGCCCTCAATTTTCTTTAACTGGGAAAAAATGTAATTTGCAAAATAAGGTTCCTCTAATTTTGAAATTGTTTTCGCCTCATTTTTTATGTGACTTTACACCAGTATGAATGAGGTAGGTGAATAGATGCTTGTGAGAATTAGAGTATAGTGACTTGCATCAGATTTATTCTATGTTTTTACTCTGATTGGCAGGAATATATGGTTTACAGAAAGCATACCTACATGAGGCTTGATGGGTCATCCAAGATCTCGGAGAGGCGGGACATGGTTGCTGATTTTCAGAACAGGTAATTTAAAAAAGAAGTTATAAGAATTCTCATTGTGACTTTGCTGTATCAGTGGCTATCTCTGGGTGTTGGCTTGGAGTTAACTTTTAGTTTCTGTTTTCCTACTTTGTAAATGTTAAAGAGAAATACCTTCCTTTTTTTTTTTTTTCAACTTTCCCTGTACAATTTGTAGTAGCATAGGACATCATGACAAATTGTAGTCCTATGTAGTCAGTTAGCTGGCAACTCTCTGTAGAGTCCTTCTCCCACCTGATATGAGCCTATGAAATTTCAAATGCTGCCTGCTGGATGTTGATGGCTTACAGAGCCATAATTATCCTAAGTGCATGTTCTCACTATAATAAGCAGAGTCCGGTTACTGCTCTCTCCAAGGAGAAAACCAGACTCCACTAGCGATAGGTCTGCTGAGCTCCTTCATCCTTCAGTTTCTTCCTTAGTTCCAGAGAACTAAACAGTAGAACAGATCATAATGTTCTGTAAGTTGGAGCAGTTTTAAAATTTTCTAGTCTCTAATTATGTTGATATGTAGTGTTAATTATTGGGAAGAAAACTGAAAGCACAAAGGCATTTTTATTTTGGTTAAAATTTTTATTTTTAAAGCATGGCATGGTTTACTTCAGGTATTAAATAAATTAGCATAAAACAAATCCATAGATAAATATAAAATGTCCTCTGGTCCAGAATTTTTGCTCTCAGTCCTTTGCAGTGACATACAGGCAAGGAGGCATGTCCTGGTGTTTTGGTTTACCGTTAAGCCATTCACACCTAACCTGAAATGATGCATCAGAATTAGAGTGACCTTCCAGGAAGGTCTGCTTTAGACCTGCTTCAGTTTATTACCTAGGAGAGGTTGTATGATTGTAACCTAATTTCCCACTTAGAGAAGCTACTGGCAGATTCTTGGTTTATTTTAGATATGTATAAAAATAATGGTTCCTGGACTGGAGAGAAGGTCATAGTGTTGGAATACATGCTTTGCATTCACAGGACCCCAAGTTCAATCCCTGTACTGTAGGGTTTCTACTCAGCACTGCAGAAGTGATCCTGATAGCCACTGGCAGTGTTAGGCCTGAGACAAGAACCTTAACCTCAGACCTGGCATTGCTGGGCCGAGTATAGCTGGGGAGTGACCAAGTAACTACTAGAGAGACCCCCACTTAAAAAAATAAATAAAATTATATATAGTGTATATATAGTAGTGGCTACTTACCCTCACCCTTCCCCCAAAAAGTGTATACTAGCTCTTCATCTTTGATTCTGAAATCAAATGAAATGTATTGTACTATCTTGAGAGCTCCAGCAGACAAGAATCTTTGTACAAAATCTGTAGATTCCTGGGGGCTAGAGAGATAGCACAGCAGGTAGGGTGTTTGCCTTGCACACAGCTGACCCAGGTTCAATTCCCAGCATCCCGTATGGTCCCCTGAGCACAGCCAGGAGTAACTGTGCATCGCCAGGTGTGACCCAAAAAGCAATCTGCAGATTCTTTTTTCCGGTGTTGCCAGCACCTCTTCCGTGGGACATACTGAGGTGTCATGAGTTTTATGTTAGAAGAAAAGACGTTAAGTAAAATGGCCGGAGATGGTATAGCAGACAGAGCACTTGCCTTGCATGCCATGGACCCAAGTTTGATCCCCGGCATCTCATATGGTCCTTCTGAGCCCCACAAGGAGTAAGCCCTGAGCACCACTGAGTACAGTCCCAAGAACCGGGGGGGGAGAGGGGAGATGTATTTCACCTTAAATACTTATTGTTGATTTTCCACTGATGTTTGGTACTATAGATTTGGCAGCTCATTAATAGGGAAACTTTTTCCAGTAATAATTGAGTGGGCATATAATAAAATTCCTATTAGTAAAATTTTGAGAAATATTTAGTAAATATAAAAATCACCTATAGGGCCTGGGCAGTGGCATAAGGGCTGTTGTGCATGTTTTGTGTGAAGGAGGACAGGGTTCAACCCCCACAGGACCACATGGTTCCCCAGGCACCACCAGGGAGCAACCCCAAGTTGGGAGTAGCCCCAGAGCACCACTGGGTACGACTGAGGAACAAACAAGCAACAACAACAACAACAACAACAAAAACTTCCATTGCAGTTAATATGTTGGCATGTTGCCCTGTTTTTTTTGTTTTTTATTTTGGGCCATACTTGATGGTACTCAGGGACTACTCATGACTCAGTGTTCAGGGACCATGTCATGCCAGGACTTGAATCCAGCTTCCTGCATGCAAAATATGTACTTTACCCATTGAGCCATCTCTCCAACACAGCACTGTACATTTTTAAAGTGTGTATTGTATTTAAATGTTTATATCATATTGTAGATAAAATTGTTCTGATTTCTCTAACCATGTATCATGAGTATTTTCACATACCCTTTCAAGAATCCAGAGGCTATAGAGAGAGCTCAAAGGGCTAGTGCACGGGGCCATAGAGCAGTTGGTAAGATTTAAAACTTCCATCGGCCTCAGTTCAATCCCTGGCATCCTATACAGTCTCCCAAGCACTGCCAAGAGTGAGTACAGCACCAGGAGTAATCCCTGAGCATTAGTGGGATGGCCCAAAATAAACCAGAAATAAGAAATATATAAAACAAAGACCTGTTGCCCATGATTGGCATGTACAAGGCCCCAGTTTGATCTCCAGAACCGCATAGTCCTGTGAGCACTGTGTCAGGCGTAACCCCGAGCACTACTGGATATGACCCAAAAACCAAAATAAAAGCCTTTGTAATCATTTTTCGTACTTCCCAGTATGGGATGTGTGTGTGGGGGTGTGACTTTTCTATTGTGTTTTTTTAATGTATATGTATAAAGCTTTTTCAGTACTTAATTTTCTTAATATAGATTCAAGCAAGGGAAGTTACTGGGGGGAAGGCTAAAACATTTAAAACTCTCTTTTTTGTTGCTGACCAAGGATGTGCCTTAGCAGTAGAATGCTTGCATATGTGAGACCCTGACTCAGCAGTGGAAGAAGAAAGAAATGGTAATTTAGATCCCAGCCTGAGCTAGAGGCACTGTAGCATGATGCTGTCTAATGATTGGGAATTCTGAGTTGTAGCACTACAGCTGTTCTAGTTGACCCTAATCCCAGAAAGCTGCACTATGGAATCCGAAGCTCAGTATATTTTACAGTAACAGTAGAGGGGGAAATGAGTAGATGCATATAATTCATTGTTGCAATAGTTTAAAAAAAAAAAAACTTAGCTCTTAGGGCTGGAGAGATAATACAGTAGGTAGGGAGGCCTTGCATGCAGCTGGTCCTAGAGAGTTCACAGTGGATAAGCACCACAGATTGACCCTGCCAGGCGTAAGAAGCCTAACCATAGCAAGGAGCTAGAGTAAGAGGCCAACCTGGGTTTGATCAAAAAACAAAAACAGTCTATACCAAAATGAGAATTACTTAGGGAACAATGTATTTGTTCATTGAATAGACTTCAACATTCATTTTGAAATCAATCACTTTAACAGCCTACATTTAATATTTAGACATGCTATTAAGATCATAATGAAAAATAGACTAAAATCTCCTTCAGAGTTGAGATGATAGCTAAGCCATAATCTCCTTTTCTTTATGTATACATCTAAACTATGTCTTTACTGATCAGAAACTTATCAAGGAAGAAGATTCCTGATGGGTAAAAAGTTCTCAACTTATAAATCTAAGTGGTTCGGTAGCTCAGTGGGGGGGAGGGGGAGGAATGCAGGTGTTTTTGAAAACAAAAAACATGCCTTGCCAAATATTTTCATTATTATTAATGAAAATACATCAAAAGAAAAAATTGTAGTTTTATCTGGAAAGCCCTGTGCCTCTAAGGTCAGCCAGAGTAAACAAGAACGCCTATAAAAAGCCATTTACATTCCCTTCATACAAGATTTATTTATGAGGGATCCTTCCAGGAAAGAGTCTGACTGAGACTAAAGACTGTTTGGCCAGGATGTCCTGACTGGGCAGCATTCAGAACATGTGACCAGTGCGTGCTCCTGGGAGCCATTCACAAGGTCCTGCTCTGCTGTGCCTTGGCCTTTGCTTTCTTTTCTCCTGCCCCATGACATTTACCTGATCGAGCTTTTCTGTTATCCTTCTAGTATCAGGAACCCTTTGGAAAACATGGGTGATAAGTGCCTTGTGGGTTTTTCTTTCACTTTCTCTTGGTCGTTCCCCCAAGATTTTAAGAGTAGGCTGCATGCCGAGCAGCATTCACTCATTTCAGTGCAAAGTGGTCTCCATGGGTCATTAAAAAGGAAGAATGAGGCCTAGGCATATCTGCTCTGCGATTACAATATAGACCCCCTTCATTGGCTGTCCAGAACCCTGGACTCACAAGGAGGCCTGGTTGGAGAGCCTGAGATTCTTAATCCACCCCCTAGAGGGCACTCAAACCACCATGTTGTTGCCTTCTGGGATTCTCCTTTCAGTCAGGGCTCCCCCCCACCCCCCCAAAGAGTAAATTCATACTATTAACTCTAGATTGATAAGGAGAAACTGACTGGGGATGTAACTCAGTGGCAGAGCACTTGGCATTGCATTGTGAAGCTCTTGGTTCAATACCTGGCACCACCAAAAAAAGTTTGATTTTGGTGATATGTTGGTGCGGTGTATGTGTGTATGTGTGTGTGGTGATATGTTGGTACAGGGTGTGTGTGTGTGTGTGTGTGTGTGTGTGTGTTTCAGGCCACACACAGCAGTATTCAGATTTTACTTGCTCTGCACTCTGGGATCAGTCAAGGTGCTGGGAATCACCACAATCAGCCACATGCAAGGCAAGCGTACTACCTACTGTACTATCTCTCCAGCCTGAGGAGTTTATTTATGAATAATACAACTGTATGATCCCAGGAGAAAACTAATTAACAACCCTTTTCCCATGATCCAGATTTTTCCATTATAGTATGACATAATGGTAATGGGTTCGATTAATTCACTTACCTTGAATACAGCTGAACCTTGCTGCTTACCGTCTGCTTCATCAAAAGGCAGTTTTCAATACATAGTTAATATCTAAAACAAACTTTTTCTACCGTTGTCCACTTGTTTTTGGTTTTTTTTTGTTTGTTTGTTTGTTTTGCCTTTTGGGTCACACCCAGCAATGCTCAGGGGTTAGTCCTGGCTCTGCACTCAGGAATTACTCCTGGCCAGTGCGCAAGGGACCATACGGGATCCTGGGAATCGAACCCAGATCAGCCGTGTGCATGGCAAATGCTCTACCCTCTAAGCTATCGCTCCAGCCCCTGTCCACTTGTATTTTAAGTGTTGCCATTATTCCTTCCTCTGGTATTTATTTTGTTTTGTTTTGTTTTGTTTTTGTTGTTGTTGGTTGGTTGGTTTTTGGGTTACACCCTTGGTGCTCCGAGCATACTCCTGCCTCTACATTTAGGGATCGCTCCTGGTAGGCACAGGGGACCATATGGGATGCTATGGATCAAACCCAGGACAGCAGTGTATAAGACGAGCATCCTACCCTTTATATTATCTCCAATCCATGGTGCTTTTTTTTCTCTATATTAATTCCTCTTTAAAAGTCATTGCCCCATCTTTGGACTTAACTCCCTGGCTTTCCAGATTTTTTTTTTCCCAACTGTTCTCCCACCCAAGCTACATGTTACATATCTGGCTGCATCCTCTCTTAACTCCCTGTTCCATCTCCCCATCCCTTTCCTATGTCCCACCTCTTGCTCAGACTATGGTCTCTCTCACAAGTCTCAGAAAGAAACCTCTGGACCAAGCCTGAGTGAGCTGTCTCTCAGGGGGAAGCTGTCTTCTTAGTTTTCCATTTATATCATCAAATCCAATTAACTTTCGTTTTCCCAGTAACATTAAGAATACAGAACCTTTGGGATTGTGCCCTATAGAAGGCTACAGGTGTGCTCTCTTACCTTCAGAAAAGTTGTGTTTAATGCAGTGCAAATAATAGATTTGTGATTAACCAGGTTAGTGACTAACCAGGATGCTTATTTCAAAATAGCTCCTTCACTGATAATCATGTTTGCTGTTCATATGTCATCAGTTAGTCACTTCAGTTATATTCAGAGCATGCTTATTGTATAGTACAGGAAACAGAATATTTAGCAGTCACGTGGGTTCCCCCCCGCTTACCAAGGAAAAACAGCATCATGGGTGAGAACATCGTCGTACCAATCTTTTTCCATTTATTTTTCCTGGAACTCACAGAATAATGTTCATTTTATGTTGGGAATTAGTGCCACATCTGAATTTCAGTAAATAGTCACATGACCTGTGATACATCATATATTCTAGTTTTGTTTTATTTTATTTATTTCTTCAATATCCAGACCCAAAAATTTATTTCCATTATCAATAAGAATGACTGGCAATTTAACACTTATCTAAGTAAATTTCCAATAGGATTTAGCACTGTAGTCTTATATAGAGAGGCCCTCCCGTTGATCATCGATTTGCTCGAGTGAGCCCAGTAACGTCTCCATTGGAGACTTTGTTGTTACTGTGTCTGGCATATCGAATACTCTCGGTAGCTTGCTGGGCTCTCCGAGAGGGGCGGAGGAATCGAACTCGGGTCGGCCATGTTGGCTGCGTGAGGAAATTAGCTTGATTCAGAGGACTTTAAAGTTTAGCTCATGAATATTTGTGCTTGTTGGGGAATCACTCCTGGTGGTGCTATGGGGACTACTCAGTGGCAGGGATTAAACCAAGTCCCTGTATATGCAAGCCTGTATTCAGCTCTTTAAGCTATCTCTGCAGCCCATGTAATTCCTTTTTCTTAGAAATGTTTTTGAAAAATAAGTGTGGGTGACAAGACTAAGAAAATGCAAGATAATCTTAAAATACATTTATGTTACCTGTAAGAACTGGGTTCAAACTCCTTGTTTTGTGACTGTACATAGATAAGTCTTAAATCAAAACCTGCTTTTTTGTCATCTAGCATGGGCTTTACTTCAAGAAGATATTTAATAAATATTGCCTGCATGAATAACAATAGCACTTTCTGGTTTAGGATGTAGGGGCTGGGGAGAGAGTCAGATAGATGGAATGCATGCTTTGCATTCTTGAGACACTGGATTCAATGCCTGAAGCACCATATTTGCTGCCCCTGCTCTTGAGCACTACTGTTTTGACCCTAGTTCCCTCTCCCCTATATCAGCAACACCATAGCTCTGGGCCCAAGCATCAGACTGTCTGACTCACATCAAAGGGTCTGATCTTCTGTGCACTCCTAGAGATGAAAAAATAATAATAATAGCACTGTATAGCACTGTCCTCCCATTGTTCATCTATTTGCTCGAGCAGGCCCAGTAACCTCTCCGTTGTGAGTCTTGTTACTGTTTTTGGCATATCGAATATGTCACAGGTAGCTTGCCAGGCTCTCCGAGAGGGGCAAAGGAATCAAACCGGCGTCGGCCCGGCTCAGGTCAGCTGCGTGCAAGGCAAGCGCCCTACCCACTGTGCTATTGCTCCAGCCCAATAATAATAATAATAAATTAAAATAGTAGAATTGTGCCGGATGATAGTATAGTGGTTGTGGCCCTTGCTTTGCACGCAGCCAATCTGGGTTTAGTAGCTGACACCCCATATGATTCCCAACTTGTGTGATCAGTGAGCACCTCCAGGTGTGACACAAAAATAAAAAGTAAAATAGAAGAATTGGACTAGAAATAGCTTACTGGGCTAAACATTTTGCATTCAGGATCCCCAGGTTCAATCTCCAGAACCATATGGGCTCCCAAGCACTTCTGGAAGTGACCCCAAGCACCACCAACTGTAACCCCCAGGCCCCCTCCCCCCAAGAAAATATAAAGTAAATAAAAGGGACTGGGGTGATAATACAGCAGACAGGACACTTGTCTTCCATGCAACCAATCATGTTCGATCCCCAACACCATTATGGTCCCCCAAGCTCTGTCAAGACTGACCCCTGATTCTTGCCGTTCTGGGTTCCTGGCTGTCAAACCCACGAACTGTGTCCAGCTGCTGTTTAAGCACATGAACAGCCATGATCCAGAGACTCACACACAAATCTCAGAACCAAGCAGTTTGAGTCAGGGATGGCTCTGGGCCCCAATTATTTAAATTTTTATGATCCCAAGGAGCACAGAGCTGCTTTCACAGCCACGCAATATACCATACTCTTGTTGTTGTTGTTGTTGTTGAATCACTGTGAGATTGACCCTTATAGACATCTTATACTATTCATAACTAGCAATTCAGAATAAATCATCTAGCATCTGCCTAGGGTAGACTTGAGTGCTGGTGGGAAACTTAGAAATACTAATGGTGGGAAGGTATAAAGGTGATGAGATTGGTGTTGAAAGATTGAATGTGATCAATTATTGTCAACAACTTTATGATAATAAAATTTGGGGGGGGTGTCTGATCCCTGAACCCAGCTCCAGGAATAAGCCCTAAACACTGCCCATTGTATCCCAATATATCTGATCATTTCTATGTATGGATTGTTGGCATTCATCAAAAAAATTCTTTATGTATAGACTGTCTTCATGGATTCATCCCAAGTTTAGTACATAGAAATCATGATGTAGATCTTAGTCCTGACATTGTCATTTTTGGGGTCTATCTTCAACTCCTATTAAAGTGAATGCTTCAGAATTACAATTATTAGTTTCCAGTTATTGTAAGTCATGGTTTGGGACTCGAGGGAAAACCCCAGCAAATTATGATTTATTCCCTTTACATAAACTAAGATTGGTTTGGCGTACTAAAAATATGACTCTTAAAGTCTGATAACAGACTTCTTTGAGTGCCTGCCTTAAATATAAGTCTGAATCCTGGGTACCTTTGTAATACCTCATATACCTCAAGTGTAAACCCTGGACAGCACAAGTTCAATAAAGGGGGATGTTGGAGAAAATGTAACTGTTGCATAGTCTCTATTTCCATAACATTTCTGTTGCATTTCATATGTTTGGGGCAGGGGTGGTTTTTGTTTCTGTTTGGCTTTTTGGGAAATACCCGGCCGATGCTCAGGGGTTACTCCTGGCATTGCTCAGGGAACCATATGGGATGCCAGAATCGAACCAGGGTCGGCTGTGTGCAAGGCAAACGTCCAACCCACTGTACGATCACTCCAGCCCCTGCATTTCATACATTTTTGTAAAACACATTCCCTGTCAGTATCAGTGAGCAGCAGAAATGTATTTGCAAATCGGAGGATGGCTGCAGTGGTTTGATTTCAGCAACCACGCACTTGCACAAAATATTGCCAAACATCTAGCAGGACTGGTAAACCCGCAGACTCTACCAGCCCTAGACATTGTCTCTTTCTACAATGCCGTAGTTCCTTTTTCATTTTTTTCTTTTAACATTATTCCTTCCTCTTTTCCAGGAATGACATCTTTGTGTTCCTGCTAAGCACACGAGCTGGAGGATTGGGTATCAACCTCACCGCTGCAGATACGGTAAGTAGTGAGCACAGCTGGATACCAGTTATGCATATTTTCTATTTATAAATACATTGTTTGGTTGATACTATTTTTTGCTTACACCCTAAACTTCTTTGCCTCCTAATATGTTAAAATACAATAGATGCACTTTAACTAGAACTGCAACATTTTAGCTTTTTCTTTCGGATTTTTATCTCTCCTCTTGGAATACATTTTTTATACAGTCATTCAACAGATATTATTGAATGTCTATTGTATATCTGATGCTGGTCTAAAAATGGAGTGTTGGGACCAGAGACATAATAAAGGTGGTAACACATTTGGCTTGTATGTGACTTACCCCAGTTTAATTCCTAGTCCCCCTAAATACAGAGTTGGGTATAGCTCCTGCCTAGCGTTGCCAGGTTTAGACCAAAATTAAAAAATTCAATGGAGAGTATCCATGAATAAACAGTCTGAGTGAAAAAAAACTAGCTTAGAGGTCACGTATGTTCCTCAGTAAGCACTTGACTTTGGTTCTAATTCCTGCACCACAGTGGTTGGGGAGGGGTGGGGGGTCCAAACCTACAATGCTCAGGGCTTACTTCTGACTCTACACTCAGGGATCACTCCTGGCAGTGCTTAAGGGGACATATGAGGTTTCGGGGATTAAACCCGGTTTAGCCATGTGCACGGCAGGTGCCCTACTCTGCTATGCTATCACTCCAGCCCAGGTCTTTCATTTTGTAACCTTTATCTGCCTTCTCAGACTACTTGTCAAGACTACTTCCTCTTCCAAAATTTATATTTCCTGAACACACCATGGTATATTACATTGTTGCATAAATGTTCCCTCTGCATAGATCATTCTCTTAGAAACTTCTGTTTGTTCTTAAAAGCTCCACATGACCAGAAGGTGAATGTTTCATATGGGCTCAGGTTGGGGGGAAGAATTTAGGGAGAATGGTAGAAACAATTTTAGTTAAAAGGTAAATCAATGGGATTTGCTATAGCTTGAATGCCAAGCATGTTCTCAACTCAAGGCTTTGTACTTACCTCCTCTGCCTGGAATGCTTTCTTTCTGCCAGATGCATATTTGGCTGGCTTTCTTACTTTCTTCTAGTTGAGGCTCTGATGTCACCTTACCAACTGGTCTAACTGCAGTCAGCAGTAGGTGAAACAGAATGAGAGAGAGAGAGAGAGAGAGTTGTGAAAGGAGTGTTGCAGAAACATTCTTAGTGGCCCATGGACAGGACTCAGGTGGGAGCTGTTGCTTTAAATGTGTCCTCGTATAAGAGCTGCTATTCAGGCCAGGAGACAAGCTGAGGTCACCCTGGAGATCCAGTATACATTCGTTTGATTACAGTTTAGGTCCAATCTGTGGTTTCTTAGGGAATGGTTCCCCTAGTTATTCATTTAAATGGTAAAAAAAAAATAAAGAGATTTAAGGGGGGTGGGGGGTCTGCATCATACATCCAGGGTTTTATAATTTAACCTTATGTGTGCTGGATAAGGAGCACTTACCAGCCACAAACTCCAAAGTAGCCACCTAAACTTCACAGAGGGATAAAAGTAGGAATTCCATGTTTATCCTGGGAGCTAGGAAGAGGCCCTGAATATTCTGAGTTCTCAATTCCCAAAAATTATACATTTGATTTTGAGAAGGGCTTTGAGGCATCACTTGTAAGTTAGAACTTCCTGGAATACTGAGGAAAACGCAGTGGAGATGAATCCCTAAGCTATGCTTTGGATGGATTCGAATGATTCTCTGCCTGTGTCTGAGTAGAGATGCAGCGGACTTAGCTGTTGGCATTTTTCCTTTACCCTAAGACTGATTTTGCTTTGGAAGATCCCTAGAGCCATTTATGGATAATAAGTAAGAGGTTAGTCAACCCCAAATGTTAGGGAAAAACAGAATGTCTTAGGTTTGAGAATGCATCCATAAACATGTATTTGTAAATAATGGGACTCTGGCCCCTCCGGGAGCCAAGACTTGACCACATGATTGACGACAGCTGCCCTGCACTGTCTGCGTCCTCTCTGCTCTTCTTCCTGGAGTAGTGGCTCTGTGGCTGGGAAGGATCGTTAGGAATGGTACTGTTTGTTTTCCTTCTGTCAGACCTGTATCAAATGCTTGCTTGTAGAGGGAGAATGACGAGCTTTTGTCCTTTGATAGCGATATGAGAAGTTCTGTGTCCCCTGAGACAGCAAGAGACAGCTCTCAACCTCCCAAGGGACTGAACTTCCACCCATTCTTCTGGGGAAAAGAGTCCCACCCTCCAAGTGTTGGTTCAATTCTTTCCGGTTGTTCCTCTCAAAATTTTCCTGTTTTCCATTTCACTCGGCAGCCCCTGAAGCTCCCTCTCATTGACCTATATAGCCACCCGTGTCCACTCCATCTCAGCGCTCCCCTGCCCTCCCCCGTGCCTGCCCTGCATGCTGTTTACCACTTGGTGAAGGTGCTGACTATTAATATATTTCCCCTTAGTCACTGCTGGGCCACGCTTTCTGACTTTAATCTTTCCTAGTCAAGTCGGTTTTTCTAATCCTTTAATTGTTATTTGTTTTTCTCTAGATTGTCTTACTGAGCTCCATCCATAAACCTGATTACTAAGTATAAGCCGCATCACTGTCCCATTGTGGGGGAGCATTGTCTGCCCCAGTACCCCACCTGCATTCCTGTCAGTTCAGCATTCATTTGACTGTTAGGTTAGATAATAGTCCCACATCTCATTTGCCTCACATCTCACTTATAGCTCTATATTACCTTTAACTTAATTGCAATACATACTTCATACTCTTTTGCCCTGGATACTTTTCTAATGGACTCTACTCTGCTTCCCAAATCTCCTTTCTCTTCTAATCCACTTAAGTGATATGATAGTTAACCACTAAATTTGTTTTTTGGTCTTTTGTTGTTGTTGTTGTTAACCACTAGATTTGGAGAGTGGGAACAGGTAGTGAAGTTAGATTGCAAGCAGTTGTCCTCAGTCTTTAATCTTACTCTATAGGAACTCTTTCAAAAGAGTGTCAGCTGAATCAGACCTGGCTGCTGCTGAGACTTCCAGGAAAAAATGTAAATGTCAGGAAACACCTTTGAAATGATTCATTTTGTAGGATTCCCCATTGTGAGTTCCATCTGAACCACTGCCGCAGGTTCAGCTGAAGCTCCTACTTATTGGGTTTGACTTCAACTCTCATTCTCTGCATAGATTTTCATTTTGGACAAGTAACATTCCCTCAGTCCAACTGGTAGGCTCCCCTTCATGAATTCTGTCTCTTCTTTATTTTTCCTGAACCTTAAAACCATATTTTTTATAACTTTGCATATGCTATTTCAACTACTACAAAATGAGTGCATGCTTTGTGTGCAGGAGGTCTAGGTCTGTTCTCAGCATCCTTTGGTCCCCGCCCACCGCCCAGCACTCCCATGAATGGGCCCCATACTCTGAACTAGGAGTAAGCCTTGAGTATTGCAAGCTATGGCCCAAAAACAAACCCCAAAAGTCCACATGTGAAATGTAGACTGCTGGTTTCCCGTATTGTCAGCAGTGCATGGCGCTTAAGGAGAGTTAGGACTGAATTCAGGCCAGTCCCTTCCTAATTTAAAAGATGAAAAGGAACAGAATTTTATGAAAATACAGTGAAACATGCATACTAGTGCCAGACACATGATGAGTGCACAACAGAAGTTTTGCCGTTACTATTTCTAGGTTTTATTTTGTTTTTGTTTGGGTTGTGTTTTGTTTGGGGGACCGGGGTGGTTTTTTTGTTTTTTATTTGTTTTTTTGTTTTGTTTTGTTTTTGTTTTTAGTGGGGGGAGCTCTGGGGGGTTTATTTATTTTTACTTTTGAGTCACATCTAGTGGTGCTCAGGAGTTACTCCTGGCTCTGCACTCGGGAATCATTCCTGGTGATGCTCAGGGGACCATATAGGTTGCTGGGGATCAACCCAGGCATGCAAGGCAATCATTGTACCCACTATACTATTGCTCCAGCCCCTTTTTGTTATTTTTGTTTTAGTTTTATATTTGTTTGGGGGCCTTGCCCAGTGATTCTCAGAGATCATTCATGAGACTGTGTGCAGTGCTAGGGTTGAACCAGGTTCTACCACTTACCAGGCAAGCCCTCTGTACTCCCAGTCCCGCCATTACTGTTTCTCAGGGACTTATGAGGAATAGGGATAGGAAAAGGAGACTTTATTACAGAAAGAGAAGACTTGGACTGAATCTTAAACCAGTAGAGAACAGTTGAGAAATTCTTTGTTGAAGAAACAACATGACATCGACAAATGGAACAGTAGTGAGAAACATTGCAGAGAACTTCATGACAAAAGAGAAGAGCATATTGGTTAGGAGAAAGCAGAAAAGTTAATGGGCTCAGTAGAGCAAGAGCTAATCATTCTGGGTTTGAACTAGATGTGTTTTTGGGTGTTCTTGGCAGAGAAGGAGCAAGCTACCCTGGTGTCAAGGTCAGTTAGACTGAAGGAGACGAGATAACATTAGCACACCAGACCTGGGGAGTAAGAACCCGCATAGGAGAGGGCCAGTGAACTGTGAACTGGCGAGGGTTGTTTCCGAAGCAGCGTTGACTGAATCGGCATCATAGTTGAATATGGAGGTAGACATTTAAGAACCAGCATGTTCTATAATAGTAGCCTCAGAGCTGGGGTAAGCCAGGGGTAAGCCAGCTTTAGGATACTTGGGGTAGGGGAGACTTGTTGCTTGTGCATGCTGTTTAGCAAAGTAAAAGTAGCTTTCAGGGAACCCTTGAAAACATTTCTTCCTTGGAATTCAAGGGACAAGAAATAGCCCTGTTGATGGAATCCTGCCTGGCACTGTGGAGAAAGCCAGTGCTGTGTCTCACTGAGCTAAGCCTAGTGTGAAACAGCCCACCACTTACTTAGGTTGGATGATCCTGGATAAATTCTTTGATTTTTCTGCTCCTCAGTTTCCTCATTTGGGTCACACCCGGCGATGCACAGGAGTTACTCCTGGTTCTTGCACCTAGGAATTACTTCTGTTGGTGCTCGGGGGACCATATGGGATGCTGGGAATCGAACCTAGGTCGGCTGCGTGCAAGGCAAACGCCCTACCCGCTGTGCTATTGCTCCAGTCCCTGATTGTGGGGTTTTAATACACTAATAATATTTACCTCGGCAGCACCTGGCAAGCTACCCATGGCATATTCGGTATGCCAAAAACAGTAACAATAACAGGTCTTGTTCCCCTGACCCTGAAAGAGCCTCCAATACAGCAGCATTGGGAAAGATGAGTAAGGAGAAGCTGCTAAAATTTCAGGGCTGGGACAAATGGAGATGTTACTGGTGCTCGCTCAGGTAAATCGATGAACAACAGATGACAGTGATACAGTGAATAATATTTACAGAGTACCCAGAACACTGACTGACAGTTGTTAAGAACCAAGTGTTAAGTATTAATATTGCGTGTGTGTGTGTGTGTGTGTGTGTCTTTCATTTTTAGGCTGCTCCTGGCAGTGCTTAAGTGTTACTCCTGGCTCAGAGTCACTCTTGGCAGGCTCGGATCATATGGGGTGCTAGGGATCAAACCCAGGTTGACCTTGTGTGAGACAAGCACCCTGCCATTTGTAGTATCATTCTAGCCCCCGTTCACTCTGAACATCCTGGAAAAGCCCATAGCATGTCTCTTAACCCAGAGCAAATAAATAAAAGACTAGATTTTATGAGTATGCCTGTTCACTTAGTATCATAGAAGTCCAGCATCAAGCTTGCAAATAGTGGTCACACCTGACCTAGAAATTCGCACTTCAGCCTGTGCCCTCAGTCTGCTGCTGTCTCATCCTGTGCAGGTGATTTTCTATGACAGTGACTGGAACCCCACTGTGGACCAGCAAGCCATGGACAGGGCCCATCGCTTGGGGCAGACAAAACAAGTTACTGTCTACCGGCTTATCTGCAAAGGCACCATTGAAGAACGCATCCTGCAGCGGGCCAAGGAGAAAAGTGAGGTGAGCACAAGGCAGGGATTCACCATCCAGGTAGAGAAAATGAGAAGCATGGCCTGGCTAAGACGAAAGACCCTTGCTTTTCACTGGTTATAAAGGGGCAAAGTTTCTCTTAAATAGAAAATAAAGTTACTTCCTCTAGAATAGAAGTCTCCATGACCCTACCCAAACCTCGCTCCTTTTTCATTTTTCCTCTTCTGGGCCTCCCCAGTGTGTCTGGGGACTGCTCCCTCAGTGTGAGGGAGACCACCCAGTACCAGAGATCAAACCTGGGATCCTGTGCATGCCCAGCATAGATCCAATACTTGGAACTTGCTCCCCACCCTCCTCACTCCTCACTCCTTTTCTACCAGAATGGAGCCCCTAGCCTAGATTTGACTTCTGTTACAGAGACCAGTAGCAGTCATGGCCCTTCAGTTTCACTTCCTTTCCTGGTTTGGTTTCCCTTTTTTTGGTGTATGGGGAGGGTCCTCCCGTTGGTGCTGGGGACCATCAGGGCTATACCCAGTAGTCTCAGGCAGCCATGCAGTACTAGGTTTAAACCCAGAGTCTATGTCTGGCAGACATGCACTCTGGCCTTTTGAATCATCTCCCCAGCCTCTACTTTCACACCCATGATGGAAGGAATAACATTTGTGCTCACGCCTGAGTATTTTTCAGTTTGATCAGCCTGTGAGTTATATTCCAAATTTGCTAGGTTCCAAAGTAAGGTAAAGGTAAAGGTAAAGGCCCTCCCGTTGATCGTCGATTTGCTCGAGCGGGCCCAGTAACGTCTCCATTGGAGACTTTGTTGTTACTGTGTCTGGCATATCAGATACTCTCGGTAGCTTGCCGGGCTCTCCGAGAGGGGCGGAGGAATCGAACTCGGGTCGGCCATGTTGGCCGCTTGTAAGGCGAACGCCCTACCCGCTGTGCTATCGCTCCAGCCCTTAGGTTCCAAAGTAATGATTATTAAGGTTGTTTGTATTTGGAATTCTTTATGTTCTTGCTGTTCGTTAGGTCCAGGCAAAGAAGTTCTTGTTATTCATTCTGTTGGGTAAACAATCAGCATCATCCTCTCAGAGGAATCTAGGGCTGTCTTTCGAGGTGTGGGTTGAGAAGGATGTTTGGGTTTTTTTTATATCATGGCAAATGGATTTCTGATGGTGGTTTTGATCTGTTTTTGTATAGATTCAGCGAATGGTGATTTCTGGTGGGAACTTCAAACCAGATACCTTGAAACCCAAAGAAGTAGTTAGTCTTCTTCTAGACGATGAAGAGTTGGAGAAGAAACGTATGTGCCTTAAACATTTTTTCTCCTCCCTGTAGATGATTATTTTTGATCCCACACATCTGAATATAGAAGGGGCCCTTGGCTCTGTGTAAGGCTAGACAGAGCGAAAGGATGTATTTGGAGGGAAATATTCTTACAGTGAAACACATATAAAAATTATTACTGAATAGAAAGCAAATTCAAATAGAAAGGGTCATTTTAAAGTTATATGACCTCAAATAAATGTGCCCTAAATATCTGTATCTGTGGACTCCTTCATAGTAATAAGTTTACTCTGGGGGCCAGGAAAATGACTCAAAGGGCCCAAAGGTGAGTGGCCCAGGTTCAGTCCTCAGTATCATGTGGTCCCTGAGCTTAGATCCCTAAGCACCTCCAGATGTGCCCTTCACCCTCCAGAAAAAAATGTATTGGTCTGTTCAGAGAGGTGGTTTTGGTTTTGTTTTTCTTTTGATTTTGGGGGGGCCACACTTCGCAGTGATTAGGGCTTACTCAGGAAGTCAGAAACATGTACTGTTATGACATATCAGTGCCTTTTCCATCTGTTTCTGAGTTCCTGGCTTAATGTCCAAAATGTGATGAAGTGCCTTTCTTTTTGATTTTTTTTTTTTTAATTTTTTTTTTTTTGCTTTTTTTGGGTCACACCCAGCGATGCACAGGGGTTACTCCTGACTCATGCACTCAGGAATCACTCCTGGCAGTGCTCGGGGGAACATTTGGGATGCTGGGGATCGAACCCGAGTGGGCCGCCTTCAAGGCAAACACCCTACCCACTGTGCTCTCGCTCTAGCCCCAGTGCCTTTATTTCTGTACCCATTCCTAAGAGACTTGCAGTTGCCATCTCCTCAGAACCTCGTGGAATTCTCTGATCATACTTTTCTGTGTCATGCAATAACATTGAAAGGCTGGAAAGAAAAAGAATGAAGGCAAGGAAAGGCCCCTGATAACTAAATTCAGGTTTGAACCTGAATTTTTTTTTTTTCTTTTTGGGTCATGCCCGGCAATGCACAGGGGCTCTGCATTCAGGAATTACTCCTGGCAGTGCTCATGGGACCATATGGGATGCTGGGAATCGAACCCGGGTTGGCTGATTGCAAGGCAAACGCCCTGCCTGTTGTGCTATTGCTTCAGTCCCAAACCTGAAAATTTTGTGCCACCTTCAATTATAAACCCACTGTTACTGGCCTTAGCTAGCAGTCATACGGATCACGGATGCAGATATCGCAGTTTCAAAAAATGAGAATTCCAGCTGCCAATTACTTTATCACATCTTTTCATTTTCTTCACAGTAAGACTGCGGCAGGAAGAGAAACGGCAGCAGGAGGAAACCAACCGAGTCAAAGAGCGCAAGCGCAAGCGGGAGAAGTATGCAGAAAAGGTATCTTAAGCTTGGGGGGGGTGGCAGGAACTGGAGAGGGGCAGCCATAAAGCTTACAGAAAAAACATTTGGGGGCACAGCATATCCACTGGTTAGGACCCAGCTCCAGTCTGTGATTAGAGACAGTTCTGGTCTGTGCTGCTGGTCATTTGGGAGAAATGTGGCCTGGGTAGACCTCCTCTTTCGCCACACAGCTCCACCCTGTCTGTGCTCCTATATAATTATGGAAAGCACTGGTTGGGATCCTTGCAGTGTTAGAGTTCATAGTCTTAGAGATCGCCAAGAGGTGATTCGATCTACTCCAGTCATAGTTCTGCTCATTTTTCCTTTCTTTGTCATCTACTAGCAGCAGAATACCACCAACCAGTCTTTTCATCTTTTTCTCCAGTTGCTGTTAGAAAGTCAGCATTTTCTTTCCCCTTCCAACATTTCTTGCTTAAACTTACAAGGCCAGCTTTGTGAGGGTTATAACAGAGGGCTTCCCTCTGTTCCTCCATGTCATTTTTATTTTCACAAAGTATAACAGCAGTGTCCCTGATCTTCATTGGCATCCCTCTGGTGGGACTGCATTTGTTCAGCTTGGACTTGGTGACAGAGCATCAACTGCTGTCCTGAGTGACAGCCAGAATGGCCGGAAGCTATCCGTGCACCTAGCCTCCCTGAGGTTTGGTTTGGCTCAGTGTGACTGGCCTATCTTCCAGCTCCATGTTGTGGTAGAATAGCACAGAGAGCTATAAAAAAGTTCTTCCTGTTCTTCTAGTCCACGTGTTCTCTTGACCACATATCTCGCTTGTTTATCCCTCTGTCTCTTTGCTTGCTTGCTTGCTCTTTCAAGCTCATATTTTCTCTTAAACATGTATTCCTTTCCTTCTCTCCCCTTGCATCTTTCTAAGTTTCATGCAATAAAAACTGTCTTGCAGGGCCAAGGGTAATAGTACACAGGTAAGTTGCCAGATCAGGCATTTACCTTGCGCACGGCCAACCTTTACCAATCTGGGTATAGAATGAAACCCAGAAGTTTGTTTTAAAATTATTTTTTTTCCTCCGTCTCGCTTTTCTCCTGGGCCTGTCCTGATTCTTTGTCCTGGCTTGTGCCTCCCCAGAAGAAAAGGGAAGACGAATTGGATGGGAAGAGGAGAAAGGAGGGTGTGAACCTGGTGATCCCGTTTGTCCCGTCAGCTGATAACTCCAACCTCTCCGCTGACGGGGATGACTCCTTCATCAGCGTGGACTCGGCTATGCCCAGCCCGTTCAGTGAGGTGAGGCTTCTGGCAGCGCCACTGCTCCCGCTTTACTGAGGGGCAGGAAAGCCTGAGCAAGCAGCTTCCTCCCGTGGCACCTGCATAGGGCCTTGGGCCCTCAGCAACAAATGCATCAGGAGAGGAGAGCAGTGGCAGAAAAAAGGGCATATCGCAGCCTTTGGCTCACACAGCAGAGGGCCCATGGCAGGCGCCAGCAGTGGTGGTAATGGCCTCCTCCCTCCCCCAGATCTCCATCAGCAGCGAGCTGCACACGGGCTCTATCCCCCCAGACGAGAGCAGCAGTGACATGCTGGTCATCGTGGACGATCCAGCCTCCTCAGCACCTCAGTCTCGAGCCACCAACTCTCCTGCCTCAGTCACAGGGTCCGTCTCAGACACCGTGAATGGTGAGTGATCTCACACAGCACCCCACGCCCCAGGTCAAGAGAATCATTGGCTGGGTGGGAGGCAGGGGTGAGGAACCAGTGCCTTCCAGGGTCAAGGGTGGCATTTTCCTGCCTCCTCCCTTCCTTCCTGGAGGTCGAACATACACTCAGCCCATTTAGCGCTCTCTCCAGCCATGTTCTTCGGTTACAAAGCACACTGGAGAAAAGGGGGGAATACCTAGGCCCATCCTATCATTAGCCCTGTCATGGGAAAGGGAGAAAGAAAACATCTAGGGAAAGCAAGCTAGTCATTTGTTTGGGTTTTTCTGTCTTGGGTTCACGTCCAGCAGAGTTCAGGGATTATTTCCAGCTCTGCACTCAGGGATCTCTCCTGGTGTTGCTCAAGGAACGATAAACTGTATCGGAGATTCAAACCCAGGCTGGCTGCTTGCAAGGCAAGCACCCGACCCACCTACTATCTCTCTGGCCCAGGCTAGTAGTTTCATACAAACTTCTTTGTTTTCTAATTGTCCCTGTTCCATATTCCACCTTGATTTTTTTTTTTTTTTTGGATCACACCCGGCAATGATGCACAGGGGTTCCTCCTGGCTCTACACTCAGGAATTACTCCTGGCGGTGCTCGGGGGACGATATGGGATGCTGGGAATCGAACCCAGGTCAGCCGTGTGCAAAGCAAATGCCCTACCCACTGTGCTATTGCTCCAGCCCTGTTGATTTTTTTTTTTAAACTGGTTTGGAGTTAACTTTTCTGGACCTTTTCTCATTTTGTTGTGTAGGCCTTCTGTTACTGCTGTCGTGTGTGTGTGTGTGTGTGTGTGTGTGTGTGTGTGTGTGTGTTTGTATTTTGAGGGCAGTAGTTACCCAGCAGTGCTCAGGGGTTACTCCTGGTTGTGCTCTGGGGCTTGCTGGGGATTAAACCCAGGTCAGCTGCTTGTAAAACAAGCACCCTGTATGAAAGAAGAAACAGTTGACTCCAAGGCAGGAGCACAATGATGCATCCTAGGTAGCAGTTCCCTGCTGTTTCCTGAATAGATGTTATTTAAAGAAGAGGGAGATAAGTTGCTCTGAGGGTTGGAGCATGTGTGGGGGCCCCAGGTTTAATCCTCAGCAATACATGGTCCCCTGAGCATCAGTGGGTGTACTCCAAACAACAAAAGAAAAGGGAATCTAACAAAAGAAATCCAGAGGTAAGAATCACCTTGCAGAATGCACAGAAGCTAGGGCTGTGGCTGATTGAGCTGTTGAGAATAGCACACTCAATAACCATGGGATTTGGTGGCTCGGCCCGGAGCCCCTGAGAAGCAGCCTGCCCTTTTGGGTGACTCTGATTATGCATGAAGATTGACAGTTTTTTTCCCACTTGACCCATTTGTTCCCACAGGAATTTCCATTCAGGAAATGCCAGCTGCAGGACGTGGCCACTCAGCTCGAAGCCGGGGCCGCCCCAAAGGTTCTGGAAGCACAGCCAAAGGAGCCGGCAAAGGCCGAAGCCGAAAGTCCACTGCGGGCAGTGCTGCTGCCATGGCAGGAGCCAAAGCAGGGGCTGCGGCCGCCTCTGCAGCCGCCTATGCTGCATACGGGTATAACGTGTCTAAAGGTACAAAGGCCCCAGATATGTCCCCCTCTGGTCAGAGGTCCCCGGGGGTACCATGGAGGGTTCTGTGGGTAGAGCACGTATAGGCTCCCCTTGGCCGGGCATCTTCTACCCAGAACCTGTGTCAGGTTCTGCCTGATACTTGCACCTTGACTCTTCCCGTAGCCGGGTGACACAGTCTGGTGCCTCTTTTGAAGTGGAGGGGCCAGTAGAAAGAGCTGAATATCCAGACTGCAACTTTAAATGGTTCAAGTTTGTCCTGCTTTTAAAAGTGGGTGTGCTTTACCCCCCCTTTAGGAGTCCACTTTTTCATAATGCAGGCTGGCATCATTAGCATTTATCTAGGTCCGCAACCCACCACTCATTTAATACATCGTCTAAGCACCTGCTATGTGCCTACTAACATGGACACTGGTGCATGTACACTATTGAGGGAACAGAGTCTGTCTTGCCTCCTGAAGTCCATTAGCAGTGAGTGGCGCCCACCAGACTGTATTAGGGAGAAGAAAGAGGGTTTCATTGTAACTGTCTACGAAGGGGAACCACAGGGAAGAGGGATGCAACAAGGGGGAGAATGTCACAAGAAAAGCCAGTAAATGGGGATTGAAAATGGGAAGCAAGGGCAGGTCTGGTTCAGAGATGATGTGCAGTTCCTCTGGATGAGAAGCGAGACACGTGTCCACCCACCAAGTACCCAGAATTCTTCGGCTTGGGGACTGTGCCTGGCAGCACTCAGGGCTACTGCCAACTCTGGACCATGCGTGCTGGGTGCGTGCAAGGCAGGCGCCCTGATTCCCATACTCGCCCTCCAACACTACCTAGACAATTCTTTGTCTAGGAAAGTAGGAGCAGTGTACAGGAAACCACCAACTTGTCACAGCACAAGGCATGTTACCCTTCATGGCTTAGTTACTGGCTAAGTCAGTAGCTAGCTGGAGGAAAGAGCTGGCAGAGGTGGGGGTTCAGGGTCCGGGCCTTGACCCAGGGAACGGATGGTCACATCAAATACGTGGCCTTTGTGCGTGTAGACAAGGTAGTAAGAAGCCTTTCCTCTGGCTAGACTGGGGAGTGGCAGTGGGCCCCTGAAAACAAGGAGGCAGCTCATCACAGGTGGGGGGCCGGGAACGAAGGAAGAACGTTCGAGGGCCCCGTAGTGCTTGCTGAGTTGCAGCCTTACCTCTGTATGTGGCTTGTGCTGTGCTCTGTCCTGATGCATGGGTAAGGGCACAGGAAGAGAGTGGGGTGGTAGCATTTTCCTCTTAAGAATGCATCTGTCTTACCAGGGATACAGCTTGGAAGTGGAGTGCTTGCCTTGCTTTCGTGCAGGCTGGGCTGGATTCCTGCCCCCAGAATTCGTGCAGGCTGGGCTGGATTCCTGCCCCCACATACTAAGGCTCGTTTTCCTGTAGACAGTTGACAGGCGAGCAAGCAGTGCTCAGAGGATGCTGTCTGGGAGGGGCTCCCCGCACATCCCCTCGGGGGCAGGCTGCTCACCTGCTCTGTCTCTGCATCCCCACAGGCATCTCCGCCAGCAGTCCTCTGCAGACATCCATTGTTCGGCCCGCTGGCCTTGCTGACTTTGGACCGTCAAGCGCCTCTTCCCCCTTGAGTTCCCCCTTGAGCAAAGGAAATAATGTTCCTGGGACTCCCAAGACCCTCCTCTTGACCAGCAGCCTCGCCCCGGACTCCCTAGCCCGGAAGCAGGGCAAAGGCACCCACCCCTCTGGAGGGCGGTAACCCCTGGGCCCTCCGGTTTCCTTCAACCAAACCAGAGCTAGAGGCGTGGCCTGCAGATTTTCTCCGGCTGGCGTGACCGCTGCAGCACTACGAGGACAGGCACCACCAGGCTCTCAAGAAGTGTGTAATGGGGTTGCATGGAGAGCAGCCCCTGCCTGTCACACGACGTTATAGCCAAGTCTTAACACCTCATCCTGGGAGGAGCTGCTGGGGCACAGGGCTCTCTCTCTGGTCCAGGCCCAGAAATGCAGTGAAGATCCTGCTGCCGGGGATGGAGATGGACGTTTCCAGGGCTGGGCGCCCCTCCCCTGGACAGGGCAGGCGGGCCCTAGGGAGCTGGCATCCTGGGGTCTGCAGTGTCGGGGTGGAGGAGACTGAGGGTGACAGGTCAGGCGCCGCCACCCCGGGACCCTGGTGTCTTCCCAGCGTTTCCTCCCTTCAGCTCCCACCAGCAGCAGTAGCAGCAGTGCCCCTTCTGCCCCAGGAGTCTCCTCGGTCAACTGGGAGTGCCCTTGCCCTTCCTGATCCTGAATGCACAGCCCCACCCCCGCCCCACCCAGCTGCCCCTGCTTGGCTGTATGCACTGTCTGTATTGCACTGAGAACAGAAGGGACCGCAGGAGTGAGAAGACAGAGAAGAGGACAAGCTCAGCGCCCCTCCCCACTCCCCTGCACCACCAGCCTGAGCTTGCTCCCCCAGAGGCAGGGGGCAGTCTGCATGGGAGGGTCAGCCTACCCCAGCCAGACGCCCCATAGGGCAGGTGCTTTGGGGTGGGCCAGCCTCTAATTTGCACACCTGAAAATCGCGGAATTGAATTTAGATAGATTGATTTTTTTAAACCCTTTTTTTTTTTTTTGAGTATGGGTCATCAGGGGAATCATTTAATTTAAATCATTTAAGATTTCCCTGCCCAAACCCAGACTCCTGTGTACAGATACTATTTAGAGGGAATCAGAAAAATGCCAAGCCTTTTTTCTCTTTGAATGTGCTGTCTATTTTTATAACTGAACTTGTACATATGTATAAAGAGAGACACATCTTTCTTTTACTAACTGGAGAAAAAAAATCTTAAATAAAATGGAGTGAGATAATTTTATGTAAATTCAGACTGTCTGTAATCTTTGTCATTGCCTGGAGGGTGGTAATTAGAACTCTTGGAATGGGCAGGATCAAGTTAGGACAGTCCAAGCTCAATCCCTGAGATCAGAGGAGACGACGCATCATAGGTTGGGTGTGCGCTGCGTATTTCCTCAGAGGTGTCTTCAGGGACTTAGGACTGTGCCCCCAGTCACAAGGAGGTTATTCTAAGCGCCTGGAGTGCCATCTGGATTCTAGTGCTTAGGTGCGTACTTGGCACAACCCTGATTCTGTAATGGTATGTTCATACGACACTCTCCAAAATCCACAACTGAGAGATCACCTTCAGGCAGTTGCAGTAGAGAAACTATCTTCACTAATGGGAACTTTATGGTCCCCAATTCTGAAGCTGAGTGCATCAACTCCAGAAACCTGCAGGCACAGTTCCAGTGCACAGCCTGGCACACGGGAGCTGTGAAAGTGCCAAGAGAGGGTCTCTGTGTTCTCTGTTATCAGTGCTAGTAACTGCATTGCTAACTCGAAAGAAAATAGCGAAGCACTTTTCCAGACCTTCCAGCTTGGGAACTCCAACTCTTTGGTGGGCTGTGAAAAGATCAAGTTCCCTGCATGCACCAGCAATTGATGGTGTTTCTGCGATTCAGCTCAAACATAAGACATCTTGTGTTTAGTTTTGGGGCCACACCGAGCAGTGCTCAGAGCTTACTCCAGGCTCTGCACTCAGGGATCACTCCTGGTAGGGCTTGGGGGACCATCTGTGGTTCAGAGATCAAACCTGGGCTGGCCGTGTGCATGTGTTCTGTCTCTCCAGCTCCCAGCAGAGACGCTGTTGCCTCAGCTTGGAGCCGGGCTCATGCTGTTCCTGAGCAGTGCACTGCCTGAGTGACATGCTGGTACCTGGCAGCTGCTGCTCCCAGCCCCAGGGGCAGCCTTCGTTTCATGACCTCAGGAGCACAATCAGATACTGAGGCTTGTTTTTATTGCTGGTAAATTTGACCGTGAACTTGTACAGAGCAGTTGCTGGCCTATTCCTGCTGTCGTCACCGCTGAAATCTAGCGAGCAGGCCCCCTGGAATGCATCCCCTTCTGTTCTTTCTGCTCAGCACAGCCCCCCAGTCACTTTTCTGCTGGAGACCTGCCATAATCAGGTGGCCCCCTCTCTGAGAACCCAACTGCAGGTCTCACCCCACCCATGGAGGACAGACCATTGCCTCTTCACGAGAAGCACTTGGGGGTTGGCAATGAGCCTCGAATCCTCTCTGTCTCCAAGCTTGTGAACCTTTCACCCATTTCGTCTGAAGAAGTGCAACAAAATATTTCCTACTGGAGGTGCTCACAGTTTCTGTTTCCTCCATCACCCACTCCACCCTGCCCAGAGCCGAGAGGGCTTCCGTGGCAATGTTAAAAGGGCCGGAGAAGGGCTGGAGCAATAGCACAGCACAGTGGGCAGGGTGTTTGCCTTGCATGCGGCCGACCCGGGTTCAATTCCCAGCATCCCATATGGTCCCCCAAGCACCGCCAGGAGTAACTCCTGAGTACAGAGCCAGGAGTAACCCCTGTGCGTCGCTGGGTGTGACCCAAAAAGCAAAAGATAAATAATTTTTTAAAAAAGTAAAAGGGCTGGAGAAAGAACGTAGGGCTAGGGCACTTGCTTTGCATGCAAGTGACCCTGTTTGCATCTCTCACCTCATATGATCACTTGCGCACAGTCCTGAGCACAGCCAAAGTACCCCCCCCCCCAAAAAAAAGAAAAAAAAACCTAAGCCTAGTCTGCAGATTAGGCTCATAATATCTGATCACAAGGGTCCTCAGTAGAGGTAAGTAGATTTTAAGGTTACAGGTCTCTGAGCAACCTTGGAAATGCATGGTCTGTGCTTACATTTCCTTTCTGCACCGAGGAGTTCGTTGAAATACCTAGGACTCATGCCTGGGTCTGTTTAGGTAGCAGGTGGCTGGACAAGACAGGTGAACTGGGAACAGAAAGGGGCTGGGAAGAGGACACAGCGTTGGCCTGCTGTCAGCAGGCTCCATCCATACGGCTTGTTGCTGGCTTTCAGATAGTGGCCACCCCTTCACCAGTGTACCTGATCATCATAACTCCTTAAATGACAAATGAGGAGTTTGGTGGGATTAGTAGGTTTTAGCTGGTCTGGGGAGGGGCGGGGGGCGGATTTACAGATCCTGCAATAAAAGCCTCAGGGCTGTTGTGAGTGTGTCCCACTCAATTAAACAGATCTTCCAGGTAAAATTTTTAATCAGGAGCTAAGCCCTAAGAAAAGAAATTGGAGCCCGACCGACAGTAGGCAGGTAGGACACTTGCCTTGCACATGGCTGGCCTGGGTTCAATTCCCGGCATCCAATATGGTCCCCTAAGCCCACTAGGAGTTATCTCAGTGCAGAACCAAGAGCAATTCCTGAGTATCACTGGGTGTGACCAAAAAAAGAAAAATTGAATGAGGGCAATTTCTAGCCTGCAAGTGGCCAAAGACCTGAGTTTTCAGTCCCCTGCACTGCCATGCGTGGCCCTGGCGGCCCCAGAAAACACTTTATCAGGCAGAAGACAGAGAACCAAACCACCATGCCTGCACTGCCAACCCTAAAATGAGATGCAAGACTTCTCAATATCCATAAGGACCTTTGGGGGTGGGAGGCGTCACACCCAGCAGACTTACTCCTGACTCTTCACTCAGGGATCACCCCTAGACCGGATTAGGGTACCATATGGGATGCCAGGGATCAAACCCAGGTCTGCTGCGTAGTAGTAAGGCAAGTAATTCCGGTAGTGAGGCAAGCCGTATTATCGCTCTGGCCCCGAGTCCTTTTAATATTTAAAATCCGAAAGAATAACACAGGTACCTAGAGCACTTGCCTTGCAAGCTTATGGTCACAAGTTCAAATCCCTTGTCCCCCACGTGTACCACAGTCCAGACAACAGCAGTTCTATCCCTGCCCTCTAAAAAAAAACAGCAAATGGTTTCCAGCCACACTGCAGCCAGGTGTGTGAGAGACCACAAACCAGGTGCAGCCCCAGCAAGCATCACAACTAAAAGGATGTGTCAAGCGCCGTGAGCAGGGAGTATGTGCTCTCGTGAGTAGGTGTGTGAGCACTGCAGTGACCCCAGTGAGCACCACAACATGCTCCTCCAGTAAGAACTGCCCCAGGGTGCTGCCCCATGATCACATTATAATAGTGAGGGGAAGGAGGCAAAGAGGAAAAAACAAAAACTGTATAGATTCCATTGCAGAAGGTTCCAGAGCAGAGGGACCCAAGTTCATTTGGCCTCCCACCCCCTGAATATCTTCCTTAAGCAAACAAATTATTTCCTAATTGCACTAAGGCTACTACCCACCCCCCAGTGGTTCCAGTGCCTCTAAGGGGTAGGGAATGGTGTAGGAAACTGGCCTGGAGTGAGACAGTAATTTCTCACGGCCTGGGTGATGGCCCCTGCTAGTCCTTGGAATAACAAGGTCTGAGGGCTCAGTAAATTAAAACTGTTCTGTTCTCGATTTTCTCCAGCTTTTTCCCCTGGGCTGTGCCTCTGTTTGCATTATTAGATCCGAATCCTCTTTTTTCCTTTTTTTTCTTTTTATTATTTACTTTGCTTTTGGACCACATCTGGCGGTGCTCACGACTTTAACTCCTGGTTCTGCACTCAGGGATCACTCCTAGAGGGATTCAGAGGACCCGGTGGGGTGCTGGGGATCAAACCCCTATTGGCTTCACGCAAGCAAGCACCCTACCTGCTGTACTATCGCCCCGGGCCCGCCCTCCCCACCCCCCCCCCCCCCCCGCCAGTGTCTCCTGTCTGTCCTAGGATGGTCTCCTCCCCGTGAGCCTTTTTGCTCATGGCAGCTCCCTGGGCGTCTGGACTCCTCAGCCACTCACCATCTCAGCACCACCTCAGCCTCCGACAGGTGTGGGAGAAGCTTGTTTGGTCACGCTCGGCCACTGCAGGCGCGTGGAGAAGCCCAGTGAGCTCGGCGGCTGTCCGGTCAGGCAGCTTCCTGAGAGGTTCACCCCGCTTGGGCGGGAGGGGGCGGCGGACCGGGCCTGTACGAGAAGAGAGCATCAGGCTGGGTGGGCCCAGGTGCAGGCTGAGCTCAGAACAGCCCCTGCGATGGGGGACACTGCAACACAGAGGCTTCTTGAGACTCTGGGAGCAGGGGTCAGGGCTATTTCTGTCCTCCCCAGCACTGCCTACTCATTTATCACCCCAGAAACATCTGGGACAAACAGCACCAGAACTGAGCTAGGGAGATGCCAATCTCAGCACAGTCTCCAGGACCAGGCAGAAGAGGATGGGAAGAAAGGTGAGGAGACCACCAGATCCCACACTGCTTCTCCTGGAAAGGAGCATAACCTGAGGCACCCATAACCATGCCACCGGACTCCGCGCCAGACTGTTTCACACAGGATGCCCCAGAAGGGGCGGGTGAGAGCCCTCCCCGCCCCGAGGAACCCAGCTTGGGCAGCCAAAAAACTCCACAACCCAATTGCCGCCATGCTCAAGGCTGCTTCCCAATGCTCAGGCCAAGCCTCACATATGAGTGAACATATTCCTGAACCGCGTGGCTGTGACATATTATAAGACACTCCCTACCCATTCTCCATAATTACCACACCACATTTAATGGGGTTCAGATAGTAGGCAACAAATCATAGAGGGAAATATATATATATGCATCTATACATATTTTCAGATATAGATACCAAAGCTCACATCACCCAAACTTTAACAACTTGTTAGTGATATCCTATAGAATGTCTTAACGGCTCCTGCCAAAATAGAACAATCTTCACACTGTTTCCTACATGAACACTTTTTTGTAAGCATGTTCAGAAGTTCTTCATAACAGACAATCCAAAATACATTATTTCGGTTGTGTTTTGGGACAGGGATTGGGGCTTGGGTTGGAAACATCCCGAATTTGGTGGTGGGGAGTATAATGGTGGTGGGATGGGTGTTTGAATATTAAATGTAACCAAATATTCTGAACTAA